ATTCTTTAAAGCTTATATTATTAATACTTTATTATTCCTCCTTAGGTTATTATCTAAGTTTCGTAAGTATAAGGGCTATATTTATATCTTCCTTATTATATTATTTATAGACTACCTATTATTATTATTAATTTTTATTTTATATATCTTCTTAGAATCGTTTACTATTCTTCTTAATCTAGTCTTAAGAGACTCTTTTAAAATAAGGGTATTCTAGTTCTATAAATTTAACTTATTTTTATATTTTAAGATCCCTTTATTATATTATTATAAGGGTCTTTTTTAATAGCTTTAAGAACTATTTAGTACTATCCTTATTACTTAAGTATACTATATATTCGTCGTTATAGTATATAGTTTAACTAAGGAGTTTATACTTTAGTTTCTATCTATTAGTAGCGTTTAGGTATTTCTTACCTTCTAAGGCTAGTACTTAATAGGTTTTCTTTTCCTTATAAGGTTATCTATATTCTTTAAAGTAATATCTAAGTTTCCTATAGTTAAAATACTTTCCTTTACTTTTCTATATTATATCTAGATCTATCTTACCTAGGTTAGTTATATAAGTATAGGTAATAAGAGTTTCGCGCTTTTTTTTATAGTTAGCGCGTTAGTTAAAGTTATTCTTATAAAAAGGGTTTTAGTTTCCTCTTCCTTATTTCTTTTCTTAGCGTTATATATACTATCTATCGTCGATTTATACTACTATAGTAATATAGTCTAAGAGGTTATTAGGTCGATTTTCCTTATAAAGCTTATCCTTAACTTCTTCTTTAAGCCCGTTATAGAATCGTAATATAAGAGGTTCGTTGTCTTAATTAAGCTTTAAGGTAACTTAATAGAACTTTATAGTATAATTTAATATTAAGATCCTTTATCGGAGTTCTTAAAGTTTTTATTTAGCTTTTTATTCCTTATTAGTTATTTTAAATACCTTTATAATAGCTTCTTTAAATCCTTAGAAACTAGTAAAGACTTTATCTATTTCGTTATCTCGTCGCGCTAGTTAGTTATCGAGAAAGTCCCTTATAATAGGTCTAAACTAAGCGAGTACCGTTCTAAATAAATAATTTCCTATATAAAGTACCTTTTCGACTAGGTCTAAGAGTTTAAGAAGGTAAAACTAATAGTAGGCCTTAAGTTAAGTAAGAAAGTCTCGAAATATACTATAAGTACCGTCGAATAGTCCTAGCTATTTTAGTTTAACTATTTCTCTAAGGTCCCTAACTTATCTATTACCTCCTCCGTTCTTAAGTAACTATACCTTATATTAAAGGGTAATAATCTCGCGTATTATATCCTAAAGCGATATAGTAGCTCTAGAGTTAGTTAATCTAGCTTATTATATAAGTATATTAATAGTTACGATATTACTTAGAGTAACGCGGTATTATACTAAATAAGAGCTTTTAACGTATAACGACTAGTATTATTCCTAAGGGATAAACCTATTAAGGGGTTTATATTAGTAGATATAATAGGGCGTAGTATAAGTAATAATAAGTATATTACGTTAGTAATAAGTTAGAGGTCGTAGACTATAGACTATAACTAAGTAATTAGAATTAAAGATAGAATCGTAATAAAGATCTATATTAAAAGCTAGAGAGCTAACTATTTAAAGGAGTAAAAGTAGGTAGCTATATATACCTATAGAGACTATTCTTAGATTACGGTCTTAGCCGTAATCCCCTTCGTAGCTTACTATAGCTTACTCGTAAGCTATACTTTTAAGTAGTAATCTATCTATATAAGGCTTACTTAGCTTATATATACTTTAGGTAAGCTAAGCTTAAGTAACTTCTCGTCCCGACTATTATTCCGAGCCGCCTTATTACGTAAATATAGCCGGCTCTCCTACGGCCCGCTAACTATAGTCGTAATACTTATATAGGACTAAATTAAGGTCTAGGCTAAGTCTATATATAAGTAGCCTCCGCGCTTATATAGGCTAAGCTTATACTTCTCTTTCTTTTCCTCTTTATAGATTATTAACCTTCTTTTAATAAACTATACCTAAGCCTATACCTTTACTTACTTTATAATAATATAATTTACCCTTTATTTTACCTTTTTTATATCCTTATATATAAGATAGCTATTTTTAGCTACCTTTAAAGCTAACGTTTAATTACTTAGTTTAGTTAAACCGCCTACGCTAGTATATATATATATAAAATATCTATACTCTTATAATCGTAAAATTAAAGCGAACGTAATACTTAGTTTACTTAGGTAATTAAGAGCCTCTTATAATAGTAAGGCTTTATATAACTAAGAGTAGTACTACTATACCTTAGTAAGTTCGACGGCTCCTTTATAGAGCTTAAGCTATAGCTACTTTATATAAAAGCAAAGCTTTATATTAATAGTATTATAATAAGGGATATTTATACTTAATTTAACTATCTTTATATAAGCCTATCCTTATACCTATAAAGGTATCTCTTATAGTCTTAAGGTATATAAGTAATAGCGGAATTTTAAGAAATTAAGGAATTATATAAGACTATATAATAAAGGGGAAGAAGGAGTATAAGGTAGGACTTTTAACGGAATTTATTAGTAGTATATTAGTATATAAAAGAGGTATTAAAGATAATAATTCTATCTCTATTTACTAGCGGATATACTACCTTATATAGATAATTATAGCTAAATAGAAGAACCTTTTAGGACTAGATTTAGGCTGCTATATAGCCCTAAGGCTAAGGAACTTAGTAGTACTTTAAGTATAGCTAGAAGTATCTTAGTTCTATTAATATTCGTATTTAAAGGAGGTTAATTATACTAGTATTCTTAAGAGGTCTAAGCTAGTATTTTAAGCTAGCTTTATTCCTTTAATTCTTAATTATATAATAACTAGTAACCTATTTAATATATAATAATATATTAAATAATAAGCGATTCTTACTTTATAAGATAAGGTTTTATCTATAATTAATATACTACTTATTAGCTTATATAATTAAGAGAGTATATTATAGCTACTTTATTTATAGTAAGAAAATACTATTCTTTATATACCGTTTATATATACTAATATAAATAGACTAGCTAACCTCCTTATAAAGCTCTATATTAATTATAGCGAACTTAATATAGCTAAGTTAATAGGCTAAGAGCTTATAATACTTTATTAAAAGTAAAGTAAAGTTATTTTAGCCTACCTTATATAGTTTAAAGAAGTACTTTATTATATAAATATATATAGCTAGCTTAATATAGTAAAGTATAATTACCTTATTATAAGCTTAAATATAAATTAGCGTACTTATTTAAGCAAAAGGTCTATACTACTAAATATATATACCGATCTTATCTACCTTCTTTATAAGCTTAATAGTAATAAGTTTCTTTTTTTATTTTCTTTTATAATATAAAAAAAAGATAACGCTAGTAATATTATAGATATCTCTATCTCTACCTTAAGGACTAAGAATAGAAAGAAGTAGCTATAGGAGGGTCGCTATATAGGCTATAGTAGTAAATCCTATTAGTTTTTAAAGTACCTACGCTAAGAAGCGCGGGTAAATATACTCTAAGTAGTAAAGGGGTATATATACTAAGACGGAAAGGAGGTTAGGTTTAACGATAGTAACTCTAGTAATAAGTAATCTTAGTAACGCCTCTATAAGCTTCGTTAGCGTTCCCTTATATATAGTAGTAGCTACTATATAAACGGGACGTATACTTATAAGAACTAAAAAGGCAGCTAAGATATAAGAAGGCCGCTAATATAATATAGCTATAGTAAAAAGAAGTGCCTATATTGCCCTATATAAAAGGGAGCGGAGCCTTATATACTAAAGTACTATCCCTTATATTATAGTACTAAGAGCTACTACTATACGCCGATATAAGGGGGGCGGGATACTATAAGCTTACTAAAGCTAGCTACGCGCCGTTCTATATACCTTACTCCTTAGCTATAAGTACTAAAGCCCGACTCCTAGGGCGCGGCCCCTACTAATAATATAGTCTATCTAAGAAGCTTACTTAGGAGGGTATTATACGTTATTTACTAATGTTTTTTCCTCGACTAGGCGTACGTAGTCCGCGTAAGGGTTCCGTCCCCTTAAGCGCGGTATTGGGTATTATTTAAAGTCGCGCCTCTTTAAAAGCTAGGTAGGGGTATAATATAAGGGCTTTTACCCTATATAGGCCTAGACTAAGGTCTAGGCTAAGTCTATATATAAGTAGCCTCCGCGCCTATATAGGCTAGGCCCGTACTTCTTTTCCTTTTCCCCCTTATAGATTATTAACCTTCTTTTAACGGACCGTACCTAAGCCTATACCTCTACCTACTCCGTAATATATAGCTATTAAAGGTTAGGCTTACGCCTATATATACTAATAAGCGCGCTCCTTATCCCTATAAGTAGAGACGATATTATTACTATATCTAAAGGCACTAAATATAGTAGCTAACCTAAGGGATACTAAGGAAGTTACTTAATAGATCCGGATAACCGTAAGCTGCCGGATTAGTAGGGAAACCTATTCCCCCCTACACTTCGTATATATATATATATATATATATATATATAGTCACACCTACGGACTCCCTCTTTTAGGCAGGATAGCGCAATCTACACCCTCTTTCTTTAATGCAAAGACCCAATAACCAGCAATAGTCTCCGCTTATAGGGATAAGGGGCGCGCCTGTTAGTGCGTGTGGGCGTGAGCCCAACCTTCAATAGCTACACATTGGGACCGCCTCGGCCCAAGGGCGGCGGGGCGGCTTCTTCAGTGGCGGGGCGGAGGTGACGACAGGCCTGTCTGCCCCCTATTAGCAAGACTTGGACTTGCCAACTGATTCTTGCACTCGACGATCCTCTGCACGCTTCTTCGTCCTGGACTCCGAAACAGCCACCGACACGAGCCACGAGTGAGACAGAAGGAGGCTCCGGATACGCGCGGAGAAGACGCCACACCGAGCTCGCTTCGGAAGCTGAAGCACCCACCGTCTTGGATAGTCCTCCGCTGTCGGCGAGAAGATGGCGCTCAAGGGCGACGAGGTTGCCGAGCACAACGACGCCAAGTCGTGCTGGGTCATCATCCACGTAAGAACAGACGAGCAACGGAGCCCAATTGCGAGGTGACGCTGATGGCTCGGTTTCCCCCTGCAGGGCAAGGCGTACGATGTCACAGACTTTCTACCCGGTAAAGGCTCCAGGCTCCCCCCTTCTCTTGGACAGCAAGGCCGAGCGAGGCAGGCAATGTTGATCTCGACCGTCAGAACATCCCGGCGGACAGAAAATCATCCTGCAATATGCCGTACGTTTCCCCGGTCGCCCGTCGGGCCAACTCGCTCTCTGACCGTCAAGACGATGCGCGCCACCAGGGCAAAGACGCCACCGACGAGTTCGAGCCCATCCACCCGCCCGACACGCTCGACAAGTACCTGCACCGCTCCAAGCATCTGGGCCCCGTTGACATGGACACGGTCGCCGAAGAGGCCCGGGACGAGGACCCGGACGAGGCGGAGCGGCAGGCCCGCGTCGCCCAGAAGCCGTTGCTGTCGCAGTGCTACAACCTCTTTGACTTTGAGGCCGTTGCGCGCCGCGTCATGAAGAAGACTGCGTGGGCGTACTACTCCAGTGCCGCCGACGACGAGATTGTAAGGACTAGACGCCAGCCAAGATGCCGGGAGCGTGGCCCGCTAACACCAAGCCGAGACCATGCGCGAGAACCACGCCGCCCTCCATCGCATCTGGTTCCGCCCCCAGGTCCTCGTCGACGTCGAGACCGTCGACTTCAGCACCACCATGCTCGGCACAAAGTGCGCCGCTCCCTTTTACGTGACGGCCACGGCCCTCGGCAAGCTGGGCCACCCCGAGGGCGAGGTGGTGCTGACGCGCGCGGCGCACTCGCACGGCGTGGTGCAGATGATTCCGACGCTGGCCTCGTGCTCCTTTGACGATATTGTCGACGCGCGGCAGGGCGACCAGGTCCAGTGGCTGCAGCTCTACGTCAACAAGGACCGCGCCATCACGCGCCGCATTGTCGAGCACGCCGAGGCCCGCGGCTGCAGGGGCCTCTTCATCACCGTCGACGCGCCGCAGCTGGGCCGCCGCGAAAAGGACATGCGCACCAAGTTCACCGACCCGGGCAGCAGCGTGCAGTCGGGCGTCGACACGGACACGACGCAGGGCGCCGCGCGCGCCATCTCGAGCTTCATCGACCCGTCGCTCGCGTGGAAGGACATCGCCTGGTTCCGCGGCATCACGCGCATGCCCATTGTGCTCAAGGGCGTCCAGCGCGTCGAGGACGTGCTGCGCGCCGTCGACGCCGGCGTCGACGGCGTCGTCCTGTCCAACCACGGCGGCCGGCAGCTCGACTTTGCGCCCTCGGGCATCGAGACGCTGGCCGAGACGATGCCCGTGCTGCGCGAGCGCGGCCTCGACGCCAAGATCGATATCTTTGTCGACGGCGGCTTCCGCCGCGCCGGCGACGTGCTCAAGGCTCTGTGCCTCGGGGCCAAGGGCGTCGGCATCGGCCGCCCCTTCCTCTACGCCATGAGCGCCTACGGCCAGCAGGGCGTCGAGCGCGCCATGCAGCTGCTCAAGGACGAGATGGCCATGAACATGCGCCTCATTGGCTGCGCCAGCGTCCGCGACCTGCACCCGGGCCTCGTCGACACCCGCAGCCTCTTTGTCCACTCAAACGCCACCCCCGTCGACGCCCTGTCGGCCACCGTCTACGACCCGCTCGTCGTCCCGCCGCAGAGGCCCAGGGGGAAGCTGTGAGGGCGACGTGACGGGTTGCGAGGAGGGAAGACGAGGGAGGATTTGGATTCGGATTTTCAAAAGACTTTGACGCAGCGGCTGCGGTGCTTGTGTGTATAATATTGGCCAGCATGAGTTGACTCATTTCGGACCCTGACGGGCTTCCATTGTAATACGGTACACCTTGAGTATAGGCGCCTGTCGTCGCATTATCATCATCATCAACATCGGCAGCAGCAGCATCTCCCCTGCCGTCCTGCCCTCTACAGCCCGCGCATAAACTCCTCGACCGATATCGGCTTCCTCACCGCATTGTTCAGCCCCTCGTGGAACGTAACCCACACCTTGCGCAGCTCTTTCTTGGCCGCGCCCGCCTCCGCCTCCGCCTCCACCACCGGCCGCACCTCGACGACGCGCCCGAAAAAGTCCCTCTTGACGGGGACAGCGCCGCCAGCGTCTCCCGTCTTGGCCTTCTTGCCCAGAGGCAAAGGCGGGGCCGCCATCGCCGGCCGCGACGGGTTGCCCGCTCGGAACCGCGCCTGCCGCGCCGTCGCCTCCCGCAGCGCCACGGTGCGCTGGAGCTCCTGGTCGAGGACCTGCCGCACGGCGTAGCGCGTGGGCGCCTTCCCCGGGAGGAGGAGCGCGGCGCCAGTCTCAAAGGCCGAGAGGGCGTCGAGGTCTCTGTAGGGGGGTAAACATATCAGTAAGACAGGGCCCAAGTCTTGTCATGGGGAGTCGCGGGAAGACGTACGGATCCATACGGTAGACGAACTGCGGTCCGCGCCCAGAGGTCGTCTCGTTCTCAATCTTGCCCTTGACCAGCGCAATGCCCACCTCGGCCAGCACCTCCGACGCCCGCCTGACCAGGGCACGTTCGCTCTCCTTCCGCACGCTCGCCATCGACCCCTGGCTGCCGCCGACGACGACGGGCTTAACATCGGGCGACACCATGCGCACCAGGTACGGCAGGAACTCGGCGGCCACGTCCTCGGCGCTGCGGAACACCCGCATCAGCGACGGACTCAGCTGCGCCTGCAGCGCCTGCAGCTGCGCTCGGCTCTGCTTCTCCGCCTCGCGCGCCTCGTAGTCGGCCCGCGGGCCCGAAAAGGGCATCGGAGGGCCGGCATCGTCCTCCACGTCGGCTCCCCGCCGCCTATCGAAGCCGCCAAAGTGCTTCCTGGGCGAGGCGAAGAGGTGGTGGCACGCCAGGACCGGCTGACCCAGGTAAGGCGCCAGCTCCCACTCCTGGCTAGCGTACAGCCGCGACTGGCACATGTCGTGGAAGTGCAGCCAGTCGTAGGCATGGTTCGGTTTCGTCAGGTAGCAGTCGTCGTTGAACTCGCGGTTCGGGTACTCTGCAAAGATGCCCGTCACAATGTTGCCAATCTCCCCGCTCGTGTTGATCATGTGGCTGAGACGCTCCATCGAGTACTTCTTCTGCTGTTCCCCGAATCCGAGCTCTGCCCGCGGCTGTTCGTGCATGTTCTTGGCCTTGTCCTTGGAGTCGGGGAGATCCACTGCTTGCTTCGGGAAGCCCCCTCCCTCTTGAAAGAGGCGGTTGATAATGTCCTTGGTGCTGCCTCGCCCGAGTCCACGGGCCCCTGCCGCGCCGCTGGATAGGTCGTGCAGAATGTTGCTCTCGATCCACTGCCTCGTGAGCGTCCGGTTGGTCGCCAGAGACGACGAGCGGAATCGACCAGCCACCCACTCGCCAACCACCATGACACCCCGTAGATCGCCTTCGACCGTGCTTTCTGCACCCCGCTTGGCGTCGATGCCACTGGCAATGCCCCAGGCTGCCTCGCACAGCTTTCTTGCCGCATCCTTTTCACAAGGGATTCCCTCCTTCTCAAACACCGTCTTCAATCGGCCGACGGCTGCGTCTACCGACGGCCGTCCAACGTGGATTATCTCGGCCAGGTTGGACTGTCTCAGGGGCCGCAAGGATGGGTGGTATACTTCGTTGCAGATGAGTATCAGAGGCCGCATCTGCCTGAAATCGTCTCCTCTATTCTTCTTTCGACTGTTCTCCGCAGTGGAGTTCGTCGCCGCCGACGCATTCTTTTGGTCGACGAGGACTAGATCAATCAGAGCCTTGATGAACCCGCCGTCTCCAGAGGCACCGGAGCCAGATGTGACGCCGTCAACCTCGTCGACGATGACGCACATGGGCCTCGCGGGCCTTTGCGTCTTGCCGTCCTTGGCGTTGGTGACCGTCTTGACACTTTGGGTTCCTAGGCTAGTTCGGATGCGATTCTTCACAACGTCGCGACTGCGATCATCACTTGCATTGACCTCGAGAACCTCATAGCCTGCCTGCCTGGCACAGACATGGGCCAAAGTGGTTTTCCCCAGGCCCGGAGGTCCGGTGAGCATGAGTATCTTGCGGTGCGGCTTGTCCTCGTCGACCCTGTGCATCGACCCTGGCCGCCGCGAGTGTTTAGCTTTGACCGCTCCTGGGAACACCAGCGAGTCCCATCGCTTCAGCCACCGCAGCACCATCCGATTTGTGCCGTCATCCCCGCAGAGGTCCATGAAACTTCGAGCGCGGTACTTTTCCGTCCAGAGCAGCGTCTTTTTGGGTTTCTTGCCTACGACCGTAGATGGCTCTTCGACGAATCGAACAGCGCTGTCAGGGCTTGCCGCTTTGGGCTGCTTATTGTCGGCAAGATCCTTGGAGGCTTGGCTCATCAGCTCGTGAATATCGATGCCGTAGTAGCTTCGTTTCGCCCTGCCATCCTTTGTCTTGGACCTTGCGGCCACCATTGACTCATACGACACATTTGTATTTGTCCGCCGTTCTCGTATCGTGATTGAGCTGCCATTACATGTTCGTAACGCGTAACTGAGAGGACAGAAAGAGCCCAAGATCGAGCCCGAGAAAAGCCGATGTGAGCTGGACCAGACTGACTGCAAGGACCGGGGCCCAAAGAGATCTACATCTCCCAAAGAAGGGCGCTCGGACTCATTGCTCGATTGCGACTCTCGCGGGCCGTGGCTGGCGGTCGCCTCAGCACCATCGAGTTTCGAGGTCGGCTCCTCCTCTCCAGGGAAACGGAGCATGCGCTTCTTGGCTATGTGTGCGACGGCCTCGGCACCAATATCGTCTTCGGAGTCATCGTCGTCGATGATAAATGGCCCTCTTACGCGGGGCTTTGGTTGGCGACTCGGATCATGAGGGAGCCGCTTGGAAGCTGGGGGAGACGAGCTTTGAGGGTACGCGACTGGCGAAGACGCGGATAGCATTGTCGACGGGTTGTTTCCTGACTTAGAATGGAATGGGCATTTGATCAGCCGTCGCAGGAGCAGGTGGTTCTTGGCGGCATGGAACGGTCGTTGTTCGCTTAGAGGCAGTGCATGCGTAGCGAGCCTTGATCCTCGGCTGTGCGCGAGACGCGTCTGAGTTGACAGAAGACGCGTTGATTACGGATGGTCTCGGAAATACTTTTGGCCGACAAGGCAAATCCGCAAGTGGCTCGTCGGAGCGGCGGGAATATCCGCCGAGGCACGCTGAGCTAATCGGCTCAAGCAAGCAAAGACGAGGTTAATTCTCAACAGCGAAATTTTGGACTGAAGACGACGTCGTGTCATCCACTGGGCCCAATTGCCGCCAGCCACCCAGGCAAGGCCCTTCAAGATGCGGAAGCCGCACCGCTTCTTCAGCCTCAGCCGGCCGGTAAGTCCGCAGCCAGCTCGGAGCTCCCGAGGTCCCAATGCGTTGCCGGCCGTCTGCGCCGTGCTCGCTCTCGCTGACCGTTGGATACCGCACAGAAATTACGCCAGTCGTGGAATAAGTTCAACCTCTACAACCTTTCTCGTGATGTCGGGCGCGAGCCCCAGGTCAGGGGCTCCCCGACCTTCTTTCAGCAGAAATGGCAGGCCAAGTCGAAAACGAGAGCTTACCACGGCGAGCATATCCCCGAAAAGAAATGGGTGCGCATGTTCTCTCGTCGACTCCTGTCCGCCGTCAACCTCCCGCCGAAGTATCTCGCGGCTCATGATGGTTCGGAACAAGCCGCCGGCCGAGGCTCCGGCCTGACTACCACCGCTGTGACGGCTGAATCTTACTCCAACCTCCCCAATCTTGCCATGGACGATGAACCCACGATGCAGCGTGCAAACGTCAACAAACTGCTGTCAATACCCTTCGCCAAGATGACTCCCTACATGCAGATGACATTCGCGCCACTGGAGCGTAGGCTGGACACGGCCGTCTTCCGAGCTTTGTTTGCCAGCAGCGTTCGTCAGGCGCGCCAGTTCGTCATCCACGGGGCTGTCAAGGTCAATGGCAAGAAGGTATGTAATCGGTTGGCCTAAAGACCAGAGCGACTTTCGAGGCTTTGGGCATGGGCTTACACTCGGCAGATGGTCCACCCATCTTATCAGCTAAATCCCGGCGACATGTTCCAAGTCGACGTTGAGAAAGTACTCTACGGGACGGGGCAGCAGAAGAAAGCCAACGGAAACCAGCGCCTACGCGAGAATCTCGATGCACGTCAAAGAAAAGCCGACGCTTTCTACCAAAAGGTCGTGGGGCATGTGGCAGGAGCCAGCCCGACTGAGCAGCCAGCCGAAGAAAGTGAACAGGAAGATGGCGCCTCGGAGGGAGACGGCGCCGCTGGCAAGGCGGAGGGCGAAACAGCTGCCGGCCTCGAGATCGAGTCCCTGACGGCGGAGGAGACTTGGAAGATGAATAGCAAGACGCTCAAGTATCTTCTCAAAGACGTCAAGAAAATCTTGGAAAACAACCGCCAGGAACTCACGGCCAAGGAGAAGAAGGCGCTTCGTCTGTTCCGAGCAGATGTCAGGCGCTTCCTGGCACGCCCCGATGACAGCGCGACAAGTGTTGAGGAGCTTCTCAAGGAATTGCAAATGCGGATGAAGAGCCACGAGCTCATGCGCGAGAGCTTTGACAAACTCGTGCCGAAGCTGGATAACGAGGAGTCGTCTGCCGATCAGGAGCAGCCGCAGCATACCAGCCAACGCCAAATAGACAAGGGCCTGGAGAGCCTTTCGGAGGAGCAGAAGGAGAAGGCGAAGCGCATCATGGGGTCTGCTCAGCTGACCCGGGACGAGATGCGAAAGCTTAGCGCGCTGCTCAAATCGGACGAGGAGAACCCGGTCGACGACAGCAAACCTTACGCAACGCCTTGGCGGCCTCGGCCATTCATGTCGGCCTTTGCCTTTGTTCCTCGATACCTGGAGGTCAACCCCGACATCTGTGCGGCTGTCTACCTACGCCACCCCGTAGCGAGGAAAGGCATGGCAGAAGTGCCGACACCATTCAGCTACCTGACGAGCCAGTTGGCGCACAATTGGTATCTGGAACGGGGTTGACGGCGGATGTGAGGGCGGGTTGTGGGCTTGATGCGTGCGTGTCTGGTGGCGATGCCTGGGGAACGCAGCGGCCTGGGCGTATGGAGGGCGGGCCTGGAAAGGCGAGCGGTACACCGAAAGGGATGCCGTATGTAACATACAAAATATTTGTCCACCTAGTTGAAACACTTGCATTGCTAAGCGGAGATGGCAGCGGCTGTCTACAATGCGATGGCTGTCCCGAGCCGGCGACGAGAGTCTTGACCAGGCCAGTCGTGTCCTGATGGCACATAGTGCTGAACATGTTGTGCTGTACGGAGTAGCCCCCAGCCCCAGCATGGCCGCCTCTTATCTTGCCTTGCGCCGCGCATACTACCTTTGGGGATAAGAAGCGGGAGGTCATTTCGGTGGTCGAGCGGCGTAGGGCATCAAGACCATGTAGGTGAGCTCGGATCCGGTACGAGCCGAGACATGGTTTTCGGCAAGCCGGGACTATACGACGGGCTAGAGGAAGCTCTTCCTTTGTTGCGAGGTTGAGACACGACTCGAGACGACGCCCGTAAAAGAACAGCAGCTGTTTGCGACGCATGCAGGGAGCGTCGCGCGAGTGCTGACTTGGCGGGGCGCCGACGTGTCCGAGCAGCGCGGAGCCGAGAGGCCTCGGCCGCCACTGAGTACCCAACGATCATGGCCGCGACTCCTGGATCCTGGCATCGATCAAAAAAAGTTCGCGCCAGGTACTTGAGGAGGGGGGAGAAAGCGCTGAGTTTTACCTTGGGGCGATGCAGTGGCTCGAGCGGCAAGACGACGGCGATGGCGATTCGGCGGCGTCTCTGGGAGCCAACAAGGTTAATAAAGTGTGGCGCAGCTGTGTACACGGCTGGGCTCGCTTGGCCAAGAATAGATAGAGCCTGTCTCTCTGCTTTTGCAGTGCCCTAGGGCATTCTGCATTCTGAACCAAGCGAGGTGGTCAGTCTAGTTAGTGGTCAGTCTAGTTAGTGGCCAGTCTAAAAGGCAAAGGCTTGATTTCTCAGCAGATGCGCTACAGGGCATCTCCGTAGGTACCTCGTAGGTACCTAGATAGGTACCTAGGTACTAGCAACATGAAAGGGAAGCATCTAGTGTTGTTTCGAACTCGCGCGCTTTCGCTTGTCCAAGGTGGGTGGGTGGGAAAGGGCCAATCAATGCTCTTCATCGTCCGTCCCTATCCCACAGAAGGCTTGGCGAGCATCTCCCGTTCGAGCGCCGTCGCTTACCTTATCTGATGGATGTTGGGTCTACAGAGTACGGATACCAACTCGCTCCCGCCGCTAACGAAGCCTCCTCCGGCTAGCCTCATAATTTGTCAGTCGGAAGGCTCGTTCTGACTCTTGACCAAGATCCGAAGGCGCCCCGTCGATTCTGCGGCTCAATGGGAGTGAAGGAGGGGAGGCCGCAGGGGGTGGACGGACGCAGCCAAGGTTTGGAGCCTGCGCGCTCAGATGCGCGCGTGGGAGCTAGTTATGCCTTGAGGGCCAGAAACACCGTAAGAGACAGTTGAAGAGAGAGAGAGAAGAAGAGAAGATGGTGGGGAGGAGGAGGAGTAGGAGGGAGGAGGAGGAGGATGAGGAAGGGGGCAAGGCAACGCATCAACAGACGCGGCCGCGCTGACGTCATCTGACAGTCGACTGACAGTCTCTCTACGTACCAGTAATCAAGCCCTTGTCACCAAACCAAACCATGCAGCCACGGCATGCGGCTCGCATCGGCGAAAGCCTCGGCCGGCCTTGAAGCGAGAGGCGGGGCCCTGTCGAAAGAGTCGATCCTCGTCGCAGAACACCTTGGCCCTACCCTCGTTTTCTTGGCAATTGGATCACGACGGGATGTGATGTGTGCATGTACGGATACTGGGTGCATAGAGATCAATCAAGGTCGAGGCGCCCATAACATGCATACCTTGCATATGTGCCTTGCAACATAGCTTGTTGATAGATGCCAAGCACTTGGCCTCTTGTGTGGGATTGTACGTGGGCGTGGGATAATGCCGGGTTGATAGCCGACGCCTTTGGCGAGCCTCGAACCCCCCCATCTCCTGGGCTGTTTCAATAAATAGAAGCACCTGTCGGCTGCATTACGCATGATCGAGTCCCACGCACATAGGACGGGTGACTGGGGCTGGAAAAGGAGTGGAACCGCCTTGGAGCGGGCTGAAGAGCCCAGAGGCGGCCATCACGGAATCGAATCGGCGAAACAGGCTGGCTGAATCGTAACCCGTTAGCGGGCTCCAGCAAAAAGAAGACGCAAGCCCTGACGCAGCAGCGGCGCCAAGACCACTAGCACTGATCAAAAGGGAGGCCAAAGCAAATCGAGAAGGATGGGCTTGGCGAGTGGTCGGTTGGCCCCTCGTACTCGGTACAGTACCTACAGTAGAAGCGGAAGGACCAAGATGGGAAAGAAAAGATATCTAAGTATCTAAGTACCTAGATAGGTACTCCGTATAGTACCTCGGTAGATACCATAGGTAAGGTGGGTTAAGGCATCTACCTGTTGTACCAGTCACCAGTCACCAAAAGTGGAGGCTACCCCCCATTGGATGACTGGTACAAATGGCCTAAGTAGGCACCATCTCTCAATAGTACCTAGGTAGGCAGGTAGGCAGGTAGGTAGGTACCTGGTAATTAGGTAGGTATATCCTGCACCGGGTTTTACCTTGCAACTGTTTCCCGTCATCGCGGAACTGTCCGCGCTGGCCGCCTTGCAAGGCCCTTGAACCACCTACCCAATTCGATGCCCTGGGCCAGGCAGGCATTGAAATCTTGCTTTCGCTCGCCCAGTTGCTTGGTTCCCTTCTACCGGTACTACGAATTATTAAGCTAGCCTATACGTAGCGCAGTACCTTCCTTGCCCACTTGCCACTTGCCTACATCTCCTAGGCACTAACATATGCGGACTTTGATGCCATCATACATCGTGAATTGAAATTTTCCTCTCCCGTCGGCAGGTTCCCTTTCCAGATTCCTTCCTTCTCGCACACACACACGCACCCCTCCTTGCTCTTTCCAATCTGCGCCCCCCACTCACCCCTCTCTTCCCAGTCTCCTCTTTCGTCCAATTGTCGGCAACCGTCGTGCCTCCCAAAAACCTCATCCGCCGTCAACAATATCAGCCTTCGCATTTTCTCCTTGACCGGATGCGCCGCTCCTCCCTGTACTCCCCTCGGGTCCCCGGTCCGGCTGCGCGCTCATGCACTGGTCCGCGCCTCGCCTCTCTTCATCGCTGAGATAAGGCAAGGGTCCTAGGAGGGCCAACACAAGTACCTAAAGCGATAGCAGCACCAAACCAACGTGCCTCGCGCTGCGACACCCGGCGAGATAGAGTGGGAGGCACAAGGACTAGGACTCCAGCAGTAGGAGGAAGCGCGCATTCGCTACTACCGTCCAGCCGTCCATTCGCCTCGCCCAACGGCGGTTCGTTGCGCCAATAAAAAAAGAAAATCATCCCCCCCGTCGTCGTCGTCTCTCGGCGCAGATTGCCAGCCCACGACTGTGCTTGGCGAGATCCAATGAGATTCTGGGCTCTCTGCCCTCGCCAGTACCACGACGTCTTGTGGGCCCAGCCGCCGAAGCCATCAGTCACCCTGCTCTGCTCATCCGGTGGAGACGGAGCCAACCAGACCTGCAAGCGAATCTCGGCGCCCATGTGCTTGTGCAACCTCAGTGCTTGAGCAACCCGACAATGTCCGACAGCACCTCTATCCCGCCCGGTCCCTCGGAGCTGCTGGTAAGCTCGTCCCTGGGCCCGTCGCCACCGCCGGCCGGCCCTGATCCCGCTTCCTCCCAAGGAGGTGCCAAGAAGTCATCGCGCCGAGCCGCCGACCTGCCGAGCCATAAGAGACGCTGCATCAGCACGGCTTGCATTGCGTGCCGAAAACGCAAGTCCAAGTGCGACGGCGCACTGCCCAGCTGCGCCGCCTGCGCCAGCGTCTACGGCACCGAGTGCATCTACGACCCAAACTCGGACCATCGCCGCAAGGGCGTCTACCGTGAACGCGCTGACAGCCTCAAGGCCCGCAGCTCAACCCTGCAGACAATTATCGAGGCCATTCTCAATGCATCTGAGGACCACGTCCCCGAGATTGTCCGCAAGCTTCGCGCCTGCGACAATCTCGACGTCGTTGCCCAGCAACTCGCCACTTCGGCCGCTCACGGCAGCCGCGCCGCCACCCCTGAGCACACCGACGACGAAGGGGATGCCGCGGCATACACGCCAATCCAGGGCGAGTCGGAGCTGGCCCGCAAGATGGGCGAGCTCAGGGTAGAAAACGGCTCGGTCCGCTTCATCGGCGGCACCTCGCATCTTATTTACCTGGACAATCCCGGCGATGAATCGCACGCCGACTCCGCCTTGCACCAGGTCCCCCTGAACGACAACCCAGTCACCTCTTGGACCTGCGTCACCACCGACGCCCACCTAATCACCCACCTCATCGACATGTACTTCAACTATCACTACGCCTACTTCACTACCCTCTCCAAGAAGCTTTTTTGGCGTGACTTTGCCAAGGGCGCGTCCGGCGTGAGCGGCGACGCAACTGCCCACTGCTCTCCCCTGCTCGTCAACGCCATCCTGGCTCTTGGCTGCCATTTCACCGACTTTGCCGGCGCCTACGCCGTGCCTGGAGATAGCAGGACAAAGGGCGATCACTTCTTTGCCGAGGCGAAGCGCCTGATCCTGGCCAACGACGAGTTTGCGAAGCCGCGCCTTGTTACCGTCCAGGCCCTGGCACTCATGTCGGTTCGAGAAGCCGGCTGTGCCCGCGAGGCCAAAGGGTGGGTCTACAGTGGCATGAGCTTCCGCATGGCCCAGGACCTGGGCCTCAACCTCGAAATTCACGGAGCCTCCAAGAAGCTGATAAGCGACGAGGAGATTGATGCGAGAAAGATCACCTTCTGGGGCTGCTTCCTCTTCGACAAATGCTGGTCCAACTACCTCGGCAGACTGCCTCAGCTACCCAAAAGCGGTTCCAACGTGTCCAAGTTCGACGTCTTCCCTGACGAGGACGCCGCGACGTGGTACCCGCTCACCGACAAGGGCCGCAGCAATGCTTATCAGCAGCCATGGAGGACACGAGCGTCGGCTCTGCAGCTCTCGAGTTTGTCTGAGATTAGCAGCGACCTTCTCATCTTCTTTTATCATCCCAATCACATTGGCCGATCCCGTGGCAAATCCGCAGAGCTCAAGATGCTGGGCGAGATTCACCAGCGGCTGGAGGAATGGCGCAAGCAGTTGCCCAAGGAGTTTGAGCCTCGTGAAGGGCAACTGCCCAATGTGATCCTCATGCAGTAAGTCGCGTTTGTCCTCCGTTGTTCTGCTTTTGTTTTCGCCAGACAGCGGAAATCGAGAGCACAGTTGACGGGGAGCATAGCATGTTCTTTCATCTACAGTACATTCACCTCTTCCGGCCATTCCTCAAGTACGCGCCTTCGGCCTCGCCATTGCCCGGCCACGTCTCTCCGCGGAGGATTTGCACGGCGAATGCCGGGGCCATTTCAAAGCTCACGCGGCTTTACAAGAAGGCCTACGACCTCCGGCAAATCTGCAACATTGCCGTGTACATGATCCACAGCGCCTCCACCATTCACCTGCTCAACTTGCCCGACAAGAGCGCCAGGCGCGACATCACGCACGGGGTGAAGCACCTAGAGGAAATAGCCGAGGACTGGCTCTGTGCACGGCGAACCTTGAGCATGCTTAGCGTTCTTGCCAGGAAATGGCGATGCGAGCTGCCAGAGGACGCGGCAAGTACCCTCAAGCGGGCCGACGAGAAGTACGGCTACTTCAGCGCGTCTGACGTCCCCTCGCCCGGGTCGAGCACACAGTCGACGATGCTGTCAGACGAGGACGCGGCCATGGTTTCCCAAAAGGACAACAGCCCGCTCAGCCACTACACGCAGGCACACATGACTCAGTTTACACCGCCCGCCGCAAGCTTGGACAGCCAGATGCCCATGATGCCGCCGGCGCTACAGATGATGGGAGGTGGCCCTCGCCTTGGGCCGCAGCACCACCAGGACCTGCCCTTTGACGCTGGACAGATGGACTTTAACCCCGACGTACTCAACGGGTGGACGCGCCAACCTACGAGCGTGCCGGAGTCTGGCTATGACTCGCCGCTGGTCGCCGTCAACGGGAACGGCATGGTACCCGAGGGCAATAACCAGTCTAGCACCCGGCAGGTGCCGCCCGGGCAAGGGGTCGCCTTTGACAGCCAGCGCTGGATGCTCAACGACAGTGCGAGGTGGCATCAAACCTTTGGAAGCTGGGACGTGGGCGAAAGCGTCCCAGCAGGGGGGTCCGTCTTCATGTTCGGCAACGATAGAAGCAACGGGATACATCAAGGCACCCCCGACGCCGGTAACCATGGCCGGGCTAACATGGAGGGACTCGCGGCTTCGTCGAGCGATAAAGGCTGGCTGCCTGACCTGGAGTGACGAGCAAGGCCGTGGGCTAAAAAGCAGACAAGAAGTCGGCAAAGTGACCAATCCCTTCAGGTGCAAGTTGGCGAAGCAAGTTGCTTTCGATATCCCCCCAGGTGGACTCGTGTCTTTATTTGTATTTGTAATGTGTAGGCGTTTATAGGGCTGGTGGCATGAGCTGACGACTCCAACGTCTCGTGTTTGATATCCAGGGGCAGGCTAGAATCCTGGAATGAAACTTGGCGGGGCAGGTAGGGCTGGCGGGCTGTTTGTCATCTACCGATTGGTGGACGCGTTGGCGTTTCCAGCCATTTCTCTATGGGGACCATGAGTGGACTGGCGATGCGAGGGTGGCTACTGGCTGTCTTTGCCTTGGTGTTTGGGCTCGGAGCCAAAGGTGACTGGCGGGGTGATGGCTAAGGCGACGGCGGCGGTGGCGGCAGGGGCTTGCTAATGAGCCCGGTGGCTTTGGGAGCGAGACGAGGTGGTAGAGGGCGTGCCGGGAGGCTGTCGAGATGACGGGCCGGCGGAGATTCGACGGGGGGACTCGAAGAGCGAGCAGTCTCGGGCTGGATAGACTCTTGTCTTTGAATAGATACACTGGTCAATTACTCGCAACAGGATGCCGGTCGGGCACACAAATTTGATTCTTCTTGGCCGTGATGACGCTTTCGGGCTCTTCGGCTGTATCCAACAAGTACAATGCCTCACAGACTATCGCTAGAGGGAGATGCGCTCGCATCATCCTTGGTCATCATGTGACGCTTTCCATACGACGAAGGAGGGGAGGTCGGCAGTTGATAGAGTTTGCAAGCAACTGCTTCTTCTAGAGAGACACAGGCAGTCGTTGCGCGAGGCAGGAAGCTGCATAGCGGTTCCCTTGCGAACCATCCGGGTACAGAAGCGCTGCTTTTCGAGGTGTGAGGTACTTTCTACCTGCCTCGGGAGCCTGTCTTGAGAAGGCGCGAGTCCCGCACCTACTGTACATACTTACCTACGTATACGAATACGAAGTATCCAAGGTACCTACCTAGGTACCTACCTAGGTAGTTACCTACTGTACCCAGTAAAACTGATGCTGGAGCAGGAACCCTGCACACACTGTACGCGTGTCTGTCTAGGGCCCGGTGACACGGCGCAGGCAAGGATGGAAGCCACCTCGGCTGCGAGGTAACTTTTCCTCTTCACCCCTGGAGGGTGGCTTCAACCTCTCGTCACATCTCCGTATCGCCCCAGGCCCAACGACGGCTGACGCTGACGGGGTTGTGTCTCTGAGCAAGGAGGGCGCGAGGGACTTTGCAACTCTCCGCGGACAGGCAACTGAGCTGAGACTGGCCGGTCATCATGACTGCCGTCTTTGCTCCCCGTCGCACAAGGCGGAAAACAGGGCTGCCGCCGGACCGCAGTCTCGGCGCGTGGTGCGCATCCCAGGCCAAGCATGCGGCGCGCCCCGTTGAGGGCTGGGGAACCTGGTTCCGTTGATGGCTTGGGTCGATGGGCCCGCCTCTTGTTTCATTTCCCCCGTCCCGTGGGCGAGGCGATGTGCCGTCTGGGCGTTGGCGACGCAGTGCCAAGAGGGGAAGAAAAAAAGAAGCGGAAGGTGAATGGAAAATGGCACAGGGTGGTGGCGGAGGGCGATGGCCTTGGGTGGAGGAGGTTGCCCTCTGCAAAGATGGCGATGGTGAGATGGCGACGGTGAGATGGCGACGGTGAGATGGCGACGGTGAGATTGATGGTGAGATGGCAGAGCCAAAACCGTCACGGGCTGGCTTATTGCTCGCCTGCTCTCTTGCACCCTCCTTGGCAGGGTTTTGTTCTCTTGGTGAAGAACAACAGGCCGATAGAGTTTGTCTGTCTGTTTCGTGGTCAAGCCATGCGGCGTGCTTTCATAGGCGGAAAGTTCCTCTCCCAGGAATGCCGTCGTTTATCGACCAGTCGGCGATGCCGGCTGGTTCGCCTCGACCCATCTCGTCCGCGCCCCGCCCCGCGCTCTCGGACATGAACCGGCCGAGTTGGCCCGCCCGATGCTGGCCACGCGCCTTGGAGCAGATGTGACTCAGGGCAGCAACATGGAAACAGAGGACAGAGGGGAGGGGAGGCCGGGGGAAATGTGGGGCAGAGAGAGAGTGTGAGTGAGCGAGAGACAGTGGGAAGGGAGGAATGCGAGAGGGTGAGATATGGACAGCGAGAAGACGAGGTGGAGGAGAGTGGATCCCAGTGAGTGGGGTGAGGTGGAGAAAGGGGTTCTTTTGGCGGCGGCCACGTGGGCATGTGCCCGGGTATCCGGGTATCCGGGTATCCGGGTATCTGGATATCTGTCCGACGGTAAAGAAGCCCGGCGATGCAATTGATGCAATTGTTGGAGCATGTTCCACTTTTGCCTGGCTTCTCGACACTATCTTATCTACCCGATATGTGCAGCGGTAGTCAAAAGGATGGAGTCCTGCCCACAGGCTTGCAACGCGCAGCTGGCTCGGGGAGGAGGGCGCGGGTTGCCACGAGGAAGAGGAGAGTGAGACGACGTTGCAGCCCCAGTGTCTTGCCGACGTTTGCACCGTTGTCTATGATGGCTTTCCGGCCCTCAAGCATTATATATGCGTCGAACTCTTGGTACAGCACTGGACAACCGCACTGGACGACGACAACCGCACTGGACAAGCAACCCGGTAACGTTGCCAGCGGTCCGGGTTGGGCGTTGGGCGTCGCACCCGGCGGGCGACGTGACGAGGCAACGAGCTTCAATCCCTCGCTCTCCCCCATTGTCGACCAGTCTTGCCCCGGCTCGCGTGCATGATACGCGCCCGCAGCTTCGGACGGCACGGCATGTGCGCGCCGGCGCGGCATGCATATGCGTGGGACCGTCTGCGTGGATTCGGGATTGGGGATGGACGGACATATAATACTGCATGTTCAGTTAATGATACAACAGTACGTATCCGTACATGGATGGGGCTTGTCCCGTCCGTAGTCCCGTATGGGCGAGCGTAGATGCGCACAGATCTGGCTCCGTACAGTACCCGCAAGATGGCTCCGAGACGGTACGGTCCTCATTCCGCGGGGCTGCTCATTGCGGCCGAGGAATACTTTTGTGTCCGTACCTGCCGGGGGTGCTGCATGGTGCCTGCTGCCGGTGGGTGCATGGGAGCATGGGTGCATGGGTGACGGGTGATGAGTGATGATGGGTGGTGGGTGGTGGCCCTGGTGAGTGGCGGCCCTGGTGGGGGTGGTGGGTACATGGACAAGCAAGCAGGCACACAGCACAGAGGCGATAGTCGCTCACGTGCCGGCCTATAAGGAGCCTTGCCTATAGAATCCCTGGAAGTCGACAACTCTCCCACTCACCGTCAACTCAACCAACCATCGGCGCACCTCATCCCACGCGCTCGCATGCGTGCTGTGCGCCCCCACGTCCCGTCCAGTCGCCCCTTCCAGCCGCCCCCTACACCATGTCTATACCGCCTTGCTCGGCGCTTTGTTATTCCCTTCATCTCCATTCGTCCAGTCCTTTCTCGGGGACCTGAAGGTGGGAGGGGGGCCCCTGGTCAACGTAACACGCCAAAAATCCAGTCTCGCTCTCCTTTCCCGCAAAAAGCAACGGGCCCAAGCAGAGAAGAAGACAAAAAAAAGAGCGGCGGCGAGAGTTCGGGGTACCATCTGTTGGGCTGTGCGTCGGTCCATGTTGCCTTGGTCCGCCTGGTTGGACTCCTCCTTGCCCTGTCCTGTCGCTTCTGTCGCCGCTGCTCGCTACCTACCAGTGCCGGGAACAGAGGAAGGTGAGGGGAGGAGGAGGGAGAAGAAGAAGAGGGAGAAGAAGAAGAAGAAGAAGAAGGAGAAGAAGAGGGAGAAGAAGAAGGAGAAGAAGAGGGAGAAGAAGAAGAAGAAGAAGAAGAAGAAGAAGGAAAAAGGAGACGAGCGCGAGGAGCGGGAGGGGCGGGCCCGCTCGCCTAGGCACGACGCCGCCGTCGCCCCACCCCCCTTCGGAGCTGCCTCGGAGCCACGGCCGCGCTTTTTGCATCCTGCTGCCGTACGATACAGTCATCTTTTTCGGCGCCATGCCTGTCGGGAGAGCAAGGACCGGTCAGCGTCTCCGGCTGTCCACTGTCGACTGCCGTCGTGGGGATTGACGATGACGATGATGGACAAGGACATCCAAAACGGCTTCCTCACCGATCTTGGGACGTCCACATTGTTCAGACACTGCAAAGCGAGAGATTATATCCAAAACTTAGCGTTTGCGTGCTGGATCGACTCCCTTGTCCGTGGAGCACGAGAAGTTACCTCATCCCATCCAGCGCCCCGCCTCTACTCTCTCCATGTATTTTCCTCTCTCCCTCTCTCCCTGCCTCCTTGTCCTTCTCTCTTCCAACCGTCACCCTCCACCCCCCTCGGCCCTTTGTCCTCGACTTATTAGAGTCGGTCCCCTTGTTGGGCTTCTTCACCAGCCTATAGCCGTACTTGGCTGGCGTCAGTCAAACCTCTTCTGTTCCAGAATCTACAGCTACGTACGCGCGTGCCTGAACACGCCCCGGCCCCGAACAGCCTCGACCTGTCATCGTCAACCAACAGCAACCCCAACGACCCCAACGACCACAACAACCTCAGCAGCAGAGAAACAGCCCATGACGGGCCCCAGCCTGTATGCGCTAGACACAGCACTCGCCTCCGTGGAAATGTTCTCCAACCCCTACAACCATTTCTCGCCCCAGGACGATTTCGCCGCTCCCCCCACCGCCCTCGACAACTACTCGGCCCAGCCTCGCTTCCATCCCGGGTCCCTGCCCGCCTACCACAATGCTCAGCAAGACTCGGCCCCCTCGTCTGCCGTCGAGTCGCTCCCGGGAGACGAGGGCATCCTGCCATGGGGTCCTCCCTTCCAACCGGCGGCGCCCGCAGCTCACACCAAGCCCAAGCGGCAGCACGCCGACGACTCGTCCGGCACCTCGGCTCAGGTCCGCAGGAGGAGGGTCAGTCGCGCATGCGATCAGTGCAACCAACTGCGCACCAAGTGCGACGGGCAGCATCCTTGTGCCCACTGCATCGGTACCGTCCCCCTCTCCCCCTCCCCCTGAGCCGCCAGGCCCTCTCCATGCTGACGCGTCTCTCGTGGCCACCTACAGACATCAACCTCGCCTGTGAGTACATGCGTGAAAAGAAGAAGCGAGGCAAGGCGTCGCGCAAAGATCTCGCCCAGCGGTCCGCAGCCGCCGCCGCCGCCGCCGTGCACAACCGTCGCCAGAGTCCCCCGAAGACCCAAACGCCGAGTGAGCCATCCGATGTCTCCAAAGGCGGCAGCCGGGCGAGCAGCTTGCCGAGCGACTCTGGCGACAACGGCAGCGACTATCCGCCCCATGCACATGTCGAGTCCCACTTTGGCCAGCCCCCTGACCTCGATGTCATGTCCCACCATCCGCGGCCCGCCCATCTCGACGCCACGACAGTCGCCGGCTATTCGAGGTTTCCGCCCGACTTTGAGGGGCATGGCCTTCAGGTCGACGTGGCGTCGGCTGAAATGAGTCGCATGGCCGACAAGTCCAACGACTATGCCAACTGTCCCGGCCCCGAGATATCGCTTGGCCTGGCACTGTCAGGTCGGGCGGGCTTCGACGACGGCTCCGGCATCGTCATCGAGGGCGCCGCTATTGGCGGCTATCCCATGGCCACGGTTGCTTCGCCCGGCTGGGGAATGCCCATGTCGTCGCCGCCGCCGCCGGCCCAATTTCAAACACAGCCGTCGTATTCCAAGGCAGCTTGTCCGCAGCTCCGCTACCCGGTCCTCGAGCCCCTTGTTCCCTATCTGGACAACGCGACACTGCCCCTGGCTATGGCCTGCGACTTGCTTGACCTCTACTTCTCCTCGTCTTCGTCTGTCCTGCTGCACCCCGTGTCGCCCTACGTGCTGGGATTCGTCTTTCGGAAACGGTCATTTCTGCATCCGACCAACCCGAGAAAATGCCAGCCCGCGCTCCTCGCCAGTATCCTGTGGGTGGCTGCCCAGACGAGCGACGCTGCCATGCTGACGAGCTCGCCGCCGGCCCGCGCCATGGTCTGCCAGAGGCTGCTGGACCTCACCCTTCGCCTGCTCAAGCCCCTTGTTCACGTCCCGACAGACGCCGCTTGCTCGTCGGCAGACGCCGCCCTTGCCTCCCTGTCTCTCGGCAGCCTAGGCGCAGCGATGCCTGGCCCGGTTGGCATGGACACCCTGACCGTCGAGAGTGGTCCTTTGGGAGGCGCCGGCCATGTCGATGACGTTGTCACGTACATACACCTCGCCACCGTCGCCTCGGCCGGCGAGTACAAGGGAGCCAGCCTGCGTTGGTGGAACGCAGCCTGGTCCCTTGCTCGGGAGCTGAAGCTCGGCCGGGAGCTTGCGCCCAGCCAGCCCGGCCGGAGCCACGATGGGAGCACGCTCGACGGCCCCAATGGCCATCACCGGTGCGGAAGCTCACCCAGCGAGGAAGAGAGGGAAGAGCGGAGGAGGATCTGGTGGCTGTTGTACATTGTCGACCGTCATGTGGCCCTTTGCTACAACCGCCCTTTGTCTCTTCTCGACGTCGAATGTGAAGGACTCTTGCGGCCGATGGACGACGCCGCATGGCAGAGGGGCGAGTGCCCATGCGGATGCGAGACAGGGGTTGGTCTAAGTGCGTCCGGCTCTGTCTGCCGCGATTCCAGGACCCCGGCCGCCATGGGGAGTCCGGCTCGGTTTGAGTGCCGCGGGCACGACATCTTTGGCTACTTTCTCCCGCCCATGACGATACTAGGCGAGATTGTCGACTTGCACCACGCCCGAAACCATCCCAGGTTCGGCCTCGGTCTGCGAGCAGCCCACGACTGGGACGAGCAGGCCGTGGAGATTCGGCGCCACATCGACATGTACGAGCAGAGCCTGGCGAGATTCGAGGAGAGCCACTTGATGACGAGGCCGGCAGATGGCGTCGTGGGAGAGCACGGCAGCGAGGTGCGGAGAGGCGCCGAGACGAGGAGCCGCAGCCGCAGCCACAGCCCTTCGATGCACTCGACCCGGGGGGCGAAGCGGCTGACGGAGAGCGAGGTCCAGACGCGCATCGTGGTGGCGTACGGGACGCAGATTATGCACGTGCTGCACATCCTGTTGGCCGGCAAGTGGGATCCCATCGGCCTCCTCGACGACCACGACTTGTGGATCTCGTCGCAGTCCTTCTTCAAGGCCACGAGGCACGCCGTCTCGGCTGCCGACGCCATCGGGCGGATCCTCGAGTACGACCCGGGGCTGGAGTTTATGCCCTTTTTCTTCGGCATCTACCTCTTGCAGGGGTCCTTTCTGCTGCTCCTGATGGCCGACAAGCTCCGGGCCGAGGCGTCGCCAAACGTCGTCCGGGCCTGCGAAACCATTGTGCGGGCGCACGAGGCGTGCGTCGTCACGCTCAGCACCGAGTACCAGGTAAGCCTCGAGCCCTTGCCTTTTGTTCGTGGACTAATTAAGACGCGATGGCAGCGCAACTTCAACAAGGTGATGCGTAGCGCCCTGGCCGTTGTCCGCGGCCGCGTTCCCGAGGACGGCGGGGAGCAGCGGCAGCGGTGGAGGGAGCTTCTCGGGCTGTACCGATGGACGGGGGACGGGACGGGCCTCGCGCTCTGAGTCAGGTTTTTGATTAATTAGAGCGAGCCTTGATGGGTTCGGCAGGGGGGCAAGGAAAAAGTGACGGCAGGCCAGCAAACAAGTCGCTTTGGAATGGCACTGGCTGCTTGGTTCCCGCGTTGTTCTTGGGGAAAGGTATCTGCATGGTCATCTGGGGATAGAGCGGCGTTGTCTGGCGCTTCAGCAGCATCCAACGATGTGATGAATAGATGAAAGCGCTTACAAAGTCCTTCAGCCATGAGCCAAGAGTCGTGCGAAGACGTCTGCTTCGCGCGATCCGTACTGGTCCTGCCTTTGCTGTCCGTACGTACGTACATTCATCGCACTCGAGAGTATTTCCTCTCTCTCTCCTTTGTCTCTCTGGACCTCCTCTTTATTCGACCAACAAGAATGGCGAACTGGCTCGGAGAACGGAGTAGGTCTTTATTGCAATCCCCAGTGCCATTCAGCGTCGCAGTCGCCGGCTGCTCGCCAATCGTGGCCTTGTTTTCCGGACTCCCGAGCTGCGGTGCTCCCCACGACGCGTCTGGATTTCAAGCTCACGGCGCCAGCTCGCGTCTCGACGCCCTGTCCTGTCCACTCCCCCCGTTTCCATCCTCGGCGGATTCTTCTGCCGGAGCACCGCTTTCCCCCAATCAAGGCCGAGGCCTGCCTCCAGTCGATTTCCCACCACCAAGGTCAGGAATGCTGCTGTCAGCGTGCCCCATCTACATACCTCGCGAGCCCTTATCAATCACCGGCGATGCCCCTGCTCGCACTAGTCCAGCTTGCAAGTGTTAAACGATATCCATTGCGGCTGTCTTACCACCCCTCCTCCTCTTTTAGCAGGCCCTGGAGCCAGCTGCGGGCCACTGCTCAAAGCCCGCTTCACCATCCGCCTGGTCGCTCTTGTTGCCTAACATCCGGGGCCGCAACATCTCCCCGCGCTGCTGTAGCCGTGCGTAATGTGGCAGAGGTGCCGCCTAGAGAGTGCCCAGCCGATCAACCGAGCAGAGTTGGGGGGCTGCGAATAGCTTCCAAGGCCAAACGGCCGCGGCGTCCATGGCCCAGGTGGCGGCCGCGGCTGAAAACTCCGCACACTGTCTCGAGTTCATGCCTAGATGCCCTGTCATGTTTCCATGCCTCGTTTTCGACTGAGATGTCGTCTTCCACCTTTGGCATCCCATCACCACGCGGGTACCACTGCGTCGGGTGCAGACCAGATCGGCCATTCCTTCAGAAACTCTGCACCTGGCAGTATGAAGTTCAACAGCATCGCCGTTATCGCTGCCGGCCTCACTGCCGGCGCCCTGGCCGCGCCGACCCAGGGATTCTCCCCCGCCAATGCCCGCTGCGAGGCCACGGCCGCCGATGCTGTTGACGACGCCCTCGGCAAGAAGCCCGGCGGCCTCCTAGGCTTTCTCGGCGATGGCTTGCTCGGCGGCATCACGCACAAGTTGGGTGTTGACGACTACCTGGAGATCTCCAACGCTCTCATCGACAGCGCTCTTAAAAGCCCTTCTTAGGCAAGATGGGGGGAGGTGTTTCAACACCCGCCCCGGAAGCTCGAAGAGAGACCGCGGGTCAGGTCGAAACGGCTGCTGGTGAGGCTGGGGCTGCTCGCGTGGGGAAATGGGCTGGTAAATGGAGAGTGTTGCGGTAGCTGGTCTGGCAGGCCAGCCACCGTGTGCGGGAAAGGGGCTTGGGAAACAATGAATTCGGTGTTTTCGTTGTCAAGAGGATAGAAACATTGGTCAGCCCGAGTTGTAGTGTATTGTAGTGTGATGGACCTCGTGTGTGCTGTGTCTCTATCAATCTGAGCCTGTTTTGTACTTCCACTTTTGAGTCTGAGGCTTCCACGTGGACCATCATGTCGAGACGTGGCTGTCCAAGGCCGTCTATCATATGAGAATTAACGTCGACGACAGCCTCTGCGGAACCAAGAGGTTGACGTAGGGCGGATGATGGCGTGAATGTATGGCGGCCGCTGCGGGTGGGTGGATGCTGGAGCTTCAAGCCGAGAGAGCGTTTCGAGCAAGAGAAAGACGACTCTGGCCTTGAGTGTGGAAACGTATTTGCTCGAGGCTCTGCTTCTCGGTTAGTACCTTGATGGTTGGCGCACGCCGCAGCCAGAGGCCTCGGCCAAGAAGGGCAGATGTCTGCAAACACGCACAAGCAAAGGGAAACCAAAGGGAAGGAAGTCATTTCAGCACTCGCCCGAGCGCGAGGTTAAGTCTCCTCTCTTCCCTGTGCATCCGCATTGCATCCATCTCTCTCGAAAAATCAAACAAGAAAACGTCACGAGGCCAACCAGCTTGGGGTGCGCGGCTCGTCAGGGTCAGGCCATGGGCTGTTCCTCTTCACCAGCCCTGCGGCCCCCCCTCTCCCCCTGGAGATTCTCTGCACTCGTCGTCGCTGCTTCCGCGTCACTGTTGCAGGCCGAGGCTGGCACGGGAGCATGCGTGGTTGCGAGGCGTGGTTGCGAGGCGTGGTTGCGAGGCGTGGTTGATGGTGCAAGGTCCAGGTTGTGGACGTGGCCGGACTGTGGGCAGATTTTTCCCGGCTGCCCGTTGGGATGGATGGACGAATCAGGCAGCAACAGAGTCGCCCGTTGCTTCAGAGAACGCAACCGACAGCTGAACGTGGCTTGAACATGAAACCGTCACCGACTGGGAGATTCTTTGTCCAGCAACAATGCTCTGACGCAGACCATTCTCTTGCTCATCCCATGCATCCTCTCTCTGGCCTATAAGAAGCTCTGCGCCTCCAACTCGACTCACCGCCTGCCATGTGTTACTCCTGAGCTCTCTTCCCCATCATCGCCACCACCACCCTCGTCCGCTCCGTCGCGTTCCCTCGTCACTGGGCTCGCTCGACGACGGCCACCTTGGCTCTGCGTCACCGGGAGATCGGCTCGGTACTGCAGCATCCATCTCTGGCCGTTTGCTGCCCCCGTCTCGGTGTGCCACCGCCATACCCACCCAGGTAACGCCGTCCTTTGCAGCCCATCTCATGATGCTTCCTTGGGCAACCCTCCCCCTCTACCCCTGTCTGCCGCCAGGCACACCTTGTGCCTCTCGAGAGCGTCGTGCAAGATGCCCTTCTTGACCACCAGGAGCTTCCCGGCAAGCCGTCCATCTTGTGTCAGCCCACCAGCCCGAGCACGGGAGAGGACGACACGCCAAACTATAAGAAGGGCCTTCTGTCTCCTCTCTCTCCAATCTTGGCTAACTTTGTTCTCTGCAGTTGCTCTTGTGTCTTGTCTTCCTCAGTTGAGCATCAAGTCGCTTTTGGAACCTTTTCCCGCGCCTCACCGGTTCAACCATCCCTTTCAACAACAAGTCTTTCACCATGGCGCGCAGAAAGCGACAGCAGATTCCCCAAGGCTTTGAGTTCGACTTCGACTTGCAGCAGGGCCAAGTTTCGCAGAAGAGGCGACGTCGCCAGACCAATGACGTCCCTGATCCTGCAATGTTCCTTGAAGACCCCTTTTTCGGCGGGCACATTGGGCAGCCGGGACCGGCCACCATCAACGGGGGCGGTATCCATTATCGCTTCGTTCACGACGAGAATTCGCTGGGCCCGCCTTTCCCGGTCCAGAAACGGACCGAGCCGCCGATTCTTGTGGCTAGCCACAGTCTTTTGGAGCTGGGCCTCGATATACCTCCTCAGCTGGGCAACGAAGAAGTCGTCCGTCGAAAAGGGGCCATTTGGGATGAGCTCAAATACCAGAGTGACAATATCCCGTCTCTGCCCCCGTCCAAAGTTCCCGACCTCCCTCCTAAGGAGGAGCTGCCGGCCTTTGTTGAGATCCCGGCGGGGCTCGACGCAGATTCCCGGGCGGTTCTTGAGGAGGAAAACAACCGCATCGCAAAGCTCGCTCAGGATATAGACCGCGAGCGAAACAACATGGCTGCCAAGAAGAGCCGCAGCCTCCGGGTCGAGGGAATCGCAGGATACCGCGAGCTGTGCGTCCAAGCCACAGCCAAGCTCTTCTTTCACCGGCTCGTCGACGTCGCCTCGGGGCGCGATCCCGACTCGTGGGAGCGCCTGCCCGAGAACATCCGCGGCGATATGTTGGGGGTCATCCGGATGGCCGTGCGGAAGGCCGAAGATGACAGGACCGCCAAGAAGAAGGCAGCCGAGGCTCAAGCGCGGTTCCAGCGCGCGCAGGAAAAGAAAGCCCAGCTCGAGGCGGCGGCGGCGCTCGCAGGCCCGGTGTCGTTTGAGCAGACGGGGACGCTCGTTTCCCAGGACGAATTCGACGACACCTTCCAGGTCGAGACGCCAGACCACGGCGTCTGAACAGGCCGGGAACAGAAGCACGCAGGAGATTGTGTGAATGTTGGGGGCCGGGACGTCTCAGGGAGGAGGGAATCGTGCGAGGCAGGAATTGGAGACATGACTGCACCCAGGCCCTTGTTTGAGGAAGAAGGGGCGGTGAACATTGCCAACCGAAAGAAAGAAATTGGGAACGAAAAGAGAAAAAAACACAAAAGGTCGCAGAGAGAGGCCCGGGGGCCGTGAGAATGCGGCGGTGAGTGGCCATGAAAAGCGCAGAGTCTCTCGAGGCCAGGCGTCGCTCATGGCTGCGCACTCGCCCAGGCCATGCCATTTCGTTGCCATGCTTTTCCTCCTTCTTCACATGCTGCTCAGTGCTCTAGTACAGTTCGCAGCATCAACAGAGATGCTGATCCCGCACCCTTTGTCTCGCGCTCTCGTGGAAAGGCAAAGTCACTGGCCCGCCTTTGGGACGTGTTCGCTGCGCCGTCTTTGTTCCCCGGGCGACTCGTGTGTACAGGCAGTCCAAACCACGCGTTCGTCTGGACCTGGTAACTGAAAGCAAACGTCTCCAGACCCGACCTTGGCCCGTCCACCCCTGCTGCTGACCCTGTGAACAAACATTTCCCCAAAGGGCTGCCTCCGACCCCCTATAAAAACTCGGATGCCCACCGCCTTGGCTCGACCGCCAGAGACAAGCAACACTGGAAGACAAAAGATTCATCGCAGCCTCAAGCAGAGAAGCAAAGAAGTCTCGGAACAAAAGGTAGCCAAAGATAAAACAATCAAAAGCAGCCGCCCCGGAACGATAACAAAAGACTCATCTCGCCAGACCAAGCCATCATCACCCAAGCCATCCATCCATCCCACAGAGACACACCAGGTCACCACCATCTTCGTCGACTAGTACGGGAACGACAGCAACCGCAACCGCAACAACACCATGGCGGGCACAAAGCGCACCAACAAGGCGGAAGAGACGGCGTCGCTGGGGCCGGCAAACCCCGTGGCGGCGGCGGAGGGATCCAAGACGGCAGAGGAGCGGGTCAACGACCGCGAGTCGCTGGAGAACTACAACGGCGACATCCAGGACCGCCTGATTGATCTGGTGAACACGATCAAGAGCGACGAGCCGCCGTCAAAGGAGAGCAAGGAGGATCTCGTCGAGGCCGTCGTCTCATACATCGAGCAGCAAGCCAAGGGCAGCCTGTCCCAGGAGAAGATGCGCGCCGAGGTGCGCGCCATCACGGACCGCTTCGAAAAGCTCGCCAAGTGCCCCGTCGGCGAGAAGGGGACGGTATACCGCAAGGACACCAGTTACTACACGAACCAGAAGCGCATCTTGACGCACCGGCAGCTTTCCAGGGAGCGGAGAGAAGAGAACAAGTCGGATTGAGGAGTCGTGCAATGGCGTGGTCCGGCATCGGTTGAAGCCAAAGACAAGGAAAGATACCAGAGTGGGGGAGGACACGGAAGAAATATGATGACGAAACGTAGCAAAGAAAGGGGGGGTTGATGTGTGTAGAGGCGATCTGCATTCAACAGAATATCGCGACAGTAGACAAGATTGCGGAGAGTTTTGTTCCTTCTCCCTTCACCGTGCATGGACGACGAAGAAATGAGAGAGACGGGTTTCAGGTCGCGGTTCCAACCCGAAGCGTGACATGATCTGAGCCCAGAGACGCCAGACACAGCCTTGAGTGTATGTTGAACGTCAGGGCCGCGAGTGGACCAGCCTGCCCTTGACCCAGACCTTCTTGGTGTTTCGATCGTCGCCGTTGTACAGCCACTTTGTGACCCTTTCCTCCCACGTCTCCCACCCAAACACGTCCACGTTGCCGCCGTCCCTAAACCCGTCCTCCTCTTCCTTGTCCGCTGCCCCCTCCCCGCCGTCTTGGCTCACGAGGTTGAGCTCGACGAGCTGCGCATCCCAGTGCATGCCGACCTCGAAGCCGCCGACCTTGTGCGCCAGGCCGACCACCTCGGCGCCGCCGCGCGTGGCCAAGTACAGCACCTCGTCGACGGAGAGCTTGCACCTCTCGCGGGCGTCGCCGCTGGGCACCGGCATGGCGACGTAGCGGCTGACGAGGGCCGCCTGGCGCGCCGCCTCGAGGACCGAGGGGCTGTAGCCGCCGCTCATGTCGGTGCCGAGGCCGACGTCGATGCCGCGGTCCCACAGCCAGCGGACGCGCGCCTCGCCGCTCGTCAGGCAGGCGTTGCTGCAGGGGCAGTGGGCCACCTTTGCGCCGCGCGCCGCGACGAGCGTGGCCTCGCCCTCGGTCAGGTGGACGGCGTGGGCGAGGATGGTTTTCGCCGTCAGCAGGCCGTGGTCGTCGTAGATTTTGGCGTACGAGCCCGACTCCGGGAACAGGTCGGTGGCGAGCTTGACGTCGTCGGCGTGCTCCGAGATGTGCGTCTGGATGGGCAGCCCCTGTCGGCGGTGCAGGTCGGCGAGGCCCAGCATCGACGGGCCCGAGCACGAGGGCGCGAAGCGGGGCGTCAGGATGGGCGAGACGATTTCGTAGTCGGCATCGATGCGCTTGACGTGGGCAATGGTCTCGAGCGTGGCCCTGAGCGATTCCTCGGCCGACTCGTCGCGGTAGTAGTCCGGGCAGATGCCGGGCGTGTCCATGCAGACGCGGCCGATCAAGGCTCGCTGGCCCAGGCCAAGGCACAGGTCGGCCAGCAGGTTGGTGGCGGCCACGTCAATGGTGGCAAAGTAGGCGGCCGTCGTGGTGCCGTGGGCCAGCGTCCGGCGCACGCAGGCCGTGTAGACCCTGCGGGCCTTGGCCAGGTCCTTGAGGCTGGCCTCGAGGGGGAACGTGTACTTTTGCAGCCAGTCGAGGACCGTCGTCTTGCCAAAGATGCCCACGTTGGGGTACTGAGGAGCGTGGACGTGCGTGTCTGGTTTCGTGCGCCCCCAACTCTCCCCCGGTCGTCAGCGTCACGTCCTTGTCTCGAGACTGCGGGGGAGGAGAGAGCCCACCGATGAAACCGGGAAAGAAAAACTGGCCCGGCTTGCAGGCGATGAGGTCGACGTCGGCCTCGCTCCAGCCGAGCCTCCCGAGCAGCTGTTGCTTCGCGGCCGCGCTCGTCTCGCACCCCGTCTGGACCCCGACAATCTTGCCGCCCTTGTCGACGGCGACGGCGGCATCCTCAAGGACCTCGAGCTCCTCACGCGTCTTGCTGTGGACAAACGCCCCCACCAGCAGCTGGTTTCTCTCGAGCGACCAAGCAGACGCCATTTTCCCCGCTGAAGCCTGGGTTGATTCTGCAAGGGTCGCGCGTCTCCGTCTCGGGAGTCTCGAAATCCACCTACATGTACTTGGTACCGTCGGCCACGTTTCGGCGAAGCCCGACGAGGCAAACGGCGGGAAGCGACGTAATCTGATTGGCTATTTCCAGCTAATGCCTTTTTAAGCCGCATTGAGACCGGACTTTTCTGCACGACATCCGACAACTTTGGATTACTTAAGCCCGTCGACTTCATCACCAGCGCCTCTTCGCTCTCGTCTCAAGACTCAATTCATGCTTCTTCCATCTATACGAATACGAACGTCTTGTTTACAGCGCAGTCTATCCTCTCCTGTCCCACCACAAAACATACAATCAGTGCCATCTTGGATCTCGTGTCTTCTTCTCTTTCAAGTACACAGCAGCAAAAAAAAACGCCCCCGTCTCGCCTCAATCAGCAGCTTATTTCATGACCCCCCGCTTCTTGCCCATGGCCAGTCTATACATCTTTTCCCAATGCACCTGCTCACGCAGCGGCGCCGGGCCCCTCGTACTCCATGCTTGCACCGCTGTCGCTGCCCGCCTTGCCGTCGTCCTGCGTATACTTGTCCCAATTTGCCAGAACCGCCCCAATCTTGGGCGAGTTCGTCAGCTTGTACACCTCCTCAAAGTACTCCTTGCTGAGCGCAAAGGGCTTGGCCGTCACATTCGGAATGTATTTGCCCACCAACTTCGAAGGGTCAATCGTCGTCTTGTTGATCTTCTTGAGCAGGAATGACCGGAAAGGCTTGACGCCCGACCGCAAAAAGGTCGAGTGGAATGGCACATCGATGCCTCGCAGCGGGATTGTCGCGAATCCTCGCTCCAGCTCCAGCGGCTGCGGCTTCTTGAGTGTCGCCTCTGCGCATCCGCGAATAATCTCTCGCAAAGCCCCCTTGGCTTCCTCAATATTGCTCCTCATCTCCTCAATGTCGATTTGCTGCTTCTTGACAAAGTTTGTCACCCCGGCCAGCGTGTCGAGCGCCCTCAAGTCGCCCGCGCACACGTACTGCATGTTGGCAATGTTGTAATTGACAATCTCTAGGAGCCAGCCAGTCTCCTCGGCGATGTTGTTCACCACAAATTGCAGTGCCTCCTCGTTGAACGTCTTGGAGATGCGGCTGGGGTTCACGGCACACATCGAGTAGTTGGACCGGCCACTGGCATCTCGTTCGACCGCCACTTGCATGGTCAATCCGCGATAGAAGACGACGGAGACGAGCGACTCAATCGGCATCACGTCTGCCAACGCAGCCAGCGCCGAGTACTCGCCTAGGGAATGCCCGGCAAACGTGCTGTCCCTGGGCACGAGGCCCTTGGCCTTCATGTCCTCAAAGCTGGCCTTCTCCATGAGCGTGAGCGCAGGCTGCGTGAACTGCGTCGCCGAGAGCAAGCCCGTCGGCGACCGGTAAGTGTACGAAGTCGTGCTCTCGTTGATGTCCTTGAAGATGCGCTCCGACTTGATTGAGCCGTCGGCCGCCACTGTCTCAAAAGTCATGGCCATGTAGTTTTGCCTGATTGCCTTGCCTCTCGGTCCACCAAAGTGAATTGTGTGCTCTTTGGGGTTGTTCTTGACAATGTTGGTGATGGAGAAGCCTGGTGCCAGTTAGTCTTCAAGAAGCATGAGAGCGCAAACCGAGTGTTGTCATAGAGGCACGCAGTGACTTACCATAGTTGTCGAGGAGATACTTGTCTGCGCGGTCCCACACTTCCTTGGCAACGGGGCTGCTCGCGTACAGTTCCATGCCCATGCCCTGCTCCTGCGATCCCTGGCCAGTGAACACGTAGGCCGTCACCGGTTGCTCGATCTCCGCCTCGCCGAGGAGCACCTTCTCCTCCGTCTCCGTGTTGCTGACTTCGACCTTGATGATCTTGCGCCCGGCTACCATTCCGACATGCTGCAACTTGACCTGAATGGCGTCGTTGGGAAGAACCATTCCAACCAAGGATGCGTGGAAGCTCCGGACGCGGCCAATGTCGTTCTCCGCAGCCCAAGTCTCGACAAGGCTGCGCACTGCGGCACTCGAGTACATGCCGTGGGTAATTGTCCCGGGAAGGTTGGCGTAGCTGGAAAAGACACGCGAGACGTGGATGGGGTTGTAGTCGCCGGACACGCGGGCGTACGTTTCATTCGAAGCCGGTGCGCGGAGCTGCAGGGGAGTCTTGCCGCTCAAGGGAATCGGATTGTCAAAGTTGATGGGCTGGTCGAGCGGCGAGCCGTTCCGCTCCAGATAGTCGATGACCGGATTGCCGTGGGACTCGCCGGCCTCGTAATCAACACTCGCGACCTGAATCACCTCCTTGGTGGGCAGCTCCAGCAGTACTTGGCCGCGCGTCTCGACGCTACCGAAAACATCCTTGTTCCTGTAGCGCACAAGACTCTGCAGGCGAAACGTCAGGGTCTGGCCCAGCAAGTCGATGTCGCTGGGGACCTCGTCAATGGCAAACCAATGCTTCGACCGAAGCACAGCCACATCCTTGCTCGTGGCCAGATAAACCTGAACGGGAGTTTCCACCTTGCGCTGGAACGTGTTCTCGTAGTCCGAGTACATCCCGCGGTACAGGAATTGCGACGTCACCTCCATCACCGGCTGTCCATCTCGGGCGATTGTGCCGCAGACCTCGACCATCTTGCCCGACTCCTGGTTGATTACGGCGTTTATTTGGGCAGTGGTGGAGATCTCGTCACCCTCCTTCAACGGCTCAGCTCCAGGAATCATGCGGAACCGGTTGGACAGGTGGACCAGCTTGAGGAGATCGCCGTCAATGGTGCGCGGGAAGATGGGCTTCGTGATGGCCTTCCAGCCGACCACAATGGCAAAGTCCATGGGCGCGTAGACAACCTTTCCTGGCCTGTCGACAAACGCCTCGCCGGTGTTGCCGACTGCATGTACAAAGTCTCTGATGGCCTCCTTGGTAATGGTCGTGCGACCTCCGTCAAACTTACTCGTCACAACAGCATCAAGGTTGAGGGGGTCGTTGCCGAACCAAGCCTTCCAGTAAAACTCCTTGATGCGATCGTTGCGATCCTGCATCACTTCACGGATAGGAGCGTACCCGGCCTCGGGGTGGTAGGTAAACTTGAGGGGCAGGGCAACAGGCTTGCCGACAGCCGTGGTATCCTTGATCATGTTGACGAGAATCTCGTTCTTCCCAGTCAACTTGACTTCAATGACATCCACGTACTGGTTGTGTCTTGGCTGCTCCCTCACGATGATGGTCGTCTTCTGCGGCTCGTTGGGATACTGGATTTCCACAAACAAGCCCCGAGTAGGTGCAAAGATGCGGCGCATTGGGTTTGTCTGAAACTTTTGCCCCTGAGCGACAATTTCGGACATGAGAAGTGCGAACCTCCAGTTGCGATTCGGGCCCGCGAGAAGGGAGAGCCATGAGTCGACGGAAGGCATGGCGGCCGTCGCAGAAGATGACAAACGATAGGTGTTCTTGTGAGTGTCGTAGTTGACCGTCAGTCCTTCGACATCCAGCGGAATCTCGGATTCCACCAGCTTGCCACCGAAATACTCGACAGCAGGGATAGAGCTCTGATCATTGTCGTAGTAATCCCTCGTCAGAGCAGCAATGTGGGCATGGTGGATGCCGTCGAGAATATCCTTGACGGGTTCATCGACAATGGTGGAGAACCTAGCGGCCATCGGACCCTGGAGAATGCAGCACCGTCCGACGTCCTGGTCAATGACTGCATCGAGGTCTTCCGACTGCCACAAAGAGTCCTTCTTGAAGAAGTACTCAAAGTTTTCATCCAGAGCAGGGATGAAAGTTACGGGCTTCTGTCCCGGCCGCATGCAGAGGAGCAAGAAGTGCTGGACATCTTGCGCGTTGATGATTTGCGCCTCTGCCTCGGGATACTTGGCCAGAATCCGATCCACGGTGCTGAAAGGCTCGTCCAAGTCCGAATAATTTTGGAGCAACGAGGGCTGGCCGGGCGAGACGGTGAAGCGTTCCTCAACCCGATGGATAAAATCACCAGTGAGCCTTGCGAACGACGGATCAATCCATCGAGACTGATGCTTGACAAAGAGCAGCCCCACCAAGCGCCGCACAACCTCAGCGTATGTCATGTCCTCCAGGTCAACGGATTTCCCGGCCTTGTTGCAGCCAAACCACACCTTCTGGAAGTCGTCGTTGAGCTTCTTGATGATGTATTCTCGGCTCTTCTTCAGCTCTGCCACCCTCTTCTCCTTGGGGAGGCTGAAGATCTTTTGGTCCATCTCGGCCCAGAATCTGACACCACGCGTGGCGAGCTTGTGGATGGGCTCACCCATCTCGGACCGCACAGTAATGACACCGCCAGCAGGGCCCTTGTATGTCTTTTCCCACTCGCCATCGTCGAGGCCAGGGGCGTCGATAATTGCCTGTTTCGCAGTCTTGCCTGTGTGTGCTTCTTTGGCGACCATCATGCGGCTGCCGAACAAGCAGCCGTCAAACGGCATCGGTGGGTAGCCATACTTCTTCGCCCAGTCGCCGGTGATGTAGGGGTAGGTATCTTCGGCGCCACCGAAGCCGCTGCCGGCGACCAGGATTATGTTCTCTTGACGTCGAATGCGATTATACATCTGGAGGACGGGTTGGTGAAAGTCTTCGAAGGAGTGATGGCCGCCGCCTCTGCCACCCGTCCATTGAATAATGACGGGGAAGCTTGGGTTGGCTTTTGCGATGTTGATGACGGCTTGGATCGCCTCGACGGAGCCGGGCTTGAAGGCAATATGCTTGAGGCCCAAGGTCTCGATGTACTCCTGCGCAACCTCGATGGAAGGCACGCCGGCACCAATGGCCAGACCCTCGATTGGCACGCCCTCTGAGCGCAGTCTGCCCAGCAAAGGGATTTGCCACGCCAGGGCTCGGGGGTTCACGTAAAGGACGTTGACGGTGATTCCGCGACCCGAGGGAATAGCGTTTTCAATCTTGGTCAGGGCATCGGTCATCCTTTTGGCGTTGAAGTAGCCGCCGCCGCCGAGTTCAATGTGATAGCCTGCGTTCATCGTGGCAGCGACAAAGTCCCAGGGAACCGTGGCGGGAGTCATTCCAGCCACCATGATGGGAGGCAGGCCGAGAAGCCGGCTCATCTTGGTGTCGACGTACTTGCGCCCGCTCGATGTCTTGACGAGTCTGGGGCCAAATTCCTTGACCCAGTCGATGGCATACCTGACAGCGTTCTCTTCGTCTCTATCAAAGAGCTCAGGCTTGTAACCGACTTCCGTGATGGTGCCATCGATAGTTCCAGCGAGGATGACACGAACTCCGGTCCCCTCCTTGTTCCGGCTAGTCAGGATGCCGAGGCCAGAAACGCCGCCGGGGCCGAAGTCAAGGACATGCGTCGCTCCGGGGAAGACAGTTGCATTCTCCCAGTTGACAGGGTCACGTGTGATCAAGCGCACGAGAGCGGGAACGACATTGCCTTTCACCTCGGCACGGAGATCCTTGCCAGTGTTTGTGTCGAAAACCGGGATGCCCAAGGAGCCGGAGTCGATGCTAACGTCCTTCAGATCCTCGTCGATCATGGCAGTTGCCTCTGCGAGGTATTTGCTGTGGAAAGGAGCGGTGATGGGGAGAAAGCGGTTGACGAAGCGGATCTTGCGCTCCGTATAGGGAATGCGGGTCTGGTCAAGGCCTGTGGGGGCCTTTACTTTGCGCAGCTGCGAATTGAGACCGTAGAGCGAGGTGGGAGGGCCCGTGACGACAAGGTTGCGTGGGCTGTTGACGAGCGACACGCTAATGTGACGGTGGTCTGGGAGGTATTGGTTGGTGGCATCGATGTGCTTCTGCACCTCCTGCTGCGACAGATCACGTATGCTGAGCATGGGTGTGGGGGAGCCCTCGCCATTATCCATGGATTCACGCAGCATGGTGGGTGTCATGGAAGTGGTGGGAAACGCCTGCTGGCTCCGTGTTCCGATCCAGAAGAGAATGGCCAACGTCGAGCTGACGATTTCGCGCCACGAGTCCCAGGACTCGGCAGCGGCCGTCGCCGCCGCCATGACAATGCCCTGCGAGTGACCAGTGGTGCCGCTGATGCGCTCTCGCAATTGGCCTGGGTCGATGCCGAGAACCTTGCACGTCACCTCGTAGTGCGCCATCTGGACCAGGCCGATCAAGGGGAAGCTGACAGGTGCTGAGATGAGGTATTCGACATCGGGGGTGGAGTCTGGGTGCTGAAGCCAGTTCATGATATCGAGACCCTTGGGGAACATCTTCTCAGCGCTGGGGTGGTTCGACAACGTCTGGAGTTGCTCGGCAGCAGAGGTGATGAGCTCGCCGACGAAGCTGGGGTATGTCTGAAAAACTTCGCGAAGCTCCTCAAAGTACTCCTCAATGTTCCCCTGACCACCAAAGATGGTGTAGATCTCGGCGGAGCCATCGTCCGAAGCCCGCAGCAGGGCGGACTCGTGAGGCTTGATGGCACGGTTGGAGACGGCCCGGGCAAGATAATAGCTGCGAATCACCTCAAGCTTCTTGGCCTCGATGCCCGGGAGTGTGGCGGCGATGGCGTGGGCCTCGTTACCGCGGAGAAATGCTCTCTCAAACTCGTTGAGCACAAGCTTGAGAACCTCTTCGTAGGAGCCCTGGGCATCATCCTCTCCATCTTCCACCTCGCGGGCCACAGAACCCAGGTATCTTGCGACCAGCTCGGGAACAGAGGATGGCTCGTCGTCCTGAGCAAGCTCGTCGGTGGCAGCGGGCAAGCTCGCAACAAAGCGGTCTTTCAGCTGGGAGGCGTGGAAATGGAGGCTGGTCGGGACAAGGAAGGAGGTTTCGAGGGAGCCATGGGTCAGGGTCAAGGGCCGGAGAGAGGAATTGGATCTGGGGGTGGAAAGGCCCGTCTGAGGGCCGGTTCCCGTGCCGTACATGATGGCGGAAGGGTATCGTTCGAGTCTGCAGGGCAATGCATGGTTAGTCGTGCCGTCTTGCACCAGCACAAGGGAAGCAGGAAGAAGGCCATGCCTATCAGTTCAGCTCGCGGGACCGTGAGCAACTCGGCGAGCGACGCTCGTGCGATGCAACGGCAAGCTGGACAATTGCCAGTGCGGAAACTCGCGGCCCTCGTGTGACGATGGGCGGGACAAGCTTCAGACAAGATGGACCCGGACAAGCTGTCGCGACCCAAGGGAAAGGAGGTGAAAGCGACAAGGGGAATCAAGGAATCAGATGGGAACGCCGGAGGGATAGGCGGTGGGAGGATCGGGGACGCGGAGATATCAACAGCGTGTAAGTTGAAGCCGGGGAGAAAAATCGGGTGTCAGGTACAATGCATGCTGTCAGTCACTGACGGGGAGCTGGATGGAAGCATTGGCTCGCCAATTTTTTTAGTTCTGTTGGGGATGTGTCCCTCCCGCTTGACGGCAAAGGGTCCCCAGCGACAACGCGTACCTGTACATGCCTTGCCCTTGGAAGGGTGGGCCTACCTTGGGTGCTTTTAGGGTCTTTTAGGGGCCCCGAATCGGACCGGACTGCAGCGCGGCGCTGAAGACGGGACCCCGCCCAGGTCACCACCGTTGATGGCCGGCCGCTGGGGACTCGGAGAGGCTGCACGCGGCCTGCACGCCATTTCCGCTCCGTCTTGGCTGCGCGGAGAGTTTGATGCGTTCGTCAGGCAGTATCTTTGCATGAGTTTGTCGCCATTGGCACGGGCACGTCGTCGCAAACTCAAGGGCGTGATGAGCAAGCACTCCCTCTCCCTGCATATCTTACCTTCCTTACCAGCCTGGCACAATGCCTGCGCACGTACCCAGCAGGAACGCCACCCGAAGATGCAAAAGTCCGGGGCCGCCATTGTTTGATTTGGAGCAAGACACCCAACACAGGGGCAGTCGAGGCCGTGGGGACCGGTTCGGGTTCGGATGGAGCGGCTGGTTTTCGGTGTGTTCCAGCGGCACAGCGGAGCGAGACAGCACCGGCCGGTATCGGTACTTGCGATGCTGCACACAGTCCCAGCGAAATTGCGCCAACAGTCGTCGTATCTCCACCAACGGAAGTCTGGTGGGGACGCATCTCGCTGCAAGGCTCCCTGCCAGATTTAACCGGCAGGCAGGCCAAGGAACCGCGAGTACCTGCGGCTATCACGACCGCGTCAACCCACCACCCCTTTCTTTTGCCCCAACTGCTGTCATGGAGGGTTGCACTCTTTCTCACCCATCCGCTGCGTGGCCATTGCCATACTAAACACACATACATGCGAATACGAGTTCCAACGGCCTCAACGTCGCAGAAGCTGTATCCAGTCGCCAGTAACTCAACTTCATGCACAGGTGGAAGCTCGTAGAACAGCCCCGAAAGGTGACGGACTCACCAGCTCGCAGTTCGCTTTCGTCCCGAATGAGGCCGGGTGGGGCTTCCAAGGGCGAGCGTGTTTCTGGCTCCCTTCTGAACCTCCATGTACTGTAACTACAGAGACGGCTTTTGATCCAGCAGTCCGCATCCGCGTCAGGGCATTGTCAGCTTGCCGTGTTGGGCCTAGACTGCCAATCTGGTTGAGGGGCCCACCTACTAGTCCTCACTGTAAGGTACAGTACTGTACTGTACAGTACTGCATGGCGCTGCGGCCACCCTGCAGGCGTCCCCCAATTTTTTTCTACGAGCCACTAGTGGGTCCGTTCAACAATCATCAATGGGCCAAGCCTTCCCTCCCGTCCAGCCTCTATCACCACCGTCTGCATCTTTTCCTCCCCGGTTCTCCCGCCCATCCTCCTCTATCCATTTCGCAGCTGACGGTAGCAAGACTTGGGTGGTTTCTTTGTTTGCTCACATCACCCGTCCCGTCTGACCTTTACCCTTCTCCCCTTCCCCTGCTCCGCCCTGCTTGACGGGTTCGCAGCATTATCATTGCGGAGCTTGATTCGAGAGCTCCAGCCTTCACGCCACGGGGTCCAGCCACCTCTGAGTGTATAATCTCGACCTCTGTGCCTCTCGAACCGGTGGTTCAGCAGTTGGACTTTGACCGGCTCGATTGACTGGCCCCGAGACCTTGGACGCGTCCAACTTGCGCCGTCGACCTCGTCGAATCGTGTCCTCCACCATGCGGCCCGAGGTCGAGCAAGAGCTCGCTCACACCCTGCTTATTGAGCTTCTCGCGTACCAGTTTGCCTCGCCCGTAAGATGGATCGAAACCCAGGATGTCTTCCTCGCCGAGAGGACGGCCGAGCGCATCGTCGAAATCGGCCCAGCAGACACGCTGGGTGTCATGGCCAAGCGCACACTGGCCTCCAAGTATGAGGCGTACGACGCTGCAAAGTCCGTACAGCGCCAAATACTCTGCTACAACAAAGACGCAAAGGAGATTTACTACGATGTCGATCCCGTTGAGGAGGAGCCGGAGCCCGCCGCCGGCTCCGCTGATGCGCCAGCCTCGGGAGGCGCGTCGAGTGCCGCTGCCCCGGGTCCTGCATCGGCCGCCGCCGCTCCTCCTCCCCCGAGCTCGGGGCCCGCTGCCCAGATTCCAGATGAGCCGGTACAGGCTATCGACATTGTCCGCGCCTTGATTGCGCAGAAGCTCAAGAAGCCCCTTCTTGACGTTCCCCTCAGCAAGGCCATCAAAGATCTCGTTGGAGGTGAGTTGCCCTTTTCAGCTCTTCGTGAGCTCGGTTTCTGATGACACCGTAGGCAAATCCACCCTTCAAAACGAAATTCTCGGAGACCTCGGCAAGGAGTTTGGCTCGACGCCCGAGAAGCCAGAAGACACGCCTCTCGACGAGCTCGGCGCATCCATGCAAGCCACCTTCGACGGCAACCTCGGCAAGCAGTCGCAGTCCCTGATTGCAAGGCTGATTTCTTCCAAGATGCCTGGAGGCTTCAACATCACAGCTGCTCGAAAATACCTCGAGACGAGATGGGGCCTCGGGCCGGGGCGGCAGGACGGCGCTCTCCTCCTGGCTTTGACCATGGAGCCTCCGTCCCGTCTTGGCTCCGAAGCCGACGCCAAGGGGTTCTTGGATGACGTGACACAAAAACACTCGGCCAACGCAGGCTTCTCCCTGTCCACGGCATCGGCTGCCGGCTCGGATGCCTCTGCCGGCGGCATGATGATGGACCCTGCCGCCATCGACGCCCTCACCAAGGATCAGCGTGCTCTATTCAAGCAACAGCTTGAGCTGTTTGCCCGCTATCTCAAGATGGACCTCCGCTCCGGCGACAAGTCCTTCATTGATTCCCAAAAGTCGGAAAAGGTCCTCCAGGCGCAGCTTGACCTGTGGACCGCCGAGCACGGCGACTTTTACGCTTCCGGTATCGAGCCTGTTTTCAGCCCTCCCAAGGCCCGGACGTACGATTCCTCGTGGAACTGGGCCCGCCAGGATGCTCTCAGTATGTATTTCGACATCATCTTTGGCAGACTGCAGGCCATCGATCGTGAAATCGTTAGCCAGTGCATCCGGATCATGAACCGGTCCAACCCCAAGCTCCTCGATTTTATGCAGTATCACATCGACAACTGTCCCACCGAACGGGGAGAGACGTACAAGCTAGCCAAAGAACTTGGACAACAGCTCATTGAGAACTGTAAGGACGTCCTGAACGTTTCCCCCGTTTGCAAAGATGTGGCGGTTCCGACCGGCCCCCGCACAACCGTTGATGCTCGCGGCAACCTCAACTACGAAGAGGTGCCTCGTGCAAGTTGCCGGAAGCTGGAGCACTATGTCCAGCAAATGGCCGAGGGCGGCAAGATTTCCGAGTATGGGAACCGCACCAAGGTCCAGAGCGATCTGCAGCGCATCTACAAGCTCATCAGGCAGCAGCACAAGATGTCCAAGACTTCTCAGCTCGAGATCAAGAGCCTGTATGGAGACGTCCTGCGTTCGCTTGCCATGAACCAGAGCCAGATCCTGCCCAAGGACAATGGCAAGAGCAAGAAGACCAGTCTCAAGGGTGCCAACCATAGCAAGGGCAAGGTCGAGACCATCCCTTTCCTGCATCTCAAGCGCAAGACCCTCCATGGCTGGGATTACAGCAAAAAGCTCACTGCTGTCTACCTCAACTGCCTCGAGGAGGCTGCCAAGTCGGGCGTGACCTTCCAGGGCAAGCATGTCCTCATGACTGGCGCCGGTGCCGGATCCATTGGCGCCGAAGTGCTGCAGGGTCTCATCAGCGGCGGCGCCAGGGTTGTAGTGACAACCAGCCGATTCTCCCGTGAGGTGACCGAGTACTACCAGTCCATGTATACGCGCTACGGCTCGCGCGGATCTCAGATTGTCGTGGTTCCCTTCAACCAGGGCAGTAAGCAAGATGTGGAAGCACTCGTCGAGTACATTTACGACACGAAGAATGGTCTTGGGTGGGATCTCGACTTTGTCGTTCCCTTTGCTGCCATCTCGGAGAACGGCCGCCAGATCGACAGCGTCGACTCCAGGTCGGAGCTAGCCCACCGAATTATGCTCACCAACTTGGTCAGGCTTCTGGGCTGCGTCAAGGCCCAGAAGGCTGAGAGGGGTTTCGAGACAAGGCCCGCCCAGGTTGTGCTTCCCCTGTCCCCCAATCACGGCACCTTTGGCAATGACGGGCTGTACTCTGAGTCCAAGCTCGGACTCGAGACGCTCTTCAACCGATGGTACTCGGAGAACTGGGCAAACTACCTAACCATCTGCGGCGCTGTCATTGGCTGGACCCGCGGCACTGGTCTCATGTCTGGCAACAACATTGTGGCAGAGGGCGTGGAGGCTTTTGGCGTCCGCACCTTCTCACAGCAAGAAATGGCCTTTAATCTGATGGGCTTAATGTCGCCTACCATTGTCGATCTGTGCCAGGCTGAGCCGGTCTTTGCCGATCTTAACGGTGGTCTTCAGTTCATTCCCAACCTCAACGAGGCGATGACCAAGCTCCGAAAGGACATCATGGAGACGAGCGAGATTCGCAAAGCCGTTGCCAAGGAGAGCGCCATCGAGAATGCTATTGTCAACGGTGCCGAGTCCGAGGCTCTCTACAAGAAGAAGACGATTGATCCTCGCGCCAACATCAAATTCGACTTCCCCACTCTGCCGGAATGGAAGAGCGAGGTCGCCCCTCTTCATGACACCCTCAAGGGCATGGTTGACCTGGAGAAGGTCATCGTTGTCACTGGCTTTGCTGAGGTTGGGCCCTGGGGCAACTCTCGTACCCGCTGGGAGATGGAGGCACACGGCGAGTTTTCCCTCGAGGGCTGCGTCGAAATGGCATGGATCATGGGCCTCATCAAGAATCACAATGGTCCGCTCAAGGGCAAGCCTTACTCGGGCTGGGTTGATGCCAAGTCTGGTGACCCGGTCGATGACAAGGATGTCAAGACAAAGTACGAGAAGCACATCCTAGAGCATTCCGGCATCCGCCTGATTGAGCCCGAACTGTTCAATGGTTACGATCCCAACAAGAAGCAACTGCTCCATGAAGTTGTCATTGAAGAGGATCTCGAGCCGTTTGAAGCTTCCAAGGAGACCGCCGAGGAGTTCAAGCGCGAGCACGGCGACAAGGTCGAGATTTTCGAGATTCCCGACAGCGGCGAGTATATCATTCGCATGAGAAAGGGAGCCTCGCTTTGGATCCCCAAGGCGCTCCGCTTCGACCGTCTTGTCGCCGGTCAGATCCCTACCGGCTGGGACCCCAAGCGCTACGGCGTTCCGGAGGACATCATCTCACAGGTTGACCCTGTCACCCTGTTCCTTCTCGTCTCCACTGCAGAAGCCCTTCTCTCTTGCGGTATCACGGATCCATACGAGTTTTACAAGTATGTCCACGTCTCCGAGGTTGGCAATTGCGTCGGATCTGGCATGGGCGGTGCTGCGGCTCTCCGCGGTATGCACAAGGATCGCTTCCTGGACAAGCCGCTCCAGAACGACATTCTGCAAGAGTCTTTCATCAACACCATGGCAGCCTGGGTCAACATGTTGCTCATTTCCTCATCTGGACCAATCAAGACCCCTGTCGGCGCTTGCGCCACTGCAGTAGAGTCGGTCGACATTGGCTACGAGACCATTATGGAGGGCAAGGCCCGTGTCTGCTTCGTGGGTGGCTTCGACGACTTCGGAGAGGAGGGATCCTACGAGTTCGCAAACATGAAGGCGACAAGCAACACGGTGGATGAGTTTGCGCATGGCCGAACTCCCAAGGAGATGTCTCGCCCGACGACGACGACGAGAAATGGCTTCATGGAGTCGCAGGGATGCGGAATCCAGGTTATCATGACCGCCAGACTGGCTCTCGACATGGGCGTTCCCATCTACGGTATCCTGGCTCTCACCACGACCGCTTCCGACAAGATTGGCCGATCTGTTCCTGCACCAGGGCAAGGCGTTCTCACTACTGCCCGCGAGCACGCCGGCAAGTTTCCGTCTCCGCTGCTCGACATCAACTACCGTCGCCGACAGATCGAACGGCGCAAGAAGCAGATCAAGCACTGGCAAGAGTCGGAGCTGGAGTTTGTGCACGACGAGATCGAAGCAATGAAGGCTCAGGGCTCGACCTTTGACGAGAAGGAGTATGCCCAAGAACGCATCTTGCACATTGAGAAGGAGGCCGTCAGGCAAGACAAGGAGCTCCTGCGAAGCATGGGCAACAACTTTTGGAAAAGCGACCCGAGCATCGCCCCGCTACGTGGCGCTCTCGCTACTTGGGGCCTCACTATTGATGATCTGGGAGTTGCGTCCTTCCACGGCACGTCGACCAAGGCCAATGACAAGAACGAGTCCTCTGTCATCTGCCAGCAGCTGCGCCACCTGGGACGCAAGAAGGGCAATGCTGTCCTGGGTATCTTCCAGAAGTATCTTACCGGTCACCCCAAGGGTGCTGCGGGTGCCTGGATGATGAACGGCTGCTTGCAGGTCCTCAACACGGGTTTGGTTCCTGGCAACCGCAATGCCGACAACGTCGACCCCATCATGGAAGACTTCGACTTGATTGTGTACCCGAGCCGCAGCATCCAGACGGACGGGATCAAGGCTTTCTCGGTCACGTCCTTTGGTTTCGGCCAGAAGGGAGCCCAGGCCATCGGTATCCACCCCAAGTACCTGTTTGCCACTCTCGATGAGCGCGCCTACAACGAGTATTGTGCCAAGGTCGAGGCCAGGCAGAAGAAGGCCTACCGCTACTTCCACAACGGCCTGATCAACAACAGCCTGTTCATCGCCAAATCCAGCTCTCCTTACACTGAGGAGCAGCTCCGGACTGTCCTGTTGAACCCAGACGCCCGCGTGTCGGAAGATACGAAGACGTCTGAGCTCAAGTACGCGGCCAACTTCATGAAGCAGTCTGAGAAGACGGTCTCAGCCTCGAGGGCCAGCGAGACGCAAAAAGTGATGGAGGCGTTGGCGCACAAGGTGGCCAGCAAGAATAGCCGGATCGGAGTCGACGTCGAGGACATCACGGCCGTCAATATCGACAACGAGACTTTTCTGCAGCGCAACTTCACCGCCGAGGAAACCAGCTACTGCCAAAAGGCTCCGAGCCCGCAGAGCTCCTTTGCGGGCAGGTGGAGTGCCAAGGAGGCGGTTTTCAAGTCACTTGGCGTGCCCAGCAAGGGAGCCGGCGCGCCCATGAAGGACATTGAGATTCTGAGAGACGACGCCGGCGCGCCCACTGTTTCGGTAAGATTGCCCGCGCAGGGAGTGGCCTTGGAACACGATACTAACGTTATTGTAGCTCCACGGCGAAGCGGCGGCTGCTGCCAAGCAGGCTGGTGTCAAGAGCATCACGTTGTCCATCTCGCACTCGGATACGCAGGCTATTGCCGTAGCTGTTGCCAACTTTTAACTGTGAATGGGCGAGATACTGGAAATGGTGGTACGAATAGCCGAGCCCGAATTGTGGGCGCGTGTGTAGCTTATCCGGGTCGTTTTGTTTGTTCTTGGTAGATAGACTTGATGTGTTCTGATGGATGAAGGGAATGGGTTATAAAGTCCAGCGTCGAGGTTCGAATACGCAAGTGCGTCGGCGGAGAGCGGTATCGCAAGATGGATGCACTGTAGACAGACATGCCCTTTCAACGTGCTATGTATCATGTTGTCTTTGCTGTTGAAACAGAGTCAAGTCCTGGTGCGTGTCTGCGAGGCGAGCCTCTGCAGAGCATTTCGTCTACGAGAGCCGAACAAGGTTGGTGCACGGGGAGACCAAAGCTTACGCCCACTGATGCGGTGCGAGCAAGTCCACAGGAGCGCCAGGGGAAGGAGGCGGAAATAGTCGGGTCCCATGCTCTCTAATTGATAGGGTATATGTAGATGATACAGCTAAACAAAAAAGCACAACAGCCAATGCGCACGACGACAGGAACTCGGCCACGACCTTTCCTCGTATGATGCAAATAGCACCGTGATAGCGGCGGGCAAGAGACTCATTGGCCGCGACCCCTTCCGCGACCGCGTCCTCCGCCGCGACCCCTTCCCCTGTCGCCGCCGCCACGGCCGCCGTGTTCGCCCCTCGACTGTCCGCCCCTGCTGCCTCGGAAGCCTCCTTGCTGGTTCTTTTGCGACTCGCTGACTTGGTCGATGATTTCTTCGGGGACGCGCAGGTATTTGATCTAAGGGGCGTTAGCAGACGTCCTCTGCCCCTCCAGGGACGGGCGCTCCGAGGCCTTTACGTACGTTGTTGCCCTTGATGTAGGCCTCTTTTAGCTTCATGAACTTATCGCCTTCCTGCGAAGAGGCCGGGGGGGTTAGCTTGAGGCTCGCTCGACTCGCTTCTCGTCAGTCGGGTCTCGCGCAGAGGGCTGCGTACAGGGCTCGTTTGCACCACCTCCTTGAGGGTGAGGTTCATCCAGTTGTCGCACATGACGAGGTGTCCGTTGAGCGTCTCTCCATTCTTCAGCTCGACCAGCATGGGCTGGCCTTGGGCCGCGTTGAGCAAGCCGAGGGGCAACTGCGGTGATTGGAGAGAGTTAGGCGTGAGGAGAGTCGCTGGGTAAACGCTGGAGGTAGAGACGAACCATGGAGCCCTTGTTTTGCGCAAGGCAGTCGCGCTGTTTTGAGAGGTGTGATGGGCAGCCGCTGTGACCTTTGGGGCTGAGCTGGGGGTTCGGCGTGTCTTGCGAGCTTGAGTGTCGTTGACATGTGGTGGGGCCCCGAGGAAAATGCACAATTGGCTCCAAGGTACTTGAAATGCGCTTACCTAAGCAGATAGTCGGCAGAATATTGACTTGTTAAACCTGGGCTCTGACTAACGTAATCCACCCCCTTCCCGGTCAGACCCCCTACTCGGTCAAAAATTCCCCACCGACTAGACCCGCACCTTACGCGAGACAAACGGACAATACCACGACATATTTACTCCAAGAGACAAGTAACTCGATTAGGACTATCTATTACACGTACGGGCAGTGTGTTCAAAAGACCTGCACTTACTACACCGTGGTGGTGCACGCTGTCTTGGGACACTCAGCTCTTCTATAAGTCGTTGGTCCCGCTCCCCTTCTTCCCGCCGTCGCTTGGCCCGCTCATCTTCCTTTGCTCTCTGTTTCTTGACCCGCTCCTCTTCCTTTTCTCGCCGTAGCTTGAACCATTCCTCGTTCTCTTGTCGCCGTCGCTCGGCCCGCTCTTCTCCTTCTTGTCGTCGCTTGGCCCGCTCCTCGTCCTTCTCTCGCCGGCGCTTAGTCCTCTCCTCTTCTTCCACTCTCCGTCGCTTAACCCGCTCTTCTTCTTCTTCTCTCCGTTGCTTTATCCTAACCGTGCCCTCTGCAACCGATAGAGTACCGCCGTCGCCAATGTATTCACGGCGCTGTTCTTTTCTCTGCTTTCGCCGCTGGTTTTCTGACCGAAGTTGCCGGTTTTCGTCGGCAAGGAGGGCGGCGCTGTGCATGGCCATTTGACATCCTTTGATAAGCTGGTTGATAGCTTGTGAAACTGGCGAGTCTGTATTTTGTGGCCGGCGTTGAAGAAGCCTTTCGGCGTGAGTGGTAAGCTGGTTGACGTTATGCGGAGTCTTGGCTGCTTCCAGGCTCTTGTTGGGACTTGGAGTATTCTTGTCGCCGTGATCGTTACCGACTTTGTCAACCTGAACTTGTAACCGCGATAATACTCTGTTTGGGTCAAACGGAAAAAAGGCCTGTTGCCATAAATCCGCTTCGGATATTCGACGGCGAAAGTGCTTGTCGGCGAGCGTCTAAGTACATGGGAAGGAAGTCCTGCTTGTCGATATGATGGATCCCAGCGAGCATTTTCTCTTGAACCTTTCGGCCGTATATGGTTTTCAACGGCGAAAAGCACCCGACATCAAGAGGCTGCAAGAGATGTGAGGAATGTGCAGGCATTTGGAGTACTACGATGGAATTGGCCGTACAGTACTTGTCAAATTCCGGCGTGACGTGACTGCCGTGCCCGTCGAGAATAAGAAGTCGATGCGTACCAACCGTACGGCGCCGTGTATTCGGATCAAAGACTTCCTTTAACCAATTCAAAGCAAGGTCGTCGGAAGTCCAGCCATTCTCACTAACGGCGATATGCCAGTCATCGGGCACTCCTGATTCGTACCAGCTTGCTTGGTGTAACTTGCCCTGGAAGATAACCTTCGCCGGTAAAGCCCAACCTTGGCAGTTGATAGACTCGATCACAGTAACCCATTCTCGATTTCCAGGCTGCGTGAGTACTGCCCGACCTCGCCGGTCAGACCGGGTAAGGACTCTCGCCGTTGCAGCGACTCCATTTGAAACCCCGTCTCATCAAAGTTATAGACATCCTCGTCAAGAATCCCCCATTTCTGTTTCGTCGCCGCGACTCGATCGTACCATCCTTGGATCTTTTGGGGGTCTTCGCATTTGGCTCGTTGGTAGTCGTATCGGCGAGAGTACTTTGCCTTGATTTCGCCGTGGCGGCCAACAAACTTCCGCACCCAGTTTTCCCCGACAGGATCTTTGCCTCGCTCGGAAAGCAATAAGTTGGCCATCCGACGAGTGTAAGCCACTGTCGGCGGCATCCTCGCTCGTCCATCGACAAGATCCATTGTACCAGGGCAGTCTCTTCCGTCGCCGTCAACTTCAGGTTGTTCATCTGAGCGTCGCGTCGGCGAATGACACCGCGCAGTCGATCAGATACTGTCGATTGAGGACGTCGTATGCGGCCGCAGCCTTGCGGGTACTTTGAATTGGCCCTGCTGATAGGCCCTGACGGCGAGCAGGACCCGTTCTTCGCGTGGAACCGATTGGTCTCCCGTTGCCGTCATAGTGCTCGGTTTGTCTTGCCATAAGTGTGGGTCGCCGCGTGGAGACTTTTTCTGACCGAGTAGGGGGTCTGACCGGGAAGGGGGTGGATTACGTTAATTAACTACCAGCTTGCCAGCACACAGCTCTGACTAACTATGCAGCATATAAAAAATGGGGAGCCTATAGCGAGTGCCCCTATGTCACGGCCCAACGTGTCATAGACCAATGTGTAGGAATTACGGTTGGGCTCACGCCCATACGCACCCATGATACGTACATGGATCTCGCCCTAACTAAATCTACATCTACCGGGAATGACCGACGCCATCTCCATTTCCGAGTTAAGCCTCGAGGGCATCAACATGCACCGCGACGTGGCTAACCCTTAGGCAATTCCCACCTCGCCCTTACCGGCACACTGCCTACTGAGCTCAAGCAGGTGCAGTCGCTAGGGCGCCCTCTCCTACTGGTCATGCATACCCGATTCTTACGGGAGAAGAAGCAAAAGTGCTTGGTGCTGGGCCTGGGCCTCGCGTCTTCCGCCAGCTGGCTCCGCGCGACGCCTTTAGAGCGCCCACGCTTGCGCCTCGTCCTCGGCTCCGGCTCCGGCTCCGGTTCTGCTTCCATAGCCCTGGACCTAAGCTCCGACGAGCTGATGCGTATGCTCCGTCGCCGACGCTTTCTGCCCAGCGCTCTGGCGGCTTGCACCGCGTCAATCTCCTCGGATCTCCTCCGCCTCCTTTCGGCCTCCTATTCACCGCAAATCCCCTCTGCTTCTTTCCCCACTCCCGCCTCCACCCGCGAACCCCGACAAGCTATAGCAATACCACTGGGCAATGTAGAGGATAAGATGGAATAGAATGGCTCCATCTTATCCTCGGTCGAACCAAGGATCAGCAAGAGCATCTCTTGCTGTATCCCTGAGAGACGGTTCAAACTTTAACATACGTTTAATTAATCCACCGACTCTTACAATGTCCTCCCTTGAGAAGTCAGGGTGTTCGTTATCGTCGAAATATACTTCTTCCAACCATTGTTGAAGTGTGCAACTGTCGTCTCCACGAGGAACATATTTTTGCATTGCTTGCCATTTGGCCTGCCATCGCGATGGTAGCTCGTCAGTAGCGAACTCCATCATTTGTTGAACAAGGATCGGCGGGGTCAACATTATGACATCGAAGGGAGGTTGGCCGGTGACAAGTTCAAACAGCTATATTAGTTCGCTCATTCGTCTGGCAGTATGAACGGGTGCTTTACCATGCAGGCAGCGCTCCATAGGTCCACTCGACGATCCAATAGGTCTCCGAAGACGACTTCTGGTACACGTACAGGTAACGGGATGTGTAGTGTGCGTGGGATATTATTATTGAAGAATGCCTCCCCAAAGTCGATGATTTTGACAGACCGGGACGACAGGAGGATGTTTTTGTTTAGAAATAGGGTCGGCCGAACGACGTAGGTCGGCACGTTGTCCGATAAAGGCCGACCATCCAGTCTACTCACCAGGCTGATTTCTGGTTCTCCAAGCTTGTCGAAAAAACTCGCTTCGTCCGAAGAACTTAGGTCTGGTATCATGATTGCTAAGTTTCGAGTGTGGAGATCTATGGCTAGAATCAGCAGGACGCAGAGAAAGCATTTGTAACGGGTCAACTCACCCCCATGGCCAATATCGTTGCTTGCAAGGTAATCAAGCCCTTGTAGAGCTTGATGAGCAAAGAGTCTTGCAAGCCTGGCCGGAAGTCTGTCATCTTTAAGGCGTGACTCGACAAAATCCGCCACGCTGGGGCCTAGGATCTCCAGCACAAGACAATCGTGGGTTCCGTTAGGGCCAACACAGTAAAATAATCCAACATCTGGTTCAAACGGTACCACCCAGAATGCCTTCGTGGAAGGGCGGAAATTGCCTTCAAGACTTCAAGCTCGCGTTTGTGTTCTATATTTGAAACTGAAATCTTGATGGCAACGTATCGGTCTTCTCTACGCATGAGTAAGAACAGAAAGTTTAGCACGCCATTTCGTGCAGTTAGACCTACTTTCTGTCTTTTGCAGCCCACGTAGTGGAATAACCGCCCCAGCCTAGCTTGTGGACAATTTGATACCGGCCGTCCTGCAGAACGTGGCCTAATCCAAGTAAGTGGATGGTAACCTCCTTGTTGATATCTGTGCAGCGGCTCGGCTTGTATGTCGCATCTGTATATCTGTCGTTGCATTTTCGAATGGAGCTGACGAGCGGAGTAGCACCCAAGTGAGTGATAGAGTAATGATGGCCGTGTTCTACCTGAAGTGAGAAGTCGCATCCTGATTGCAAGTTGCGACACTGACGAGGGATCGTCATGGTTTGTGTCAAATCTTCCTCTCAACCGTTGGCGACCCGGCCAGCTTGCCATCTTAAACCCCGCCAGATGCATAGCCCCGCCCACCGAGAAGCTCTGGCGGCGAGCTGACAAAGAAAGGACCGACATCTTTTTCGGCTCGCTGGCAGGCCACCGCATCAGACGACGATGCGCCGCAGCCAATTCATTCTTGGCGGATTATGGCGCCGCTTATGCCCGGTGCTAGAACAGGCGCCATGGAGAAGGACCGTCGGCTCGGTCCATGCCAGGCGGCTCTACGGCCCAGCCAGACAGTCCGCGCCTCCGGGTCTGCTGCAGAACCGCCGCCGCTACAGCACAAGCGCGATGGGCGCAATGGAGGCCAGCCGGGTGGATCAGGGGCAGCCGCCGTGTCGAAGGACGCCCCGCGAGGCAACGTGGGAAGAGCGGCTCCTCCAGCCGACGGCGCCGAGTGAAGCCACTCTGCTCGATGCACCAGTCGAGGAAATCGTCACGGCTCTCATGAGGATGAGGGACCCGCGCGGATGGAGCTTCTACGGCCAAGACATTGACCGGCACGGGCGCATCTTCCAGTTTGTGGGCCACCTGCTGGGTCCTCGAGAACAGCGGCTCAGCCTTTTCATGTACGAGTGCATCATGGACGCCATGGCCGACCCCCGAGGCTCCGTCGAGGGAGTGCGCAAGTTGCTCGAGGACCTGGAATCCCAAGGCATGAAGCCCACGGCGACCATGTGTCAGGGCGCTCTGGCCGCGCTGGCCAACCATCCCGACTACGGGCTGCGCCAGGACCTTCTCGACATGATGCGCGACTACTGGTTCACGGTGGACCAGGACGCCAAGCAGCACGTCGTCGTTGGCTTGTTGCGCGACGAGCAGTACGAGCTGGCGTACGCGCGGCTCACCGACATGATTGAGCAGGGCGCGCTCGTCGCGCCTTGGGTCTACGACGTCTTCATCCTGGCCTTTGGCAAGCTGGGTTTCTTGGACGAGATGATGCTACTGCTGCGTCGGCGCAGGGACCTTGCCGAGTCAGACCACGTGGTTACGAGCTTGCTCTACTACGCGCTGGATGTCTGCAGTCAGGCCTTTCACCGCGAGGGCACTATATTTGCGTGGAACGCCGCGGTGAGGAGCTCCATGGTGCAGCCGCCCGACGGCATCGTCGAGAACGTCCTGGCGACGGCGTCGAGGCACGGCTACGCCGTCCTCGCCACCGAGGCGCTCGACCTGCTCTCGCGAAGAGCCCGGGTGCTACCCTACCACTACGAGGCGGTAGTGGAGGCTTTTGCGGGAAGCGGCGACGTGGCTGGCGCGCTACGAGTCCTGTGCATTATGAAGAAGAACGGCACCAGCATCGGGCGCGAGCACACGTCTTCGATCAGGACGGCCATCAGGCGCATCCCACGGATTATTGACCAGGCCGAGACAGCGCTCCGAAAGCTGGCGGAAGTGGAAGCGGTGCCATTGGCGGCAGCGAGCGCGGTCGTCGAGGCCACGGCCGAGGCGCAGGGCAGCGAGAGGGTGCTGGCTCTGTACGGTGACGTGGCAATGCTCTGTGGGGAAGCGGTGGAGGCGACGACGATGCAGACGCTCATCATGCACAGCAAGACGGGCGAGACGAGACGGGCGCTCGCTCGGGACTACACGGCCAAGATGGCGGAGCAGGCAGACCCGGTGCGGAGCCCAGGCGCATACGAGAAGCTCATCACGGCGTGCGCGAAGGAGGGTGAGCTGGACCTGGCATTGCGGTTCGCGGCGCAGGCCGTGGCTCTAGTGGGCCCGGGGACCACGAGCCGGCGACAGCTGGGGTGGATGAAGCCGCTGTTGGACTGCGCGGCGGCGCGCGGGGACGGGCGGATCTGGGGGGTGCTGGATGAGGTGGAGCGGCGGGGAGACGAGGGAGCGCGGAAGATGGTTCGGATGCTGCTGCTGCAGAAGCGGCTAGCGAAGCGGGCGGCGGGCCGACAGGCGTCGTCGTCGACTACGGGGTTGGAAACTGACGGCACTACCACTCCCCCCCAGGACTCGACGGCATTCTGAGCGGGCAAAGTGCAGAGGCCCTCTCGTCGACCTCATGAAGACGGGGCCTTTTGGTTCAGGCCAGCCAATGGGTATCCGGTTCGCTTTTTTGGACTTGGGACGGCAGCATCTCTGAGGGCCCGCGCCTGTCGTGTGCCAGCATATCTTCTCTTCTCTTCTGACTTATTTTTTTCTGCTCACCTTTGCCACCCCTGACACTGGCATGCCTTCACGAGCTTTTTTTCATCCGCACTTTGTTTTTCAGTCTTGTATGATCTGGAGGAGCTTTTAAGCCCCGGGTGAGAAGGGTCGGCGTCGGGCTTAAGCGGACTTGTGGTTTTGGACTTTGGCAGACGGGATGGAAGATGGAGGGGGGCGTCAAGGTTGGAGGAGCGTCAAGGTTGGAGGAGCGTCGTGGTTGGTCGGGGCCGGATTAAACAACTACGGTTGAGGCTCTGGGGGTAGTACGGAAGTACCAAGGTACGTACGCATGGGTACACCAAGTGAGCAGGCATGGCAGGTTGCTGATGAGTCAAACGAGATGAAGGCAGACGGGACTTTTGTTGCAACGGGCGCTGCGTTGGAGGCGGAGGCATGCATGATCGAGGGGAAAGAGGTGAATTCGTTGGTGCGCGGTTGTTGCCGAAGAACAGGGCTGCGCGCGGTTTAGGGGTCCGGGGGTCCACGTCTATCAAGGTGATGATGATGCACGTAAGCACACACTGCTGATGGTACGGATCCGGACGGGGCTGAAACCAAAAAGACCCCAAAGCTTGTCAGTCGGGGCTGCAGGGTTGTGTGGTGTGCTTGCATGGAGGCGAAGGTGGTGGTGGTGGTGGTGGTGGTGGTGGTGTAATAGGATCCGGCCGGCTCCGGATATTGACAAGAGGCGTTGCGAGGGGACGGGACAATCAATATACCTGGTGTCAGACGGCGAGGTGAGTCGGGCGAGACATGAACGACGACGACGACGACGACGACGACGGCAACAACAACAACAACAAAAAACACATGGCGGCTTGCTTCCGGCCTCGTGTGTGCGCATATGTGACTCGGTCTGGACGGCGATGGCGTCATGGAAAGGGGGGAGTTGTGCTGCGACAAAGACGGTGACGGGGGAGTGACTGACATGGGCCTAACCTGTCAGGGCCTCCGATAAGCTGTTCCCGCCTGTCCAATCGTCGGCTAGCAAGCACGCAAGCCGTCTCCCCGCTGGTCATCTCTCTCCCGGCCCGGAGCTTACCAATCTCCGCCGAGAGTTGCTCCGACTCTTGACTCCGTCTCTCACTCGCGGAAAGCAAGCAAACAGCACCAAGGACTGGCTGGCTGAAAGAGGGAAAGCGTGCTGTTCAAGCCCTACTTTGTCGACTACCGAGAGCGAAGCTGGACCGACGAGCCCTCTTTCCTTTCTTTCCCCGTGTCAAGTGTCATTGAACCATTGGTCGGTTTCTTTTTCTCCATTAATAATTATCAATGCATCATTCTAGCCTGGCAGCGATGCCGCTTGCGAGCGAGGCCCCCGCTTGCTCGTGCTGGGTCCCCGGACATAAGCCATCATCGTGGCTGCTTGCTCGGGGCAGAGAAGCTCCAAAGGACATGGAGCTTCATGGTAAGCAAGGAGCTGTGCCGGGCGAGAGAGCCGGCCCCTGATTACCAAGCCCTCCGGCCCGGCCATCCATCGCTTGCTGTGGTTGTCTATATATTGACATCAACACGCCTCCTATGAGACTATACTCGTCTGTCAGTAGCCTGGTTTCCATCGTGTCGACTTTGAGCGTGGTTTATATATACACATATATACGCTCACCCTCGAGTGAGGAGGCTCTTGCAAGACCTTGTTCAGCACCATCCTTGGACTGGACATGGACAACTCGACATAACCACCACCCACCCATACATACATACCGCCCAGTTCCTACATATATACGATAACCATATTCGATAACCGGATACCCCCCCCCTCGATAGATTCTCTACACGCGTCAACCGCATCATGGCCGACCTCGTCCGAGACGCCCCCGTCGGGCAGCTCATCCGCTGGGCAACAAACAACCGCTACCTGCAGTATCCTGAGGAAAAGGCCGACTTCCAGCTGCCGCGGCCCTGGCAACAGCTCCTCAAGGACCCAGACGCCGCCGTCGCTGCCGATGATGAACCCCGAGAGAGGCAGCAGCAGCAGCAGCAGCCATCGCCATCCTCATCCTCCTCGTCCACGAACGGCACCGCCATCGACGACAAGGATGAGCAGGATGAGCAGCAAACCGTCCAAGGCGGCGGCGGGGATCAGGAAGCCGCCGCCAACGCCGTGGAAAAGGTGCAGTCGGTGCCCATTGTGCCGCGGCGCACAAAGGACGGCGCCATCCTCGTCGACTGGTACTACAGCGACGACGCCGAGGACCCTCACAACTGGAGCGACGCCAAGCGCGCCCTCGTCGCCGTCGTCATCTGCTTCTACACCTTTGTCGTCTACACCTCGTCGGCCATCTACACCTCGTCGGCCGAGGGCATCATGCGCGCCTTCAACGTCGGCCAGCTCGAGGCCACCCTCGGCCTCTCCCTCTACGTCCTCGGCTACGGCATAGGGCCCCTCGTCTTCTCTCCGCTCAGCGAGATTCCGCGCATCGGCCGGAACCCCGTCTACGCCATCACCATGTTCCTCTTCGTCATCATCTCTATACCCACTGCCTTTGCTCCAAACTACGCCGGCCTCATGGTCTTGCGCTTCCTCCAGGGCTTCTTCGGCTCCCCCTGTCTGGCCTCGGGCGGTGCCTCTCTCGGCGACATGTACAGCCTCATCTCCTTGCCCTATGCCATGGTGGCCTGGGTCTCGGCCGCCTACTGTGGACGTGAGTCCTGCCTCTCTCCGTTTTCTGTCTATATCACGGTACACTGACAAGCAAAACAGCCGCCCTCGGCCCCCTGCTCAGCGGCTTCGCCGTCCCCGCAAAGAACTGGCGCTGGTCCCTCTACGAGTCCATCTGGGCCTCGGCCCCCGTCCTCCTCGCCATGCTCATCGCCTTGCCCGAGACGAGCAGCGCAAACATCCTCCTGCGCCGCGCCCAGCGCCTCCGCCGCCTCACCGGCAGCGCCCGCTTCATGTCCGAGAGCGAGATTGAGCAGCGCAACATGAAGGTCTCGTCCGTTTTCATCGACGCCCTCATCAAGCCCCTCGAGATTACCCTCAAGGACCCGGCCGTGCTCTTTGTCCAGCTCTACACGGCCATAATCTACGGCATCTACTACTCCTGTAAGTGTCTCTCCTTGCTCTTGCCCGAGTCCATGGCTGACCTTTACGCCTTGTAGTTTTCGAGGTCTTCCCCCTCGTCTACCCCGTCTACTACAACATGACGCTCGGCCAGATCGGTCTCGTCTTCCTCTGCATCCTCGTCTCCTGCATCATCGGCATCGTCCTCTACTGCTCTTACCTCTACTGGTACATGCAGCCGCGCATTGAAAGGTTCGGCTTCCCCCCGCAGGAGAACCGCCTCGTGCCCGCCCTGGCGGCCGCCTTTGGCCCAACCATTGGCCTCTTCCTCTTCGCCTGGACCGCCCGCGCCTCGGTCCACTGGATCGTGCCCACCATTGGCATCACCATCTACGGCGCCACCTGCTTCGTCGTCATGCAGTGCATCTTCGTATACGTGCCCCTCAGCTACCCCAAGTACGCTGCCAGCCTCTTCGCCGCAAACGACTTCTTCCGCAGCGCCCTCGCCTGCGGCAGCGTCCTCTTTGCCCACCCGCTCTTTGTGAACCTCGGCGTTGCCCGGGGCGTCAGTCTTCTCGGCGGCCTCAGCATCATCGGCATCGTCGGCATCTGGCTGCTCTACTTTTATGGCGCCAGGCTCCGCGCCCTGAGCAAGTTTGCCGTCTCGGGCGACTAGCCCGTCCGCGGGGCACACAATTAATTGCTCATGCTTTTGGTAACGCAGCATGGCGGGATGCTCGGCTCCTGACGGGGCATTCTCCAACATACATCACGAGGCGTTGGTTGGCTTGACTCGGTATCTGCTTGTATTCCCCCTTGCCCCCTAGGGCTGGGCTCATAAAAGGCGCAAAGGTAGCCGCCGCCATATCGGGTAATTAGATGATATAAGACGTTGAAATGTCACATAATGAAAATAGACTTGAGGATGCCACTGGGCGCACCATCATTGGGCACACCAGCTACCTCTATTGCGACTCCAAAAAGGGTCATCGTCCGACATAATGAAACAGTCTCACCCTGGTTCAAATTGCCGTATCGCCTGGCCAAGCTCAAATCCTCGCCCCTCGCCTTGACCAACTGCTCGTTCGTCGAGCATGTCTCACCCTGCTCCCCTCCTCTCTCGTGCGCAGCGTCTTGTCCCTTGTCGAAGAGCAGCGCCCGAAGAATCGGTAATCAAAGATGATAGAAAAAGCCAAATGATAAAGAAAGAGGGCTCGCAGCCGTAGTCAGATACAAACCTGAGGCCAGACACGGAAAACGACTCCGTGCCACACGGGCGAGCAGTTACGAAACCCCTCCCCAGGGTTCGTCCGGCATCTTCCAGCTGTAGTTGGACCTCTGAAGCCCAAACGGATACGACGAGTTGCTGGGGTCGTTGAAGCTGTACCAGTTCTGCTCCTGGTGGCCCTGCGCTGGCTGCTGTTGGCCCTGCGCCGGCTCCTGTCGCTGCTGCCGTTGTCGTTGTTGTTGTTGTTGTTGTTGTTGTTGTTGTTGTTGTTGTTGTTTGTGGTGGTGATTATTCATGGATCCGTGCCCCTGCCCCTGACCGGGCCGTGCCGGCTGAGAAGCGGTGCGCAGGTTAAACTCCGAAGACGAGGCAGAGACTTGGCTGGACCTCCTCCCGGCACCTTGGGCGGTGCTGGTGCTGTTGTTGTAGGGTGAGTTGGTCCTGCTCGGCGCGTTGTGGCCCCGCGAGGCCGACAACGAGTCCGGCAGGTTGAGGGTGTTGGCTGGGTAAGCTGAAGCCATGGACGAGTCCTCCATCGACATGGTTGAGGCAGTGCTACGGTCATAGTCGTAGGCTGGGTACGACGCGGTGCTTTGGTTACTTCTCTGATACGAGTACGGCTCGTACCCGATTCTGTCAGACGTCGTCGGTGTGTTTGGCAACGCCTCCGAGTACCTGCCATAGTTGCTGAATGACGACGGGTTCATGTTGAGTGCCGCAGGCCGGTACTGGCTGCTGCTAGTCGGGTTGCTCGTGGTCGTCGGCTCTGCCGGTGGCGGGGCCTGAAAGGCGCTTCCTGAAGAATGCACCCCCCTAGGTGTCTTCGTTTGAGACCGCTGGGCCTGTCGGGATTTTGTGCCCAAGTCCTCGGCCGGATGGAAGGAGGTGGACTGCGTCGAGGGCTGCATTGTCATGGGTAGGCTCTGTGATTGTCTCTGATGCTCCAGTGCCGCCTGCGAGAGGGCGACAGCGTCCTGCATCCGGGGAGAAGCCGCCGGAGGCCCGCGGTCCGAACCGCGGGAGCTCGCCTCGCCTGCCGTACGTTTATGTGGCTGTGAAGCGTGCGGCTGCGGAGAGCTCATGGCGGCCCCCGTGGTTTGAGAGCTCGATTTGACGCTGCTTGGCCATCGAGAGACGGCGGCGGGTGGCATAGGCGCACGATCGCGGCCATGTTGCTGTGGAGGTCCGGTGGGCAGACTCCGCCTAGGGCCCTTGGCTGCCTGCTGGGTTTGCCGAGGGGACACCAGCAGGTGGAGAGGCTCGTCGGCCCTCTGGTGCAAGGGGGACGTGTCTGTCGTCGTCGGTGTCATGTGGGGTGGAAAATGAACAGTCCCCTCGGGGAACACCAGGCCGGAGCTGGATGTCTGTATCTGTTGCGAAACTGGAGGCTCCTCAGGTTGAGGCAGGGTCAGGCCTGATGCCGATCGAAAGTACGGAAGCTGAGCTTGGTGCATTGGCTGAGTCGTGTGGTTTTGTATGTCGACATTCGGTGAAAGCATGTCGGAGACGGGGATTTGCGGGTAGGATGAATAGTCGGGTTCGTCGCCCCCGGCCACGGCATCCACCTCCGAGTGTTCGTCCTGGGGCTCTTCTTCTTGTGACGCGCCGTCTTGAAGCTCTTCCTCTTCCGACCCGGCTTCTTGAATCTCCCCCACCACGGGTTGATATGCTGGCAGGGCCATTTGCGGGTGCTCCTGGACCTCCTCTTCCGGCGGCTCCTGCGGAGGGGCTGAATCAAGTTGCGAATCTTCCTCGGCGTCATAGTCGGCAGGCACGACGGCGTCCGACTGACTCTTGCTGTTCCTGGGCCTTGGCGGTGCATATTCGCACGCCAAACCGCTGGTTTGGCACTCGGCACAGGTGGGCCGCTCTCGTGGACACTGGGCCATCTGTCAGCGAACGGGCTACTAAGTGACGAGAAAGGAAGTAAAACGGAGAGCGCATACCTTGACCTTCCGGCCTTTACACTGAAGGCACGCAGTGCGCGACCTGCCCGTTTTTCTGCGCTTCGGGCCCTTGGCAATCCCCTCGATCTCGTTCTCCGAGCCGGGAGCCACCAGCTCCGTCGTGGTCATGGATTCCGAGGGTGCAGCGTGAGTATTCTGCATTGGTGCCGGCATGGTGCTCGGTGGTACCGAGGTTGAGCTGTCCCTGTTGCTCGGGTGCACGATACGGAGCCGCTCTGCGCCGTACTTGACAAGCATGTTGAGTGACTCCCTCTGCAGGTCGGGCGACTGGTTGGCAAAGATGCTGAACTGCTCGATCGACAGCGTTTCTGGATCGACGCCCGCCTCGGACAGCAGCTTCGTTGCGGCATTCCGACGACGTGTTGCTTCTTCAGGCGAGAGGTTGAGTGGGAAGTTAGCGGCAGCTGAAGGTTGATGAGGACCTTGTCCCGTGTGCGCCGCATCCATGGCAGAGCCATCGGCGACTACACCGTCGGAAAATTGGAGAGATCCCTGGCCGTTTTGGGCGTCGTTCTCACCGAACGTCGGTTTTTCATGCGCTGGAGCGACCTGCATCTGAGTTTCTGTTGCGTTCTTCTTCCGCTTCCTCGGGTTGCCATTCTCGTCCAAGGCCTTGGTAGAGTCGCGCTTCTTCCGCGCGGAGGGCGGTTTCTTTGGGCTCTTGTGCTTCTCTGGCTTGTCTGGTTTTCGCAAGATTGTCGGTCGCGGGGATGGTCTGAAATACTCGGCGACTTCGGCGATGGTCTTGTGCAGTGGAGTGTGGTCGTACTTTATCGAGATGGAACGGCCTCCCCGATCAAATGAGATTCTAACCGTGCCACGGCAATCAAAGGCCGGTCGACCTAGGTAGCAAGGTCAGCTAAGGTTCCTTGGAGAGGGCGAGACATCTGGGTCTCTCACTCGCCAGAGTCGGGTCCATGTCCCTTTGGGTATATTCGCCGATGATGAGTTTGGTCTTGGCCTTGTTCTGTCGATCCCATTGTTGAGAGGAGTCCCTACACAGGTAGGTGAAGTTCCAACCCTGGGAGCCGCGCGACATCTCTCGCATAATCCAGGTGCTGCCATCTGTCGCGCCCACGGCTGCGATGATGTGCCGGGCAACGGCTCGCTGCAGGACCGGGTCGTCTTGAGGTTGGTTCACCAGGGCATCGGTCGCGCTGATGTCGCGGGTCGTTTGCTCTCCGGGGTTCTCCGTAGTGACGCTTGTGGTGTGTAGCCCGCCGAGAGAGGGGTCGAGGTTGTTGAGACCCTCGAGCACGCTGTTCTCCGTCGTGGAAAGGCTCAGGTTGAAGCGTGCAGCGGCGCCAACGTCGAGGGTGGTGGCGACATGCTCGGCGCGGGTGGGCGTCGTTTTTTCGGCGAGGACATCTCGAAGGCGAAGCTGCAAGTCTTCAATGGATGCGCAAGACGTGGATTTCGGGCTCGCAGAGTTATCGGCATCAAAGTTGAAGCTAGCGAGAAAGTCCATCTCGGGCTACGGGCGCGCACATTGGCCGGGTCGAGGCCTCTATTCTCGCAGCGCGGTGGGGCCTTTGCCTGCTGAGGCCTCGCGCTGCAGCGCCAGGTGTCAGGGAGCGGTCTCTGTGACGGCGGCGACGGCGGCGGCGACGGCGATGGTGGTGGTCGGAGAAGCGAATGGAGGCGCGGGGGAGGTCCAACGCGCCTATGCGAGGAGGCTACACGGTGCACCAAAAGGGGGCTGAAAAGGCGCGTTGCAGTGTGCGTCTAGGGCTCTGCAGCCGCCAGCTGTACAGTGGCTTTTCGCACTGTCCTCGTACTGTGCATCTACCGCTGCTTGCACGAATGCCGGAGGATCATTGTTCTCCCTCATCCCGGTTCCCACGTCTATCCTCATAGCCTGTCTAATGGATGCAAAGTACGGGTCGGGTGAGTCCGAGAAGGCTATCGGATGCGGGTAAATCACAGACAAGGAGGTCATTGCTTGCGGATGCGGCAACGGAATCGAGGCGGCTTCTCGTCCACCCTGCGTCGAGGGCGCTCCTACCAGCTACCCATTGGCTCCCCACGGCACACAAAGTTCTTGACTGCGTTGACGGGTGGGTTTTTGCCTGCGGTGAGGCTCTTGTACGCCTCGCACGGCTTGATATTGTAACCGTCGGGAAGCCTCGGCATCCAACCGGCCCAGAAGCCTGTCTCGATTTGTGACCAGTCGAAGCCCGCTCTCCCGTCGTCTACGTGCCAAGTCAGGAGACACAAGTCATCAAAAGTCCGTCGCAGCATCAGGCATTCTCCTCCACCCATCGTTCTATCCTCTCGACCAGCTCCATCTTCCTGCCGCTGGTGCTCAGCCCTCGCACTCCAGCTACATCTTTCAGCTGCGCTACCGTCATTTTTGCGATGCCGCCGCTCGCCGTGGCAGTCTTGAGCTGCGCCATCGTCATCGACGAGCCCCCCGCCTTGTCCGGGCTACCTCTTCGCTGCTTGGTAGGCCGATCTGATGCGTCGTCGTCTGCTTCGCGCTTGAGTGCCTTCGAGCTCGAGACCAGCCGTGTCTCTTCCTCCAGCCTTTCATACCATTCCTCCAAGTACCCACCGGCTCGCTTACTGATGGCTTTGAATTTTGGCTCCGTAGCATCCTCCGCCTTCTCTAGTACTTCTTCCTCAAGGGCCAGCGCCTTCAGGATCCGGTAGTGCCACTGCAATGCCGGGTTTGGGTACTTTGTTGGGTTGTACATGGCCTTTGGCAGTTGCAGCTGCTGGATCACCACTCTCATCCGGGTCTTGAGCTCGTCCGAGCTTTGGCAGGCGTCGGCCGGCGCCTTGATTTCCCTCAAGTCATCCGCAAATGGGAGTGGGTAGATCCAGAGCCCGGAGGGTAGATAAGGAGTTCCCGAGCCATCATCCGACTGTTCCTTGGACGGAACCAGAGCGGCAAGTATCGGTTGCGCATTCGCTCGGACAATGCACCACGCAACGCCAATCCTGTCGTCCTGAAGCAGTTTCCGCCACAAAGCGGCAAAGACGCGAGTTGAGCCAATGTAGTCTTCCTCGCTGGGGAATATAAAGGTTGACTTCTTGACGCTCGCCCACACAGGGAGAAAGCTGCGAGGCTTGAAGCCGATGATGCGGATGACGGGAGGACCAAAGTCTCGGAGGGACTTTGACTCTTGGGGGGTAAAGTAGACGTATTCCCCGCCAAACCTGTACGCCTTCTTGATTTCGTTCTTCTCCACCGTTCTCGTGCTATCCTCGGCAATTCGGGTTGTTTCTCCAGCCGCAATCTGAGGCTTGTCTCCGTCAAGCCAGATGTAGCATGTCCTCGCCGGCGTCTGCCGATGCAACACGTTGTAGCCCTTGATGGATATTCGAAGCCCCGGGGCAATTTCGAAGGGCACGGCAGAGAACAATGCCCGCTTCGGGGTTTGTCTGGAGTTGATGTTGGAAACGAGAGAGTTGAGCAAAGTCAAACCATCTCCGGACTTGGAAACCGGGGCAGCCGACGGCTCAGCTTCGGCCAGAGAATCACCGTAGACGATGTCCTGCCTTTGTCAGCGGCCATCAGTGGAGTGAATTTAATGGGCATGCAACCTACGTCGTAGAACTTGGAGAGGTCAAACATGGAGTCACCCCGGGCGATCGGAAACAGGTCGATTGTCACACCCAGATCATAGAGATCCTTGGCGCGCACTGCTGCAGCGGATGCGGCTGCTCTGTTTGAGGGATGTGGATCGTCGCTGTCGGTGATGATGAATAGACGCCGACTGCCAAAGTTGGCCGCCTTTGTGGTGAAGATCTGGTTTGCGCAAAACAAAACGTTGGACATGGAAGTCGCCTCGTCTGACGGCGTGAGGACCTCATCCTCGTCTTCCCCGTCCTCGACGAGCGTCTTGAGCGCCCTGACATCCTCTGCGGCGGGGACGTCCAGGTCCGTGAAAAGATAGCAATTTGGATAGCCCAAGCCGCCGAGGCCGCCGTCAAGGCCCTGAAACTTTGACTTTTGCGTCCCGAAGAGTAGGATGCCCATCATGTCCTTGGGATTGGATATTATGCGCTGTTCCATCAGGTGGTAGGCGCATTTCAAGGCCGCCTGGACCGGGCTGTCCCGGTCCGCCTTCTTGGAGTCGGAGGGCGGAGGCTGCTTTAGCATCGACTCGCTAACCTCGATGGCCAGTATAAGGGCATCTTTTTGCGCTTTGTAGTCCTGGGCCGGCATGTCAGCTGTGCTCGGCGGGTGAAGCAGCATAGCTGTCACTCACAGTCTCATCAATCTCCTGCTCCGCCTCATCGTCCTCGTCCCGCCTCCATTCCTGTTTGTTGTCCGCCATTGTCGCAGAAAGCGGGGTTTCTTTCGCCAGTTAAGGCTTCACATAGGAACGAGCATAGGCGACCGCTGCATCCGCTGCAGCGAGATCCCGGAGGTCCATTCAAACGCGACAACCCGTCGGCGGGCGCGACAAGCTTCGCGACATCACGTGATTTGATTACCACAGAAATCACACGTCATCCCATTGGCCAGACCGATGGAAGCTGAGAGGTACTTCGAGTCGGCTTGAGTTTCTAGCAGCCGCGCAGGCGACTTTTCGGGCACGGAGGTACCAGGCTAACAGTCAGACAGTTGCATCATTCCCGCCAACAGACCAAGCTGTCCGTCAATTTCCCATTTTCGGCGTTTTGGTGGCGACGAGTCGAAAGAAGCACGGGCTCTTCCACCTCCAAACTCGCGGCATACTGCAGAGCCTAACACTTCTGGCAACTCGTATCCATAATGACGCTACAGGTTCCAAGCCAGAGGCTCGCCCGGGACGTCTCGAGGAGCGCGTCCATCCGCTTCAGATTGCCTCGGCCCGACTGCCAGAGAAGACACTTTGCGATACCCGCGCCGCCAGTAACTCAAAATGCGACGGGGTCAAAGGGGCCCACAGCCATGGTCTTCCTCAACATGGGAGGTCCGTCGACGACCGGCGAGGTCGGCAACTTCCTGAGCCGCCTCTTTGTACGGTCTCTCGGACGTCCGGCAGTGACGGCGAGCTTTGGCTGACAAGTGACGCAGGCCGATGGCGACTTGATTCCACTAGGCCGGCTCCAAGCTTACCTTGGACCGTTGATCTCGGCCAGGCGGACGCCCAAGATCGAGAAGCAGTACGACGCGATTGGCGGCGGATCCCCAATTCGAAAATGGTCCGAACATCAGAATGCCGAGATGTGCAAGCTCCTAGACAAGATCTCGCCCGAGACGGCACCGCACAAGCCTTATGTTGCCTTCCGATACGCCAATCCGCTGACTGAAGAAATGTACACCAAGCTGCTGGAGGACGGCTTCGGGAATGGGAGGGGGGGGAGAGCTGTTGCCTTTACGCAGTACCCTCAGTACTCGTGCTCGACGACAGGCAGCAGCTTGAACGAGCTATGGAAGTGGCGACAACGGCTGGAGGGCAAGGCGGCCTCGGACAATGGGGCTGGTACCATAAGCTGGAGCGTCATTGACAGATGGCCTGCCCACCACGGCCTGATTGAGGCCTTTGCCCAGAACATCGAGGCGAAGCTGGCCGAGTACCCTGAAGCGCGGCGCAAAGACGTGGTGTTGCTCTTCTCGGCGCACAGCCTGCCCATGTCTGTCGTCAACAGAGGTACGCGAGAGCCCGTCGACCGGGCGCCTCCTCCCCAGCTAACGTGTCTGCAGGAGATCCGTACCCGGCAGAGGTGGCCGCCACAGTCTACGGCGTAATGCAGCGCCTCAAATTCTCGAACCCCTATCGCCTCTGCTGGCAGTCCCAAGTCGGACCGTCGGCGTGGCTGGGCCCCCAAACGTCGAGTACGGTGAAGGATTACATTGCCAAGGGCCAAAAGGACCTTGTGCTTATCCCGATCGCTTTTACATCTGACCACATTGAAACGTTGTACGAACTGGACGAAGAGGTCATCGGCGAGAGCGGCCACAAAGACACGGTCAAGCGGGCAGAGAGTCTCAACGGCAGCACCGTCTTCATTGAAGCCCTGGCCGACATTGCCCGCGCGCATCTCACGGACGGCTTAGCTTGCTCGAAGCAGATGGGACTTCGCTGCCCGGGGTGCAAGAGCGAGCGGTGTCTGGAGTCGAAGAAGTTTTTTGCCGGCCAACAGATGAAGCTGTCTCCGCTAGGCCGGTGAACCTGGCGGTCATGTTACTGTACCTATGCATGCTTTGCACCTACCACGGATTACCATGGGAAGAAAACCGGGCGGGAGTTTATCAGAACTGAGCAACATTATGCGGGTAGCCGGCCGCCTTTGGGGCGTCAATGGTGGACTTCACTCTCGCTTTGCAAGTGTTTCCCGAGGGTGATTGATTGATTGGCTGTCCACGGTTGTTGTGCCTTGAGTGAGCGCCGTGGCTGGGCTGCGGTCGCATGTGTCGCCCAGAGGGCTGCGCATGATGACCTCGAATCGGACTGCTGGCCGAGGCGGCCCCGATCTGGGTACCTGCCTCGGGCACACACATGCACATTGCGCATCGATCGGTCGCTGAGATGGCAAAGGGGATCTGACAAGACGTCTGCTCCCGCGCACCGGAAAGACAACGAGGACGGCCAGTGTGCAGGGCCGCCGAGCAAGCGTTGAGAGACGAGACGGAGCAGGGACTGTACTCCGTATTGTGTGCGAGGGGCGTTCGTTTGGTTGAGCGCGGGACCTGAGCTTGCAAGCTCGACCGAATAGCGCATCTGGGTTGCGGGCATTTCGCATGTGCGACGGCTAGTACTCTGTAGATAGATGCATGTGCGTGCATGTGCGTGCATGTGCGTTTGCGTGTGCGTGTGCGTGCATGTGCAAGCAACGTACAAAAAGGCAGCCCGGGAGGTGTCGACTGCCACAAGTCTAATGTGAGCCGACAGCATGCACAACTTCTGGACACTTGGCATACGGCTAATTACCCGAATGGGCAAATGCCGCTGCTGTGCCCGTCTCCAGACAAGCACCAGACAAGACAGCATTGCATCCGAGGCCACGCCAACACGCCCGGGTCGCACTGCATGGTTGGCGGGCGAGAACGGTTCCATCGAGTCCAGCCACAGATGGCGACGAGCGGCTAGCCCAGTCGGTGGTGGCTTTGCTCCATGGCGTCGAGGACTTCGTACTGTAACTTACGCTCGTGTCCCGACGTCAGTGGACGAGAGAAATGCGCTGCACCCTGGGTGTGCTCCGCGTCTAGGCCAACGCAAAGCTCTGCCTTGTCCAAGGGAGACCAGATGACGAGCGGCAAGCATTATAGAAAAGAAGGCGAAGAAGACATGGGGCGACGGACTAGGCCCAAAGAGGGGCGAACGGCTAGCGGGGACTGCAGGCCAATGTGGAGGCGCCGGTCATCTCAAGTGTCTCGGAGGCCGTTGGCTGCTGTTTGTCGCCTGTTTGGCCCCGTCGTACCTGGACTGAAACAGCGAGATTCTTCGTCACCGTATGACATGCAATCATGGCCGAACCATGTGAAAAGAAAAAAGGAAAAATAAAACCCCCCCAGCGTCCAGAGGGCCCGGCCGACACTCGTGCGCAAGGCGAATCAGGCCTGCATCCACGCACGCGTCGACGAAATCCATCATGTCCGCGCCAAACTTGATAATAGGGCGACTCGTCTCGCGTCAAAAGAAAGGGAAAAGGGGCCCTGTCCGAGTACGAAAAGGGGAGGGGGGGCATGGCAAGACAGTATTGGATATTAGGGCCGGCCGCCGTCCACGAACGGCCACCTGGCCGGAGTCGAATCTGCGCACCGAAACTTTGGGGACGACTTGCTTCTTTCCATCCTGCTTGCCAGAGTCGGATGGATCCTCGTTGGAGTCGTTTAATTGTCGTTTGGAGAGGGCGCGGCCTTTTTAAGATTTTCATCGTCAGTCGCTGCCAGACGGTGCTGCCAGACGGTGAGCCAAGCCTGCGCCACCACGATGATAGACTTTGCAGCCCTGTCGCCAAGCTACCGGCCAGGGGGAGAGCGAGTGGATTAATATGTTCAAAGAAGGCTTGCTTCTACATTCGATCGCATGGACGTGAGGCAGCGTCTCCTCCACAACTTGCCCGAGGCTGGCCTTTACACGACGCATTCCAACCTACAGTATGGAGTATGTAAGGAGTACAGACTACTCATGCCCACCACTCACTTGGACGAAGGCGTTTTTTCCCCATGTCGACTGCCAAGATCTCCCGCAGCGCCACGTCAACAAGTGTCCCCTAATGCTAGCAAGGTGCCCCCAGAGGTTGATGAGAAAAGCGACAATTAAGAGGGAGATTGGTGATGGTGTGGGCTGGGCGAGTGATTGGCCACGTCTTGACGCGTTTCAAGTCCGGGCATCAGGTACGGAGTACTTGATACAATCTCGGCTGTCATTCCATCGCAGGTACCCCGTACTTTTCTCTTCTCCCGCTTGAGCGCCCTGGCCTCGCGTACGGATACATGGAACAATCTGCCTCTCAAGCACCGAGGCCAAGCACCGAGGCCAAGCACCCCCTGACCCCATTTGCCCCTATACAGCACTAAAACTGCACTACTCCCCCCCGGGAGCCTCAATCTCCCAGCACCCGCCTCTCACTCATCGGCAAGTCCATCATTGCTCGCGGGCACGGCCTCGCTCGCTGTCCCAGCCGTCCACGCGCGGTGCAGGGCAGGGTCTCTGTGTGTTTTTCTGGCAGCTTTCCCACCGCCAATAATGGGCGTCCACCCCCGCCAGGCACTCGAGAAGGCCTGCCGTTGCTTCTTCTCCAGGGCGCCTTGTGGGCTAGCCCCGTTGTGGCTTAGTGTAACACGAACCCCTTTTTTACCGTATGCCCGCCCAAGCCCAAATGCCAGCATGCGCCGCACTGTTAATGTACATGCTTGTTGCATGTGCACATGTTTGTGTGATTGCATGGTATTCCTTTTTTTTTTTGCAAGAGCCCAAGCACGAGAACCTCTCGCTCTTCTCCTGCTTGCCTGCGGACTGACAGTCAGCCACAGAGAACCCTGCTGGAAGGGGTCTCTGGCCGGACCCGCCTGAAGCTTCCCATTTCGCTGCGGCAGCTTCAACGGGCCCAGGTACTCGCTCTCTGCCCGTAATGTATCTGCCGTACTGTGCATTCATGCCTCGGCCGGTAGCACTCAAATGCGTGGCACGTCGGTCAAGGCACTGTGCAGCAGATATCACGCAAGGTACCCGTGCCAGATTATGGGCTCCAGGCATGGGGCGGCTGCCTCTGCCGATGCGTTGTGGCCAGCGCAGCACAACACAGCACGCTTGTCAAGTTGTCCCCCCCGTAGAAATTCCTCTCCGCAGCCCGTTCCTCTCGGGTACTTCACTTATGTACCGTAAAGCGCACCCCAATTTTCTCCTTCCTCGACCTCCATCTCGACGTTACCCCGACCTCGTCTTCCTTTCCACCATTTGCTACTTCCTCTCTTCGTCGACCACACAGCGATCCGCTCTTGGCCTCCTCACCGACCATTCGCGGCCACTTGTCCAGCTCGTGTGCCTTTTCTTCTCCCCCCGACCCTTTGACACGCGTCCTTGTCCTTTGTCGTCGGGTTCTCCTGGAGTCTCCCTTTGGTACGTTTTGGCCCCCCCGTTTTCTGCCCCCTAGCACCCCCATCTGCCCGCGACCGACGTCTGCCTTCGCCTTCGCCTTCTCTACGGCGTGACCACGACAGCATCAATCCTTCCGTCTTGCTGTACACGTACAGGGTCTCGAGTCGGAGTCGCCAGTCGAGCTCGCCGCAGCTCTCCTCCCCGGTGTCGTGGCTGACTGCTGCCTCATCAGATACCGTTCTTTCCATTTCCATTCATTTAAGGACCGGTCGACCTCTCTTTGTACATCGATATGGGTAAGGATGACTCTTTCTCGTTTATTCCAAGCATGTCGCAAGCTCGCAGTGAGGCAAGGGGAGTCTGGACGACGGCCGCGACCGCCTTCGACCCGGGCATGGCAGACCCAAACGGGGCCACCTACAAAAAAAAATACCATCGCCCGCTCTCGACGCAACATCATCGCATCACAGTTCGACATCACGACGACATTCCTTCTTCGCCATCTAGACTCGTCTTGGATTGCCTCAACCTCCCCCTTTTTTGGTCTCGAAAGCATTCGTCTTGCCGAGAAACGATACTCTCCCTTCTCCTGCCTCCAGAGTTCAGCCAACACCGAGCGGTGACGGTAGCCTTGCATCTCGCAATCCCACACTTCCCACTCCAACGTCGATCCGATGTCCTCGACCACCAGGAATACATCTCAGCCTGTGGAGTCACATCCGTGTCCGTCAAAGAGGACCAGCAGTCTGCCTGCCGGGCAAGAAAACATCAGCCAGCACTCCCTGACGCCCTCTGCTGCTACTTCGGCTCAGGCGACTCACCACTATCGCAGCATGCTGGAAGTGGACGACCCACCAACTCTTGGCCCCTGGAACCCCATATCGTTTGACGAGCTTTACTCTGGACCCATCGGCAATGCCCCCAAGCCGGATTCCCAAGGCGCGACGAGAGGTGGTGCCAGCAACTCTGCCAAGGCTGCTAGTCATCCTCAGGTCCAGGAGTTGACCTGTCAGCCACGCCTCTTGCCTCTGCCTGCTTGGAATATGAACAGCCTGTTATCTTGGTCGTGGGATATTCACTAACTATTTTTGTCAATAGCTTCGAACGGAGCGGACTCCCCCACGGCACCGGCCTCGCCGCCACCTGGCAAGCCTCGCCCAATCCTCGCTTCTAAAGGATTGGACATTTCTAACATTTCTCTCTCTCAGCCTCCCAGGCCAGCTCGGCTCCGGACAGCAGGAACATTGTCCGAAGGAAGCTGACCGGCTATGTTGGTTTCGCCAACCTGCCCAACCAGTGGCACCGTAAGAGCGTCCGCAAGGGCTTCAACTTCAATGTCATGGTCGTTGGTAAGTGCAGACAGCCGCTCCGCACGAACGCGACGCTGACCCCTGACCTCGCAGGCGAGTCTGGCCTTGGCAAGTCGACCCTCGTCAACACGCTCTTCAACACTTCCCTATACCCTCCCAAGGAGCGCAAGGGCCCGAGCCTCGACATCATTCCCAAGACTGTTATGATACAGTCGATTAGCGCTGATATCGAGGAGGCTGGCGTCCGCCTCCGCCTCACTGTCGTGGATACGCCTGGTTTCGGCGACTTCGTCAACAACGATGAGTCCTGGCGTCCCATTGTGGACAACATCGAGCAGCGCTTCGATGCCTACCTCGACGCCGAGAACAAGGTCAATCGCATGAACATTGTTGACAACAGAATCCATGCCTGTGTCTTCTTCATTCAGCCCACCGGCCACTCTCTCAAGCCCCTCGACATCGAGGTGATGCGCCGCCTCCACACCAAGGTCAACCTTATCCCCGTCATCGCTAAGTCCGATACCCTTACGGACGAGGAAATCACAAATTTCAAGGCCAGAGTGAGTCGAGCTTGTCCCGAAAGGATGACGATTGAGGCGCGCATGACACTTATTTCTCTGCCTAGATTTTGTCAGACATAAAGTATCACGGCATCCAGATTTTCGAGGGCCCGCGGTATGAGCTCGACGACGAAGAGACGATTGCAGAGAACAATGAGATCATGTCCAAGGTTCCCTTCGCCGTCGTCGGAGCTACCAACGAGATCAAGACGGCGGATGGGCGCCAAGTTCGCGGACGTGAGTACCCGTGGGGCACCATCGAGGTTGACAACGAGGAGCACTGCGACTTCGTCAAACTCCGCCAGATGCTCATCCGAACCCACATGGAGGAGCTCAAGGAACACACCAACAACCTGCTGTACGAGAACTATCGTACCGACAAGCTCATCGCCATGGGTGTATCCCAAGACCCTAGTGTCTTCAAGGAGGTCAACCCCGCGGTCAAGCAAGAAGAGGAGCGCGCCCTGCACGAGCAGAAACTCGCCAAGATGGAGGCTGAGATGAAGATGGTCTTCCAACAAAAAGTGGCAGAGAAGGAAAGCAAGCTCAAGCAATCCGAAGAAGAGCTCTACGCCCGGCACAGGGAGATGAAGGAGCAGCTCGAGCGCCAGCGCCTGGAGCTCGAGGACAAGAAGGGGCGCATCGAGAGCGGGCGGCCGTTGGAAAAGGAAGGCAAACGGAAGGGCTTCTCGCTGCGCTAAGGCGTCAGCGCCTCGCCGGCAATCGGTCGCCGTCTGGTCCTTCTACGATCAACGTCTACGTATCTGTGACGTCCCTACACTTGCAGCTCGACGCCTTTCATTTCCTTCTATTCTCGTTTCTTCTCGCGTCTTCTCGTCACAACCTTCTCTTTAATAAATAGCAACTCCTCGCCCAATTATCCGGCAACAAAAGTTGGTCCTTCCGAGATGGACAAGCAGAAGTCAATCTACGGAAGTCGGTCATGCAGTGTGGGGGGGTGCGGGCTACGACTCAATTTGAGGAAGGGAGTGGGTTTTCTGGACGCCGGCATGAGACGCCCGGAATACATTGTCGAGTCGCACACTCCCAGACAAGACACGAGGCAGGCTTCGGTGTCGTCGTTCAGCTGACGGGCATCTTTGGCGGCGCCATTCCGGTGTACTTGTCTCGAGGTGGAGAGTTGTCGCCTGCCCGGAGGCTCTCATCTACCAGGCTCGCTCCGCCCTCTTTACGGTTTCGATCCTTGCCCACAGGATTAGCAGGCGAGGCGTCACACCTTGTCTCTTCCGCTCAGCATGCCGTCGGGAGTCCTCTTCTCAAGTCTGGATGGAACACTGGCCGCGGATTTGAACTAGACGGGAGCGGATGGACGGTTAGCTGGTGGTGGTTCTGAACAGCAACTGTTGTATTTTAGCCATGCGCGGTTGGGACTGGTTGATTGGGCGTCTCGACTCGCAAATTTGTCTCTAGGCTCGCCCGTCTTTTCTTAATTAGTTTTGATTTCACTGTCTCTGTTTTCTTCTGATGCAAGTATGGTGTGGATTGACGATGTACACCTGTGGTGATTACGTGTAGAGTGTTGGGAAGAGGCTGGCCGAGGGGGGCGAGTGACTGACACGGTGTTGCTACTACGAAGCGGTGCGTTAAGGTCAGCCTCTTGGGGTACACGGACAACGAGCGCCGGCTGGCCTTGGGACACGCTTGCCACAGAGAGGCGGGACTGACTGACACGACTCCCCCGAGCAGGGTTGGGTCACCATGAGGAGAAAGGAAGCTGGCGGGCATCTTGTCACTTCAAAGAGAGCCCAACCGGACCAGATAAATAATGTAGAGGAGGCTTGAGCCGTCAGCCATCATGTACGCATGCTTCATGAACAAAAATGGGCCGTCGTGCTCCTATAAATACAAGTTGACTGCTGCAAAGTGCCAATTTCGCACTGGGGATGGGCAGAACATGATTTCCCCGGCTTGAACGGGAAGCGGCACATATCCAGGCCAAGCCGGAGCAAAGAAAGTCGCGCGCGCATCCTCGACCGGAACGCCTAACCTCTTCCCTCCCCCCCTTTCACCCGATGCCGCATCGTCCACAACCCCTTCCTACGTCCGCCGGGCATTCCTGAAGAAAAAGGCGCCGACAACTCCGGCGGCGATGCTGACGCCACTGAGGATGGCGACGCCAACGAGGCCCTCGCGGGCGACCTTGGCGTCGATGAGCTGGCGCAGGTCCGAGGCCTGGAGGTTGGCGGGCTCCTTATCGAGGAGGAGGTCGTTGTAGCGGCGGGCTTCGCCGTAGTTGCCGAGCTTGTAGTTGCCGAGGGCGAGGTAGTAGAGGCACTCGCGGCGGCGCTCGGGCGAGAGGCGGAAGATTTCCGAGAGGAGGCGGACGCCGAGCTGCTGGTCGCCGCGGTTGTTGGACTTTACGAGGCCCTGTTTGGCGGGTTGTGCGTGTAAGTAGGAGAAGCGCAATATGGGGGGCGTATGTGCCAGGGAAACGAGATGCACGATAGGAGCGGGCGCTTAAGCGCTTACCCAGGCGTAGTTAAATTTCGTCTGGACGCCGACCATGTCACCCTCCTTTTCGTACTGGGCGCGCAGAACATTGAGTTCTGAGGGGTTCAGAGGCCTGGCTTGGAGTGTTAGACGGTGGAGGGGGAGCCTAGGTAGCAGGCAGGAATTCGGCAGGGATAACTAACGTCTCCGCATCGAGGGCATCTGAGAACGTGTCAGCAAGGTTGATAAGGGCGCCGTCAGAAAGGCAGACACGCGGGCGGCTTGCGCGACTCACAGGGTAGTTCGGCGACCATGTTAACGGCGGCCGCGCGTGTAGTGTAGGTGGATGCAGGTCCGTCGGCTGCGAGACGGAGTTGAAGGTGAGAAGCGGAGGTGGGATGGCGCGAGCAAGTGTGCTGGCTGTGCTTACGTGAGTGGACTCGGAGAAAGTGAAGCAGAGAGAGGAGGAGCGCAAGGGTGCGTAGAAGAGGGAAAGGTTGGGTGAGATACCGGTATCTGTGTCGTCGTCGTCGTCGGGAGCCTCAAACGTCGAGGTCAAGGTGTGGCGTAATGGCTTGTGTCTGCTGTCCGAGTGGCGGCCACAGCGTTGCGTTGTGCTTGCGGGCGTGTGGCGGTGAAACCCCGGCAAAACGGGGGACCGGGCGTGGCTGAGCGATAACGATAATCGTCCCGACGACGGGGGGAGGTGAAAGTGGGGGGAGGGGGAGCAGGGAGATGGTTAACCGGCCTGTTTTGTTTCCACCTATTTTGTTGCCCTTTTTCGGGGTCGCCAACCACGTCATGGGAAAACAGCAGCGGCAGCTTCGTCGCATCCGCCGTCGCAGTTGAGAAGAGCAAGCTCATCGAACGAGTGCTCCATCCTTTCCACTTCATTTGTCTTATACGGTCTTCTTTTTCTTTTCCGTCTCCTTCCATAACACGACGAGAACAGACGCGACAGGACGAAGCTCTTCTCGGAGAGTCCATACCGCCAAGATGTTGCTCGCTGAGGATCCCGCAACGGTGAGTCTCTCTCTTTCCACGTTGTCTCCTTTCCTCGAAGACCCAAAGGAAGTCGTGAGCCAGAAAAGCAAGGCAGAGGAGGTGCTGACAAAAGAGCGGGAAACGCAGCTCATCCACCACACCATCAACAACTTCAACATCCAGCCGGACAAGCAGGCCGTAGCGCGCGTGCACGAGTCACTCTCGACGCTGCAGCAGGCGCGCGACCTGCGCGTGCGCGACGCCGAGGCCTCGCTGCGCCGCCTCGCGCGCCAGCTCAAGACGCTCGCCGCGCAGCACGACGACGAGGTGCGCGCGGCCGCCGCCGCCGGCGACCACGCGTCGCTCATCGCCACGCTCGACACGCGCAAGTTCCGCACCGCAAAGGCCGCCTCGGACGCCGAGATGGAGGCCGAGCGCCTCGCGGGCCAGGCCGCCGACCTCGCCGCGCGCCTGCACGAGCTCGACCTGCAGGGCGTCGAGGGCGCCCCCGGTGCACACGACGCCGCCGCTTCCTCGTCGTCGGCCGTCGACGACGAGGTGTTGCTGCGCCTCAAGGTGTACCGCAGCCTTGGCATCGACATTGAGCGCGACGAGCGCGACGGCGAGTGGACGAGGGCCGTGGTGCGCAACGACCGCAAGGGCGACGTGCACGTGGTCAACATGGACAAGAAGTTTTCGCGCTTCTTTTACGCGAATTACTTTTGGCAGACGCTGTGAGCGCTGCTGCTGCTGCCGTGGAAATATGGCTGGTTTTCTTGTTCAGTCCTTTGGCCTCCTGAAGGCGTTTGCTACGGATCATGGCGTGTTTTGGCGTCGCGGAGAGGCGAGCAGTTGACGTTCACATTTGGCGTTTGGCGGGGCAGGAAACACTGGCCTCGGATACATCATTGATTCAATAGTTTGATTTCTTTGTTTGTTCTCTTTTGGAAAGGAAGCCTTTCAAAGCTCGCTCACAGCCTCGAGCTACTCCATTGCCCTTTTTGGGTTTTCTTGCTTTACCGCCCCTGGTAATCACTCGTGATAGATAGATGCACGGCACTGCTTCCGAGAATGGGTACTACTTTACAGGAACAGACACCGAATAGTGTTGTCGGGGATAAGTCGTGACTTCGTAAACGGCACAGGGTTGTGCTCTTTGTCAAATCTGGTTCGTCATCAGCTTCCTGGTGGTTGTGGGCGACATGGCCAGGGGAAAGTAGCCGTCGCTGTTGGCCATGCTGATGACGCTCATGCGAGAAGCCGACGGGGTACGGGTGCGGGTGCGGCAACTGTTTGGCGACGGGGGTGTCCTGGCCTCGGGGCTGCGGGCGCGGGGCTTCATCATGAGGACGCCGCTGTCGCCGGGGGTGACGGGCCCGCCCGAGGGCGAGCGGTGGTGGTTCCGGGCATGGATCCTGTCCGGCAGCTCCAGGCGGGAGTTGATGGCGGTCCAGGTGTCGTCGTCGCTGTCGCGGTCGGAGCGCCATCCGCCGACGCCCTCAAAGTCGCGGTCAGGACCGATGCTGGGCATGAGGCCCATGGCCATGTCACCGACGGGGGTTGTGGAGCCGGCCGAGACGACGCTGGTGACGCTGCTGGGCCTGCGGCGGCGCCTCCGGCCCGTGGACGACGGGAGCAGCTGCTGCTGCGGGGCCGTGGGCGTCGTCGGGCTGTTTTGGTTGCTGTGGGCGCTGCTACTGGCAGCCGGGGAAACAGGGCGGCCGTGGTGGTGCCTTGCGTAGGCAGCGTAGCGCGTCTTGCGAGTGCCGAAGCATTGCGGCACGAGGGACAGGGCTATGTCGAGGTAGACGAGGATGACGCGGAAGCTGAGGATGGAAAAGGCAAGGGTGGTTGTGATGCCGGCGAAGAGGGCCAGGGGGACGGTGACGACAAGGAGAAAGGGTACGATGAAGGTGTGGACGGGGTTGAGGAGGGCCATGGCTTTAGCTGTCGGGTTGCCGAACCATGACTGAGCGAGGTTGCTATGGTTCGGTTGCTTGGCGGACAACCAAGGTCCTTTGTTGCTGATTTTGGCGGCCCCAATTCCAGTAGAGGCTGTCCAGGACGAGCCTGGGTATTAGTAAAATAGCCGGTTAGTCAAAGGGTGGGAGAGGAGAAGGGAAACGGAGGCGCCGAGGAGGGGCCCCCTCCGCCCCAGACAGAAGGAAAAGGTTAATCAGCCACGGCGGGCAGGGCAAACATGAGCCAGAAAAAGAAAATAGGATGGATGGTGCAGCAAGCAGAAAAGTGTGGGTGGGATGGCGCGAGGAGCCGGATCGATCGACTGATGATGAAGCGGATGAGATGTCAGAAGAGAGAGGACAAGCATGTGATGTCTCTATCGCTCGTGCGCACAGTTTTTGCACACGGTATAGATAATACCCCTGCGGTCACGTCCAGGCGCCCGGGTGGCCACTGGCAGCTGCAGGCGCGGCATCGCATTATCGAATTGCCCTATCGAATTCCTTGACGGCCCTCCTTGGCCCCCCGAGCGAGTCGAGATGGTTGTCGCTGCGCTGGCAATGGAATGGAGGCTTAGGTCCCTTTGCTGCAGACTGCGGAGCACCCAGGCTTGCCGGCACCGTGCAAACACTGTATGTCGGAATAGCTCATGTCGCGCAGTGATTGGACTGATGATGCATCACATCAGATGGCGTGCGTTTGGCCTTTGTCGTGCATCATCGTGCCATGCACTTTGCCACGACATCGGGCTCTGGTCTTTATCTTCCTCGTGCCCGTCACGGACCGCCGACGACGAGGGGACAGCCGAGGTTCGTTGGACGGCGAGTGCACTGTAATGACACTGATGGTACTGTATTTGCACTGTATTTGCACTGTATTTTGTCCACACTGTACTACTACCGTATGTCAAAGCTAGTATTAATAAATCATAGACGCAACCCATCTCGCTTTATTACTGCATCTGGCAGTACGCGAAACCCCCCCTCCCCCCCCCTCCTTGCACTGTAGGGGATCTCAGGGCCTCGTCCAGCGAGACAGCTCAGCTACAGCAGGGCTGACGCGGGGAAGCCCCACTAACCACCCACTGCTGCACGCCAAACACCCGGCCGTAGCTCCACTGACATCATCCCCCCTCTTCCGCTTCCTCTTCCTCTTCCTCCTCCACCTGGAACCTCCTCTCATCTCACACACACGCTACACGTCAAACAGGAAGAGCACCAAGACAGAAGCTAACACAATCCCACTTTTGCCCGGTGGTCGACACGCTGCCGCCATGTGCCAGCACCACCATCATCACTACCACCACCACCACCACCCCCAGACCGCGGTGCCAGACTCTTCGCCCCTCGAGCAACAGCAGCAGCAGCAACAGCCTCTGCCCAATCACCATGCTCCCCTGCCGCCCTTCCCCTGGCATCTCGCCGTCTTCGATGCCCACTGCCACCCCACAGACACCATGGCCTCTGTATCCGCCAGCCTGCCCTCGATGCGCGCCGCCACCCTAGCCATCATGGCCACCCGCTCCCAGGACCAGCACCTCGTCGCAGACGTGGCCGCCTCCCATGGCCTCCCCTCCGCCCCCGCCTCCCTCTCGCCTCCGCACCTCTCGCAGCGGCTAGCCAAGCACGGCGACCAAGACGAGCCGCGCGGCTGCCGTGTCCTGCCGGCGTTTGGCTGGCACCCTTGGTTCTCGCACCAGCTCTACCAAGACGGCAACCCCCACTCCACTTACACGCCCCCCGCAGACGAGAACGACCTACACGCCCTTCACCTCGCCAAAAAGGCCCATTACCAGGCCGTTCTCGCGCCTGCTCCCAAGCAGGACGACGACTACAACTTCATCGCTTCCCTCCCCACACCTGTGCCTCTCTCCTCCTTTGTCGACGCCACCCGTGCCCGTCTCGACTCCTTCCCCTACGCCCTGGTCGGCGAGATTGGCCTCGACAAGGCATTCCGCCTTCCTCGCCAATGGGATCCCTCCGACGCCGCCTCCCGCGATGACAGCCTCACCCCCGGGGGCCGCGAGGGCCGTCTCCTGAGCCCCCACCGCGTCCGCATGCCGCACCAGCAGGCCGTCCTCCGGGCTCAGCTGAGCCTCGCTGCCGCCCACGGCCGCCCCGTTAGCGTCCACGGCGTCCAGGCGCATGGCGTCCTCTACGACACAGTCTCGGCAATGTGGAAGGGCCACGAACGCCACGTCCCCTCCCGTCGCGAGAAGCGCATGTTCCACCCCGGCGCCGAGGACACCGACGAAGCCTGCGATGCGCCCGAGCCGGGCGTCAGGCCTCCTTACCCGCCCCGGATATGCCTCCACTCGTACAGCGGCGGCGTCGACCTCCTCCAGCAGTGGATGCAGCCCTCGGTGCCCGCAAAGGTCTTCGTCTCCCTCTCCACCGCCGTCAACCTCGGCTCCGACGCGGGGCGCGCAAAGCTCGACCCCGTCGTGCGCGCCGTCCCCGACGACCGCATCCTCGTCGAGAGTGACTTGCACACGGCCGGCCCGCAGATGGATGCCGCCCTCGAGGACATGTACCGCATCGTCTGCGAGGTCAAGGGCTGGGCCTTGGACGAGGGCGTGCGCAGGATAGGCCGCAACTTTGACGACTTTGTCTTTGACAGTCCCCAAGGACGATGATGTAAAGATGTGCAAAGCTGGAAACCTCGCATCACCTCTGCAAAAAGGTTGGCGAGTGCATGACGACAAGATGTCTAACGGCAAAGGTATGCACAGCTGAGAATCTCCCCTCGTCTCTGCAAAAGGTTCATGCCCACCGTCAATGATCGATGCAACTCACACGGTCTACATGCGCCCCCATCTATTGCTATTCCGCCGCCCACTCAAAGAGCAAGATGTAGCCATCCAGTGACATGCTCGTACCACAACTCCTATCCGGCAGCATCTCCAACTCTGTTCCCGCCTCGCCCTTTGACAATAGTAGACCCAAGACGAAAAAAAGGTGTACATAGGTAAATCGATGAATCTCCAGCCATGAGCTCACACCAGCCAGCCGGGGGCCGCGGCAAAGAAACTGTCAAGATTGGACAAGAGAAACAGGGTACACGCAAGTCCATGCCAAACGAGCAAGCATGGGAAAGGGAAAACATAAGCCTCCAAAACCCTATTTCTTCGTATATTTCGACACGTCGTTTCCCTCTCCGTGATCGCGTGACCTCATCGACGAGTCGGGGGCATGCCGCAAGCCGTCTGCCACCAGAGATGGGTCCTCGGTCACTGTGTCGTACGAAGGCAGGCAGACGTCGCCATCGGCAAAGGCCTGTTCTGAAAAGGATGAGTCGCTCCGGCGGTCCGGAATGCGCGGTCTTGAAGCCGAGAGAGCGTCAGAGCGTCCTGAGCGGGCCATTCCTTGCTCCGCGGCCACAACGTTGTCGATGAATTCCGCAACCTCTCGGAGACGTGATATCTCCCCCTCCATGGTCGACGCCTCTCCCTCTGCCGCCGTCATGGGTCTGCCCCCGACTGCGCGCTTCCCCTCGCTAGCCCCGGCGTTTCCGTGGGCCCAACGACGCAGCACGCCGCGCACACATCTCGTGATTTCCCTTTGCTGGACTTTGCGGCGAACGCGGCGGGCAGAGCGGGGGTCTCCGTGGCGGCGGCGGTGCTCGTCGGAGACGGTGGGCAGCGGCTGGTGTTGAAGGCAGAGACGGGCGGTACGGCGGTGGAGATGGTGAATCCCCCAAAGGGAGAAGTAGCCGATGGCGATGGCGACCAGGGCAACAGTCATGAGAAGCTGTCGGCAGAATCAGCCCACGGATTTCTCCTCGGAGGGACTGGTGACGGGATGAACAGAGAGGGGCTGCATACCGGCGGCTGGCGCGGATAGGAGGGAGAGCTGGAGTCGTCGACATGCTCCAATTGACTCGTTCCATCTGACGTCTCTGGTTCATCCACCGGCGCCTGAAGTCCAGCAAGATCCGGGATCTCTTTCGTGTCCATGGCCTGGTCGTCCCACACGTCGGCCCACTCGACGTCGTCGTCGTCGTCCTTTGGTATCGGCAGGGTATCATCATGTGAGTAGGCGATAAAGTCTGTGAGCTCCTCGACGTCGCCGCCCAGCCTTTCGGCAGCGTTTCTGACCTTTTGCGACAGGTAGTCCCACAGGCAGCGGACGCCGTCGCAGTTCTGGATCTGAGTCGACCGCGCGGCAGACTCGGCGTAGACGGGCTGGGCGAGCTTGTGGGACTGGACGCGCAGAAGCTCGAGCTTTGGCGCGGTAGAGGGTATAGAGGTGGCAGGAGTCGTCTCGGCTGCTGGCACAATCAGCACGGGACATTGACTATCGTCTCCTCTCCATCTCCCCGGGGGAACGTAGGCAGGGGCGGAGACGTACGATGAGGGCTGGAAGAGGCCGGCGTCGCCAGGACGGTGGGGGCCAGCAGCAACGCGGCGGCGGCGGAAAGAAAGAGGCGGCGGCGGCACATGGTGGTATGACTCCGGGGAGCGCGCGAAGACGACGAGCCGGAAAGGGTGGACATGGCGTGGTGATTGGGATGGCGGCATCCAAGGCCGGTGGGAGCCGAGGCGGTGTAGGCCGAGAGCGCGTCCCGACAAGGCGAGGAGGCTCCTCGGCGGGCGTCGATGGCACAATGTGGTCAGGGACAGAGATGGGGAGAGGTTGGGAGGATGTGCGAGCGGAGGGGATGGGGGACGGGCGGGAGAATTAACGGCGGATGACGAAGCCCTTGGCCGCCTCGTCGAGCACGAGCTTTCCGAGTGACTGCGCAGGCAAAGGGTTTATCGCGGATCCGTTACGTCTGGGCCTCGGTTACAGGTTGGTGGAAGGATGCTTGCCAGACAGTCGATGCGAGGAAACGAAGAAACGACGGCGCCTGCAACGGTTGATGAATGAAAGTCAGACGGCTAGCACGGCAGAACGTACTGTGCCTGGTGCATGCACACAACCACGTCGATGACGAGAGGGCAGTGACATCAGGGAGCAATGGGACACGGCAAATTGCAAACAAGAGTCTTGTTAGTGCTTGACTTGGTTGGCTGGCTTGGTGAGGCCATCTCGGCGCAAGTCAGCACAGCCCCGCGGGAACCAAGCACCGTTTATTTTCTCCGAAGGGACCTTTTTTTTTCTTGTTTCGAGAAGCAGCCGCAAGGGGCGGGACGGGCGCCGCAGCGCAAGGGCAGCGAGACCAATGGGCGTCGGCGAGCTGACGAGTCGTCCGTGTCCAAGCCTCGCTGCATCCTTGCCGCTGTACGTAGACGCGGGCATCATCCGAGCCCCCCCTCCCAGGTCAAGTTCATGTTCGTTCATCTCTTGTCTCCCTTTCTCCCCTCCCCCTTGTCATGACCACATCTCGCTCGAGGAGACGGTCTCGGCCTCGACCGGCCCTTGGCCAATGCTGGTTAGGCGATTAACCGTAACTGTTGGGCATGCATCATGAGCCTCGAAGCCTCATGTTGAACCCAGCTCTTGGATGCTCCGCCTCGTCCGTGGCAGCCAACGAATATCTGCATCGCTCTCCTTCCACAGCCGCCGTCGCACCTCTGCTGCGTCCAATCGCCCCTGGCCCGGCAGTCTGGTCCTTGTCGCGTAGTCATGGATAAGTGAGACAACATGTGCCCCGTGCCAAGCGCTGCAACATCAATCCAGAAAGTCGCTCAAAATCTTGACCCGCGTCCGGGCCACCTCCGAGTCCCCGCCCGTCATCTCCATGATTTCAATCATCCGCGCTATCATTCACCAGTCAGCCTCTGTCTGTCGCCCTCGTCTCGCCCAACTCACTAATGTCCGCTCTCCCCCGCCCAAACAAGGGGTCGCGCGCCAGCAGCTCTTTGCCGCCCGGCTCCTTGGCCGCTTCGCGGAGCACGTTGCCAATGCACAGCGCCTCGAGAAACGCCCGGTGATTAAACACCCACCACACGCGCGCCTCCCACTCGAGCAGACTGTACAGCAGAAAGAAGGCGCTGATGGCGTCGTGCGCCGCCTCCAGCGTCCCCCTCACGTTGACCGGCACCTCGGGGCTCTCTGACGCGTGCACCAGCATCAGGTTGTGGAAGTAGTTGCTCGTCAGGAACAGCGTTTGCCGTATGATGCGCTTGTTGGTCGTCGCCAGCCGCGTCAGGCTGTAGGCGTCCCACGATCGAAACACGTCGGGAAACGACCGGTACACGGCTCGGAAGTCGGCCACCAGCTTCGACTTGTGCCTGGCCGTCCCGCAAATCGGAATGTCAAGCGACCGCGGCGAGCAAATCGTCTCCTGAACCAGGTTGGCCAGCATCCACGAGCCCCGGATGTAGGCCGTGTCGGTCGGGTCGCTGCTGGCAATCGAAGAGCTATCGTCCAACAAGTCGTCGACCGAGACATCCGTATGCGTCGCCGAAGGGGGTAGCGACAGCAGGACCGTCATGAATGTGTCCTGCAACAGCACTGCCTGCCACACCTTTCGCCTCTGCTGCTTCTCAAACGGGCTGGCGTTGGGCGTCACTGATCCATCACGATACCCATAGTCAGCACTCATTCCGGACCCCGCAGGCCGTCAGGACAGCAAGGCGTCGGGCGGGACCTTACCGATGTTGGGGTCGCGATGCAGGCCCATGGCGTACGCTTGTCGGGTCAGAATGCCGGCAAATGCCCAGCCGTCGGAGGCGTGGTTGTCGTTGATGAGAAAGTACGTCATGAGCACCATGGCTTGGATCGAGCGGAGAGAGGCCGTGCTCAGATACGACGACATGCGCAAGGCCTGGTTGCTGGCCGAGGCGTAGAACTCTGCCGTCTGCTTGCGCTCCGTGGCCGAAGTCGACGTGACGAACTGGGTGCCGAGTGCCAGCATGACAAAAATGAGGCCGATAAAGGCCGCGTCCGTCTCGTCCCTCTCCTGGGCTCCCAGCTGCCAAAAGTGCTCATAGTCGGCGTAGAAGGTCTGCCGGTGTATCATGGGGTATACCGGGTCGACGCACTCAAAGTAGCGGGCGAGCAGGATGTCGGCCTGAGTCTTGTCGGGGAGGACCGAGATGACCTCGGGCAGGCCCCCCTCGCAGGTCCAGTAGTTGGCAAAGGGATGCTCGGACCCGATGCCAAAGACGTTGCTGGCTGACGTGTCGGAGTAGGGGACGTGGGAGAGGAGGCCGATGGATAGGGCGACGGCGCCCCGCGACGAGGTATCATGGTCATCAATGGCGCCCCTGTCGGCGATGTTTGGGATGGCCGGCTTGCCATCTGAGGCGGCCTTTTTCTTTGGCGCTTTGGTCATACGCCGACCGTTGGCCGCGGACCTCGACGTCTCGCTGCCTGCCGTCAGTCAGGGGCCGCGACAGGGCGTTTCCGGGGCTTACTCGAGGAGGTTGGCAACATGCGCGTAGCGGCACTCAGTCTGTCGCTTGATGCCTGTGCATGTCTCAGTTAGAGCCAACGAGGGCGGGATAGGTGGCCAGGCAGACATACACGCGAGGCAATGGGGCCTTCCTCTGTCGCACTGGATGCAAGCCGTCAGCCGACGTGCCATGAAGGGATTGAAGACAAGCAATGACAGCAAGAAGCAGTGTCGTGTACATTTTAAACATGCTCACACCCAGGCCTCGGATTCAAAGCCAAGTCCAGGTGGGAGAGAGGGGGGGGGTCGCAGGCCAAGGTGCCGACGAGGCGAGGTGCTCATGCAGTGAAACAGGGCCGGGCAGATGTTTGATCAAGAAGCACGAGGACATCGGTCAACACCAACCTTGGTCTTCCTCTCGACGCACTCGTGGCACGACAGCGTCGGCTTGTTGCGCTTCTGCCGCTTGCGGGCGGGCTCGTCGTCGGCGGCGGCGGCATCGTGGCCGAGGTCTTGAAAGTCGTACTTCGCACCGTCGCGATGCGAGTCGGCGGGCGAGGCGGTGACAGCGGGCGACGGCGCCGTGGTCCCGGAGGCGGCTTGGCGGTGCGGTCGCGGATGCTGTTGCGGTTGCTGTTGCGGTTCCTGGTGCTGGTGCTGGTGCTGATGCTGGTGCCGAGACTGATGATTCTGGTGTTGGTAGTGACTGCGATGCAGCCGCGGCAGGTCCATCAGGTCTCCCCCCCGCCTCCCCTTGCTTTCCCTTCTCTTCTCTTCCCTTCCCGTCAGCTCGCACACAACGCGGGGCTTTCTGGTCGTCTAAACGACAGGACAGGCCAGGTGCGCCGGGATTGAGCAGCGATACCACGGCCGCGATGCGCTCGGGAATAAATGCCGTGGCGAGAGGCGTTGACGGCTTTGGGCGCTGGAAATAACGACGTGTCGGGGCTTGGAGGGGGAGCCTGGAGTGCGGAGAGGGGAGGGGAATTAGGTTAATAGGCAGCCTGGAACTAGTGGTATTACTATTATTATTCGCCGAGGGAATGGAAGGGAGATGAAAAGGGACGTTTAAGCGCTCGCCCCGCCAGACGCAGGCGAGAACGGCCTCGGGAAAAAGGAAAAAGGAAGACTGCACGAAATTTACAATATCCTTTACGCCGTACTGCCAGGGGAACACGCCACGGCTCGGTGGGACTTGGTCACAGCCCTTTGGCTGGTGCGAGCAGTTTTTGCTCACTAGTACTACCTCTAGGGGTCGCGGCATTCCAAACCCCTCCCTGGGTAGGTCCTCTCTGTACAGCACATGCTGGGCACATGCTGGGTACGGCGAGGGACTCGCAGATGCTGGCGCGAGCGGTATCGGGCCAGCGGATGCAGGCTTTGAAGATACTGCAACCACGATCCTGCACAAGTCCCCGCCAGGAGCCTCTTTCGCATGTCAAGCGTCACGAGCCGCGGTCACTCTCCGCTTCCCCGGGGCCATGTACATACATACGGTACAGGTTCATGCACAACAAGGTTGGAGGGGTTGACAATTGGCAAGTAAAACAAGGCTCGGTCCGCGTTAGTCAGTCATGGAATGCTGCTCCTCTTTTCCTTGTCTTGCCTCTGATTCGCGCTCCCTCGATTTCCTTCAGCGGCTACCGGCAATTGCACCTTGGCCGGCGATATCCGTCCGAGACTGCGCCGCATCGCCACCGCCAAGCACACGCTTCCTGCACGCGGCGTCTAGCCAGCCGCACTCAACCTACCGCCAAACGCCATGGCGCACCCGGCGGCATCTCCTCCGAGCCCCGAGATTCCCTTTTCCGTCAAACCCTGTCCTTGCCTTGCCGTTGCATAAGTCAAAAGGAGCGTGGGGGGCCGAATTGCCAAGCCACCCGGAGTCTAGGGTAGCCAGGAAGCTCGGCAGCGAATTGCTCTTTACATGCCTCACTCACTACCTACCTACAGGCAAAAGTCGAGATCCTCGTTTTCCGCATGGCACAATGAATGCTCCATCGACGTACAGCACTGTCCCCGGCATCGGCAACCGATGGCTTGCGGACCTTGTCGAGCCCATCTGTTAGTTGGCGTCCCCTCATGAATCATAGATCGGCCGTGGTGGGGCAGTTCGGCAACCTCATGTGGCGTCGCAACCTCGACAAAGCTGCTGCTTGCCAACCACACACATCCGGGGCCGCGCTCGCTCATGAGACTCCACCCCATTGTCGACCCACGTCCACGCCCGCTCGTTCGTCGCCTACGGCATCTCGTCATGGGCACCCCAGCGCTGTCCGAGGCTCCGTGGCGGTCCACCTTTCTGTCGCACGTCAGGCAGCAGGACTCTCCCGTCTTTGTCCTCAGCTCGCTCCACACTGCCGACCCGTCATCGTCGTCTCCGTCGGCCGCGCGCCGGGTGACGCCTCGGGCTCGCACCGTCGTCTTCCGCGGCATGTGGGCCGGTCTGCCTGTCAACCCCAAGAACCCAGCCGAGCTCAACCCAGACGTCTACCAGACCCACCTGCCCACCCTCACCACCGACGCCCGCATGGACAAGACGCCCGAGCTCATGGCCTTGTCGGCCTCTGCGGGCCAGTCCGGCGGGGGCGGGCCCGTCGAGGCCGTCTTCTGGGTCGCCGCCGTCCAGACCCAATGGCGCCTCCGCGGGCGTGCGTACGTCATCGGTCCGGACATTAATTCCGAGCGCGCCGCATCTGTGCGGGACGCCCTGACGCCGTACATGCGCGGCACGGGGGCCGTCGGGCCCTGGAGCTGGAGCAGGGAGCTGACAGCGCACTTTGGCAACCTGAGTCCGCTGATGAGAGGCTCCTTCAAGAACCCGCCCCCCGGGACGCCCCTCGGCCGGAAGCCTGGGCAGGAGCAAGGGCCGAGCCTGGGGCAAAAGGTGGACGACCTCGAGGACAGCGTGGCAAGGAGCAACTTTCGCGTCGTCGTTATCGTGCCCGACGAGGTGGAAAGGCTGGACCTGTCGGATCCGGAGAATGGCCGTCGCTGGAACTACAAGGCCAAAGACGGGACCGACGGCGCTGGGGCATGGGAGGTGACGGAGCTGTGGCCGTGAGGGCCTTGGCCATCGTGACCAAGGGGCCTGGGGGGCTGTCATGTACTCGGGATCGCCGTCTGCGCCATACGAAACATGGCGTGGTTCAACACTGACTTTGGCCAGACCGCTGCTGGCGCTGCTTCATATTCTGCATGTCCAGCCCATGCGCCCGAGGTGTCAAGATGGCGGGTTAGCTCTTGAGAGGGATGGGCCAACTAGCCGACCGGCCCTCTCTGCCCCAAGGCCCAGAAGGCTCCAGGAAGTCGTTGGTCTGACAGACTTTCCGCGGCATTGGACACGTTTTCGCAGTTGAGCCCCCCCCCCGGTCTTTGGAGGCCAAAAAGCCAAGCTTTCCGTATGGGCCGCAGTGCCACCTCGAGCCAGGCGCAGACTCCTGCTGTACAGTACAATATGTACGTGTGTCCCTGACGCGCGCGTCGCGCTTTGTACGTTGTACGTGCACGACGGGCTCCGGGTCGCGATTGGATACGTTGCGACTGGACGGGAAGCCCCCTCGAGCCCGGGTGCATGTGACGGGTCGGGAAAGGCAGACGGACACTGCATGTCCTGCAAACTAAGCGTCTTCCCCACAGAGGCGATGCAGGCGACGCACATGTGCGAAGACTGATGTGCGGATGCATGATGCTGGCCAATGAGTTGTGCGAGAATTGTTAGGGCCAGCACGACGAGCAGCGGTAATTAAAGAGCGGTCAGGCCGGGCCAGGGATGCCATGTGGACAGCACATGTGGCCAGACGGCGAGCTGTCGCTGTCAACTGTCATGGCCGACTTGGCACGTGCATGCTGCTGCGGGATCGAGAACTTGACACGCGTCTTTGCCCTGCCAACCTGCTGCTGGGCAGATGCAGGAAAAGGAGGCGGGAAAAAGCAGAGTCTAGGCCAGCGATAGGTCATCAGCGATCATCATCAAACCAGACTCGAGGGCTCAGCTCGGGCACCGGGAGTCAATGTATCGGTACCCGGACAAGGCGAAGTGTTGGAGGCAGCACACAAGTCGCGCAATAATTAAGCGAAGGAACGCGGCCTCGGCCTCAGGCGTCTTACCCCAAGGGGCAAGGCGCGGGGCGGGGAACCGGCCTGTGGGGAGCCGGACGGAGATCGCCTCGGCTCTCTTGCCTCTTGGCATGCTGTACTCCGTAGTCAGTAGGGGTCCACGCCTTTGTACATACTGTACGGGCTTTCGGGGAGTACACGCGGGAGTACACGCGGCGAGGCCCTGAAGGGAAGCTCCGTGCGCCTTGCAGGTCCATGGAGACTTCAGCGTTGGCTCAAGCTGCAAACTCGCAGTGTCAAGACGCCAATCTGCTTGGCGAGCCGACGTTGGGCTGCGCCGCATGTCAGCGAAAAAGAAATGAAGGCAACCGCGACGTTTGTCTGCTATGCATGCACCATCTGGCGCGACGAGTTTCCGGGCAAGACCGTCGGACGATGAGCCAATGCTTGGTGACGTGGACTCACGCAGCACATGAACGACGGGCATGCTGAGGCTCGTCGTCGCGGCACGCCCCGGGCTGTACTGTAGAAGAAAAGAAAAGCACAGCTTAGTTGTAGGTCGGACGGTTGGCCAAGGAATCGTCAAATTACCACCGGCTCAGGCAGCCACGGCGGTTTGTTTATTTTCGTACATCTGCTGCCAACGGCCGGAGGTGCTGCACCCAACACGTGTGTGCGTGCCTCTGCGCAACACGCTGTTACGGAGCATGTGCATGGCGGTGCTTGATGGCCGTTGCAAGTCCTGCAAGCCGGGCCACTGTCATTTGTCGAGGCCCGGCGAGCATTGGTCAGGAGGACAGAGCGTCCGTCTGGCAGACGATTGAGGCCGCAGAGGAGAACCATGGGCCCCCATGCTCACGGACGACATACTGTACAGTACGGTAATTACCTACCTACCTTACTTACATTATGAACACAGTACTACAGGTACCTTGCTACCTACCTGGATAAGTACAGTACCTCTGTGGACTGTCAAAAAATCTCCAGTCTCCGGCCTTTTTGTCGCCCCATGGATTGAGAAATCATGCCGTGTCTAAAACCTTATTCGCGCCAGTCTCTCCCCGGAGACGCGGGCAGATCAATCAAGCCTGCCGAGGATCGAGAAGAAGAAACGGCCAGAGACAAGGACGGATGGTGTCTTGGACGTGCCTTGTATCTCGTCGGGTAAGACGGGCCCGGGGCAGATGGCGCCAACAGCCCGAGCCCAGACTCTTCTGTACCTGTCTTTGGGTACCTGTCTTGGGTGCCTGTCTTGGGTTATCTACCGTACCTAGATAGGCACTTACCTGTCTTGGGTACCTGTCTTGGTGTCGAGGCTACCTACCTACCTACCTACCTAGGTAGGTATTCACAGGCTCACAGCACACTGTACAACCTGTACAACCGTCGTCAACCCACTCTCGCGAGACAGAACAGAGCTGCGGTTTGTTCTGATGGGTTTGATGCCACGTCGACGGACATCAAACGTGCCACGATGATGTGTAACACAGTATCCGCGGAGTAGGCCACGGACCATCCACACGCAACGTGCCTCTGCGTAAACCCGAAGCGAATGAAATGGGAAATGCCTGCATACTCGTGTCACCTCGAGCGTCTTATGCACCTCCACACCAACCACGACGCCGACATGAGCAGCTCCTACTACTAATCTCTCGCCCTCTGCAGACAACAAGACACGACTAATAAAGGCTCTGAGAAGATTATTAAACCTCCCCCCCCTCCTCCCTTAGCACGGCATCTCAAAAAGCCCCCCACCCGACCCCGCACAGCAACGACGAGCTGCTGCTACCCGACCCCGACCTCACCTCACCTCACCTTAGCCTCTCTTTCTCCCCAGCTCAAATCTCCTCCCTTTCCCCTCTGCACCCTCGGCGCTAATTAACGGGAGCCAGCCGCCGCCTCCTTTGGCCCCCGTCCATTCATCACCGATTCCTCTAGTCCTGCAATCGCCATCAAACCCCCCCACCTCGCCAACGGCCTTCGCACGACTCCTGCTTTGGCCCATCAACCGGCCCGGACACCGGCATCCTGCAGTAACCCGGCCTCCCCTTGTCCTTGACGAAGCCGGCCCTTGCCGTGCATACGCATCGCAGTCCCGTCACCCCTGCGAACCCGACTCGGCACCTGCTGGTCCTTTTCATTTGCCGCTGCATCCTCCCGCTGTCGCCTCCCATACAATTCTCGCCACGATACTCACTCGGGCCGCCACTGCGTGTGCCGAGACAGCAGCGTCGCTACCCATAAAGCAACCTCCGTCCGCTCATCCATCTCGCAAAGCGCCTAATTCGTTCCCATCCCGCGATTGCTCCCTGCCCGCCGCCTACCTTCTTATCCGCCGCTTTGACGTCTTGCTTCTCCATCCCCGCCCCTCGATGTCAGCCTCTCGGGTGCCGACCGCCTAAAGTCCCGCCCCCATCTCCTACCCAAGACGGCGCTCCTGGTGGAGGATGACTCTCGCGACATGGCCATGGACGCGCTCAAGAATCTCGTCAATAAGATCCCCGACTGGCTGAAGCGCCTCGATGACTTGAGCGGCCAGATCGACCGCCGCCAGGCCGAGCTAGCTGCCCTCAATCACGAACAACGGCCGTCGAGCACCGGCTCCAGGTCCCTGAGGAACAAGGGGTCTGCTGAGTCGCTCAAACCAAAAGACGACGGCCCTTTGCACACCGATTTCGATATTGCACCGCTGCCGGGCCGCGCTGAACACGCTCAACATGCCCACGAACCTGTCACCGTGCAGGCCGAGCAGGCGCTGCCGGTAAGCCCCGAGAGAGCGACCCGACTGGCGCTGCACAAAAAGGCACGAGATGCCGTCGTGGCCGCCCACTCGCGCGCCTTGGCCCAATCCAAGAGTAGGCGGAGGTCTACCTCGATTATCTCAGCCGAGGGTGCGCCCCCAACCTATCGCACGCGAAGCCTGATCATCGTGTATTACGACAGCTATGTCCAGGGATTCTTTGATGAATTGGTGAGATTTACCTCCTCCGGCAGAAACCTGCTGCGAAAGGCAAGAATGGCAGCCAAGGTGGCCCAGATCAAGCGCATGGCCGAGCTGGAAATGCAAGATGACGACAACGGCAGCGGCGACGACAAGACGGCCTCCGACTCGCTGCCATCCCTGAGGTACATGAGTACCCGCCGGCTGGGCGTCATGTCCGCAATCCGGAGGCCGGAGCTCGGCGGCGCGGGCGACGATCAACCCCCGGATATTTTTGAGTGCCTTGACAAGAGTCTCGAGTTTGTGCAGAGCACCTGTGAGCACGGCGCCCACCAATTTCTGAGAGAGGCCGACTGCAACGACGAGATCAAAAAGATCCAAGCAAGGATGACCGAGGTGTTGAAGGCGGCAGAAAAGGAGATGGAGCGCGTCCAACGCGAAGATCCAGAGCTGGCCAAGGAAACCGGGGACGTGGGCAGAGCCCGAGCTCGGCGTCCCATCAGCATCAGGAGGGAACTGGCTGTCGGACTGAAGGGTGACGCTGAGCCGGAGAAAGACCCCCACGCAACCTCGGAGGTGTCCCGGGCGGATCACAACAGGAACAACGTCGTTGAGGCCCTGAACCCGCCTGAAGTCGACACGAGCGAGGAGCCAGACGAAGGCATCGATGTGATGCTCCCGAAGCTTCAATACCGATCGACTCGGTATATGCGCACCCGAGCTGGCTGACTCTAGCGGTCTCCAAGGATATGAGCCAACAGTTTTCACGGCCATCATGGTCATCGTCGTCGCGACCAAAAAATCTTCATGATTCACAGTCAAGTCATCGAGGTGCGCGGCCGTCTATCAAACTTCTATCTGACTCAATTTTATCGGAAACTCTCGAGAAAACGAACACAGGAGGGCGTCCATTGCCGGGTTGAAGCATGGCTAGGCGAGCCGCGGGACAGAACAGCGTGGACTTGAGCCAGACACATGCCGGTAGCCCTGATTTAGGCTACTTGGTGCCTCGCATGTGCGGCGTGATGCGTTGACCACAGGACCGCAACTTGCGTGAAGTGCAGGCTGGGTTGAGACTGCTGGAGAAGGGACGAAAGCGAGCCAAGAAGAGCGCGAGGTCTTCTATTTACTAATTGCATAGCGACAAGGAAATTTGAGATTCAATCTATCTGAACGGCCAAGGGCACAATGCTTTTGATGACAGCGTTGACAAGGAAAGCATACCGGGAGGAGCATCGTGTATGCCTAATGCGGGCTGGGTCAGCTATAGGGGATAATATATATATATGTCTCTGGGCTACGTCAATATCATCTTGGATACTATAATAGGAGCAAGCAAATGGAGCGTGTATCGTCTTCGTTGATGGTTTGACAGGACCTGCTATCGCACTGTAAACGCATTACGAGGTACTTTGTACATTGAGCTCCGTACCCCTGTACATACCCGCAAATGTCAACCAATGGAAAGAGACGAGTCTAAGGGGCCACAGGGCCAATGGGGTCCCTCGACAGCCAGCCCACCACGTGCCGTCTAGGTACTTTGTTCTTGGTACAAGAGCCCATCGACAGCGACACCGTAGATGCCCTCGAATCAACCTCAAGGGCACTCTTCAAATCAACTCCCGGAGCCTCGAGGCCCACTCGCTCAACGCAGTCACGAACCCTAAGGCGAATCACCCCAGTTGTTGAGCCCCGCATATCGTGCTTCACGATGACGGAGGACGCCTCTCGGTCGGAGCCATAGCTGCCACTGCGAATGCGGCTTCCTGCGCCTTCGTCCACCAGCAGCAGCCATGGGCCAAGGATTCTCCCTCGCGACGCCGTCGGCCGGCTCGGCCGGCATAGACATCGCACAGCTCCAAGACGTTCAGTATGAGAGGAGCATCGGGAATGCGCGCTTCATGAAGAGCATCCGCGGCCGCCACGAAAACGGTGTTGTGCTCGTCAAGGTGCTCGTCAAGCCGTTTGCCGAGGTCAACCTCGAGGAATACAAGCAGCAGATCATCAGTGAGTGCTCGTTCCTACGTCCTCATCCCCGGTACACGTCATGCTAACGCGCTGTCAGAGCAGCGCAAGGCTCTGGCCGATGTTCCCAACGCTCTCGGCTTCCAGCGCATCGTCGAAACCGAGACCAACGGGTATCTCTTGCGCCAGTTTCAGTACAACTCCCTTTACGACCGGCTGAGCACTCGGCCGTTTCTAGAAGATATCGAGAAGAAGTGGCTTGCCTTTCAGCTGCTGTGCGCCCTGCGAGACTGCCACGCCCGAGACGTCTACCACGGCGACATCAAGGCCCAGAACGTCCTCGTCACGTCCTGGAACTGGCTATACCTGACAGACTTCTCGTCGCCCTACAAGCCAGTCCTCTTGCCCGACGATAACCCGGGCGATTTCTCATACTTCTTCGACACTTCGGGGAGGCGCACCTGCTACCTCGCCCCCGAACGCTTCTACGCCGCGGGCGAAGGCCCTCCACCCAGGGCTGAGATGACCTGGGCCATGGACATCTTCAGCGCAGGCTGTGTCATTGCGCAAATGTTCCTGGAGTCGGAACTCTTCAGCCTCGCTCAGCTGTACAAGTATCGCCGTGGCGAGTACGACCCAGTCATTACGCACCTGAGCGTTATCTCGGACAAGGACGTCAGGGACATGATTGCGCACATGATTCAGCTCGATCCCGAGAAGCGCTACTCGGCAGACCAGTACCTCGAGTTTTGGAAGGGAAAAGTGTTTCCGTCCTACTTTTACAACTTCCTGCATCAGTACATGGAGCTGATCACCGACCCCTCCTCGGGCATCAACCCCATGTCCGGGTCTCTGAAGAACATGGGCGAGTCTGATGACCGGATAGATCGCGTATATAACGATTTTGACAAAATATCCTACTTCCTCGGTTACCAGCCCGACAAGCGGTCTTCGGGACCGGCGCTGTCGCCCCCACGCCTCGGTCTTGGCCACTTTCCCGTCCGTCTGAGCATCGCCAGCCACGAGCTGTCCGTTTCTGCAGACCTTGAGCCCCCGGAGGACGACGGCACCCTCATCTTTCTTACCCTCATTGTTTCGTCCATACGCACAACGGCCCGGGCATCCTCGAGAGTCAGAGCCTGTGACGTCTTGTTGGCGTTCGCCGAGAGGTTAACCGACGAGGCCAAACTGGACAGGGTCCTACCGTATCTCATGACGCTATTGCGCTGGGAGGAGACAGACATTGTCGTTGTATCCGCCATCCGCACCATCACCCAGCTTCTGCAGCTTGTCCGCATGCCAACCCCCATCAATTCGCACGTTGTCGTCGAGTACGTGCTGCCACGGATGGAAATCGCGCTGGGGTCGAGGTCCCGCACTGCGAGCCCGCTGGTTCGAGCGACATATGCCTCGTGCTTAGGAAGCCTAGCCTCGACGGGCCAGCGTTTCCTTGAAATCGCCTCCAGCCTCAGGGCAGATGGCTCCATGCCCGTTGCGGACCCCGAGGTGGAGCCCGGGGCCGATGCCGAGGCAAACTTCGAAAGCGTCTTTGACAATGCCGGCAGAGAGCTGTTTGAAACTTTGGAAAGCCACACGAAGCAGCTCGTTGAGGACCCAGACGTCCACGTACGCCGTGCGTTTCTAGCATCAGTGCCAGAACTATGCATGTTCTTTCAGGAACACTCCAACGACATCCTGCTCACGCACCTCAACACCTACCTCAACGATCGCGACTGGACTTTAAAGTGCGCATTCTTCGACACCGTGGTTGGCATCGCGACCTTCATCGGGAGCACGAGCCTCGAGGAATTCATGCTCCCGCTCATGGTGCAAGCCCTGGCGGATGCCGAGGAGTTTGTGGTGCAAGCCGCGCTGCAATCTCTTGCCCAGCTCGCCGGCCTAGGCCTCTTATCGAGATCCAAAATATGGGAACTGACAGATCTCGTCGGCAGACTGACGATGCATCCCAACATATGGATACGAGAAGCCTCAGCACAGTTCTTATCCATGTCTGCCAAGTTCCTGGCCTCGTCGGACGTCAGGTGTATCTTGATGCCGCTGATGAAGCAGTTTCTTAGAGTGACGACACTTGCTGACTTGTCCGAATTGGCCATTCTAGACTGCCTCAAGAAGCCCCTCTCCCGCGCAGTGTTTGAACAGGCCATGACCTGGGCTACGCAGACGGATAGAGGAATGTTCTGGAAGTCGTTGTCAAGGGCTCGGTCCTTGACCCTCGGGTCATCTGGGGGACTGGCCGCTCGATCGTCTCAAGATGTGGACGCCAGTTCCTTGAGCAAAATCACTCGCAATGAAGAAGATGAGCAGTGGCTCGAGAAGCTGAGGAACCTTGGCCTGAAGCCCGAGGACGAACCGAAGCTCCTGGCTCTTCGAGAGTACATTTGGCGGATGAGCCGGACCAAGTCGCGAGACTCTGCGGCTGGAGAAGTGGGCATGCCGACTGGGCTCGTCTCTTTGAAGTCGCTCGGCGTCACACCACAGACAGTGTTCTTCAACGATGCGCCCCTCAGGGACTCGTCCCTTGAGCCGGATCTAGACTCACCCGTCGGTCCCTACACCATTGCAGACGCACTGCAGGACGCCTCAATGACGCTCGGTGACTCTGTCAGCAAGAGGAGGAGGGCGGCATTGAACAATCACATGAACAGGGTCCACAGCGTTGGTCCTCGGCCATCTCGGACTACGACACGTCTCTTGTCGCCAGAGGGCAGCGAAAGAGCTGGCTCGAGGCAGCCGAGGCGGGGTTCGTCAATCAACCGTGGTGGCGGCTCTGGCGATGATGATTTGGCCGTGCGCGACGACCCCTATTCGTCTAGGAGGAGTGTTCGACACCAGTCAAGCGCGCTGAGTCTCCTCGATCGCAAGGACGGCAACAAATCGATCGCGGAAACCGGTACCAGCGATGCCAATGCGTTTGGAGAAGTCGAAGGTCCGTTTGCCCAGGAAACACCCGCGTCCTCGGCTTCGGCACAGGAGAACGACGAGCCCAGGGCGGCTCCGAAGCAGTCGAGGCATAGCTACGAAGGGACAGATCCCAACATTCAAAGGATGCTGGATAGGATGTACATTGACAACTTCCCTCGCGACGTCCTGGAGTTTGGGCCCATGGTCCCACCCATCTCCGGCGGCAAATTCCGTGCTGTCAATGTCCAGCCGGGGGCATCCCAATGGAAGCCCAGAGGGCACCTCGTGGCGACATTTGCGGAGCACAAAGGCCCGATCAACAGGGTCGTCGCATCTCCAGACCACGCCTTCTTCATCACCGGCGGCAGCGATGGTACCGTCAGGGTATGGGACACGGCGAGACTGGAGCGCAACATCACGCATCGCTCCAGACAGACGCACAAGCACGCCGAGGGCGCTCGTGTTCTGAATGTGTGCTTTGTGGAAAACTCTCACTGTTTCGTCAGCTGCGCGAGCGACGGAAGTGTCCACGTCGTCAAAGTCGACACGGTCCCTGCGAGTGGTGTCGTTAGGTATGGCAAGCTGCTGTTGGTGCGAGAGTATCAGCTGCCACGGGATGAATTCGCAGTCTGGTGCGAGCACTTCAAGCATGACTCGGCGTCGGTCCTCCTCCTGGCCACCAATCGATCGCGGATCTTGGGCATCGACCTAAGAACGATGTCAGTGCTATACGAGCTCGAGAACCCGGTCCATCATGGGACCCCAACTTGCCTGTGCGTGGACAGGAAACGGAACTGGCTTTGCGTGGGAACCTCTCATGGTGTGGTTGACCTCTGGGATCTACGGTTTAAGATGAGGCTGAAGGGTTGGGGTATCCCAGGCAAGACGTCCATCTATCGGATGTGCATCCATCCGACCAAGGGCCGTGGCAAGTGGATATGTGTGTCTGGCGGGACGGGGCAAGGGGAGATTACCGTCTGGGATCTCGAAAAGACGACTTGCCGAGAAATCTATCGCGCCGGCGGAACCAAGGACGGGCCGAAGACATACAGCCCCTGGGACGTGGACGAGGACAGGCCAGAGGGCATGCTTGCCCGCTTTGCCACGAACCTCGAAAACAGCGACGCGGCCAACGCAGATCGGGGCGTGCGCGCCATGGTGGTGGGGACCGGGGCTGCGGAGGACTCTCGCGACGTGCGTCACGCATACATGGCAACGGGAGGCTCAGACAAGAAGCTGCGGTTCTGGGACATTGGGCGGATCGAGAACTCGGGCGTCTACAGCGGACTGCAGCCCGACGAGCCTTCGCCGACCTACGTGGCCAGTCACCCGACGACGGGCGTCACCCTCAACGCGGAAAAGGCTTCGCGTCACGCGGGCTCGGGAGGAGGAAATGATGGTGGCGGCAGCACTGGGGGTAAGGGCAAGAGCACGGCAATCGGACGGCCGCCGCGGTCGACTGTCATTTCCATGATGCAGCAGCAGCTTCTGCAGTCGCATCTGGACGCGGTGCTCGACCTGGTGATTCTGGAGCATCCGTACACCATGAGCGTGTCGGTGGACCGCTCTGGCGTCGTGTTTGTATTCCAGTAAAGCGCTGCGGGGGTGTGAGCACCTTTAGTCTAAGCAGAGAAGAGTGCATCATAGTATCACATTGATTTGCGCGGCGGAATAAACCTCGCGAGGCCCAGAGCCTTGAACGGCGACTTGTTAGAGTATTAACTGAACTTCGTATAATTAGGCACATACGTTCAGTACCTGGTTATCGTCGTGGCTGACGATTTAGTGGGTCTGGCCATGTGGCGCGCGACTCCGGTGACAGCTGTGGCTCAGCTGCGAACTCGATCCAAAACTTCGCTTCTGCCTCGCCCAGTATATCAGCCTCGTCGCCCTGCAAACAAAACCATCAGCCCCCCACCGACTTGAATGACCGCACGGGCACGAGGACAAGCCGGGCTTGACTTTTACTCGCCGACTGCAAGAGAAGACCACGAATCGAGGCCTTGCCCCCTATACCCACTCCCCCCTACGACGAGCAGAGAAGAGGCACCGCGGCTTGACCACCACGGCTGGGCGAAGATTCGCCGCCATGAGGCTCACCGCGGAGCTCCTGCATGAGTCCCTTTCCTACCTGAATCCGCTCAAGGAGCGCGAGCTCGATCTCCGAGGTGCGTTTGAAAAGAGCAGATGCTACACAATTTGATCGTCAAAAGAGCTAGAGTTGATACCAGCGTCTTCGTTATCTGCGGGCCAACAGGACAGCGAATCCCTACCATTGAGAACCTTGCTGTCGCAGGCGTGAGTACACTCTGATCCTGGACTGGCGGCAGACCGCGCTTCATCAGTCGCTGACCCAGAGACTCGAGCTTGAAGCCTCACGATGCAATCGACTTCACCGACAACGATATCCAGGTACTGGGCAACTTCCCGCTCTCACCCCGCATAAACACGCTCCTGGTTGCGCGCAACCGCGTCGTCAGCATCCACCAGAGCCTGCCCAGCGCGATCCCCAACCTGAAGAACCTGGTGCTGGCGTCCAACAACCTGGCCGAGCTGGCGGATCTGGACGTGCTGGGCATGTTCCCGCGCCTCATCCACCTTGTCCTCGTAGACAACCCCGTCACAAAGAAGGAGGTGAGCGAACACGGCGGCCCCCAAATCTAAAGAGAGAGTAGAAAGAAAGCCTGCAGAGTGGCTCGGATGCTGACGGTGAATGCGGTGAAGCACTACCGCTACTGGGTCTTGTGGCGATGTCCCTCGGTGCGGTTTCTCGACTACGAAAAGGTCAAGCAGGTGGAGAGGGAGAAGGGCCGAGAGCTTTTTGGCACGGCGGAAGAGCCGACAGTCTTGACTACCGAGGCAAGTTTCTTCTCGGTTCTGACGAAGCCAAAGGAGCGTCTGTTCACTGACGCCCCAACGCAGATCCTGGGCAGAAAGACCAAGTCCTTTGAGATGTCAGCCAACGGCTCTGCGGAGCCCTCGAAACAGCTGCGGATGAAGCTCACAGACGAGGAGAAGCAGCGGCTCAGGGATAAGATCAAGCAGGCGACAAGCCTGAAGGAGATTATTGCGCTGGAAAAGGAGCTGAACGAGGGAAGACTGCCGTCCGGGCTCGACCAGGATGCCATGGAGGAGTAGAGGTGCTTTGCCACGGTGGAGCTTGACAGAGGGGTTGCCACGCAAAAAGTGGCTGGATCTTTTTGTCAAGGACTCTTCTCTACATAAAGATGTTGATCCAGAGGATCCAAGTTGTCTGGCCGCTGCGCCTGCTCTAGGCGATACAGGATGAGACTACCAATTCCAACGTGCGTGCCACTCTCTCTCTCTCTCCCGTTTCATGTACTCTTGAACCCCCTCCGGCGCATCCCGCCATGTCCTGGCGAGGGCCGGCCGCTAGCCCGACATGTTCACGTCGGGATCGCCGGAGGGACCAACGCGCTCGGCCTGCCTCATCTCGAGCTCGAGCTGATTGCTTGGGCCATCGTCCCCGTCGTCGGCGTGGTGCGGGACCCTCAAGGCAGAGGCCTCGCCGTTGACGATGGGAGCGTCGGCAGCCGTGGCGGCGGCGGCGCCGTTAACCAAGGGAGCGGCGGCGGCGGCGGCGCGGGACGAGGCGGGCAGCAACTCGTCGATGGGCTTCTCGCCACGGAGGCGGGCCTGGGTTTCCCTCGCCGTGGCCTTGATCTTCCTAAAGGGGACAGTTTTGGGGATGATGTCTTCGAGGAACTCGAGGTTGTCCTGGTGTGAGACGGCGGTTGCTGGTGAAGGGCAATGTCCGTTAGGATCGAGCGGCGGGAGCAGGGACTATAGACAAGAGGTAGGAGAGGTGCAAGGGGAAGGAGAGGGCACACACCAACGTCTTTGTATTGGATGTTGCGCCGCGGCTTTCGTTCTAGCTTTGCCTGCGTGTGTGCTGCGTCGGAGATATGTTGAATAAACATTTCCTGTAGTGCTTAGGAGTTAGATGGGGGAAAGGGGCCAGAGGAAGAGGAATAGACGACGCGAAAAGGCATGCTGACTGGGCATTACTGACGGTAGCGCATGTGATGATGAAGGCGGCGTTGTTGGAGCACATGGCGATGTCGGAGTCTTGGCTGATGATCTTCTTGACCCTCGACACTAGAGGGCAAGAAAGACAAGAGTCAAAATGAGATACACGTGGAGAAGCGGGCAGAAGAAGACTCACACGGGAGCTGGGTGTGTCCTGTCGGCTCCATTCGCGGAGGGATGGCGGACGTGTTGTACGGCATGATGGCGATGGGCTAGAGGCCGCCGGGCGGGAGAGGAAAGGACGCGGCCCTCTTCAAAATGAGGCCTAGGTGAAGAAGAAAGGGGGAGGCCGGCGTCAGTGACTGGTCTGCAGGCGAAGAGTAAGGGTGAGGGTGGAATCAGAGGCTACGGTTCGTGAAGGCGGCGAGCGGTGAAATGCGGGTCGGGCTTGGTTGGAGATGCGGGAGGAACGGTGGCTCGCTGGCGAATCTCTTGAGCAGTGAGGATCTCAAGACAAGATGGGTTGGGGGGCGATGCTTTGCCGAGTTGAGCGTCGGGATGCGCCGCGGATATCGCCTTGTTGTTCTGACAAGTGAGCGAAGAGCAAGAGGGGCCAAAATATAAGAAGGTGGCGTCCAGAGCGGATTGACGCAAGTGAGCAATGGAGAGAGTATGGGACGTGTTGCTTGGGGGCTGCTGAGGAGCAGAAAGAGAGGTTCGAGATGTGGACTGGTTTAGACGCGCGCTGCTAGACGCGAGACGTGTTAATGGCCGGTACGTACCCAGACACCTAAGGTATGTCACTCGACCCGGGTAGCTCACTCGATCTTCCTGGCACAACGCCATCTGAATGTAACCTTGGCCAACAAACGCCACCCAACATCGACATCGCCATCATCATCGACATTGTCATTGTCGTCGGCGACAGCTTCCCCTCGACGACCGTGCATCCATCCTTGGATCCTACAGTGCCGGCAGCTGGGACACTGCGACTCTCGCCGCCGCCATGGTCTGCGGGCCCGGAGACGCAGCAGCATGAATCCGCGATCCACGTCCTTCAGCCGCAACCCGCATGTGGTTCGCCGCCCGTCCATCAGCTCCCGCCTGTCCTTTGCCGTGTCCACGGCTGAGCGCGGCGAGGCTGATGCCGCCGCCGCCGAGGTGCCCATCGAGGAGGCCATAGCCGAGATCAAGCGGTACGAGGTAATGCGCTCGCCAATCCCGACGTGCGCTGCGTTGCTGACTCCAGGCAGGACTTTACCACCATCGGTACGGTCGTCTCCCCCCGCCCCCGAGCCACGCGCATGCTGACCGAAGGACTCGCTCGCAGACTGGGTGCAGGATGCCGCGCGAGAGCAGGCCCGTCGCAAGACGCGCAGGAAACGGGCCGCTGGCTTCTACGGCCGCGGCCAGTTGAGCTGGAGATATCGCCTCTGGGAGTCGTACGACGCCGCCCAGGGATGGATTGTCGTCACCATCATCGGCGTCGCCATCGGCCTCAACGCCGCCTTCCTGAACATCATCACCGAGTGGCTGTCCGACATCAAAATGGGCCACTGCACCACCGCCTTTTACCTCAACGAGAAATTTTGCTGCTGGGGCGAGGACAACGGTATGCGACTCGACCTTCTGCTGTGTGATTTCGCTGACGAGCTGGCAAAAACCAGGCTGCCCGCATTGGCATCGCTGGACAGGCTTTGAGCCTTTCAACTACTTCATCTACATAGCCTTTGCTGTACGCCGCTCCTTTCCCCCTTCCCCCTTTCCCCCTGGCCCCCTGACCCCCTGGCCAAGTGTCTAACCTGTGCCAGACCTTCTTCGCATTCGTCTCCGCCGCCCTCGTCAAGTCCTTTGCGCCGTACGCCGCCGGCTCCGGCATCTCAGAGATCAAATGCATCATTGCAGGCTTCGTCATGAAGGGCTTCCTCGGCCTCCGCACCTTGCTCATCAAGTCCGTCTGTCTGCCCCTGGCCATCGCCTCGGGCCTGTCCGTCGGCAAGGAAGGGCCGAGCGTCCACTACGCCGTCTGCACCGGCAACGTCGTCTCGCGCCTCTTTGCCAAGTACAGGAGCAACGCCGCCAAAACGCGCGAGATCTTGAGTGCCTGCGCCGCAGCCGGCGTAGCCGTTGCCTTTGGCAGCCCCATCGGCGGCGTCCTCTTCTCCCTAGAGGAAATGTCCAACTACTTCCCGCTCAAGACCATGTGGCGGAGCTACTTTTGCGCCCTGGTTGCCACTGCAGTCCTTGCCGCCATGAACCCCTTTAGGACCGGACAGCTCGTCATGTTCCAGGTCAGGTACGACCGGGACTGGCACTTCTTCGAGGTGCTCTTCTACGTCATCATCGGCATCTTTGGTGGTCTCTATGGCGCCTTTGTCATCAAATGGAACCTGCGCGCGCAGTCCTTTCGAAAAAAATATCTCACCAGGTACGCCGTGTTGGAGGCAACATTGTTGGCGGCGGGCACTGCCATCATTGCGTATCCCAACGCCTTTCTGCGCATCGACATGACGGAGAGCATGGAGATACTCTTCCTCGAGTGCGAGGGTGCCGAGGACTATCACGGGCTTTGCGAGCCTGACAAGCAGTGGTGGAACATCATGTCGCTCGTCCTCGCGACCGTTCTGAGGCTCCTGCTAGTCATCATATCTTACGGCTGCAAGGTCCCCGCGGGCATCTTTGTTCCGTCCATGGCCATTGGCGCCTCGTTTGGCCGCACAGTCGGCATCGTCGTCCAGGCCATCCACGACGCCAATCCGACCAGCATCTTCTTTGCGGCCTGCAAGCCAGACGAGCCCTGCATCACGCCGGGCACGTACGCCTTCCTGGGCGCGGCCGCGGCTCTTAGCGGCATCATGCACATCACCATGTCCGTCGTCGTCATCATGTTTGAGCTCACTGGGGCGTTGACGTACATCCTGCCCACCATGATTGTTGTAGGCGTTACGACCGCCATCAGCAGCTGGTTCGGCAAGGGGGGCATCGCAGACCGGATGATCTGGTTCAGCGGCTTCCCCTTCTTGGACAACAAGGAAGAGCACAACTTTGGAGTGCCAGTGTCTCAAGTGATGAGGACGTCGGTTCTGTCATTGCCCGTAAATGGCCTGACGCTCGGGGAAGTCGAGCAACTGCTGTCCGACGACAAGTACCAGGGATTTCCGATCGTCGAGGACTCCAATTCCAAGGTCCTCGTGGGATACATTGGCCGGACAGAACTGCGGTACGGCGTCGACCGGGTCCGTCGAGAGCGGCCCATCAACCCCAGCGTCAAGTGTGCATTCTCGCCCCCCTCGGCGCTGAACCCCATCGCGCCCATGACGCCGACGGTGACCATCAGCACCGACTCGATGGCGTCAACGTCGCTCGACTTTGGCCGATACGTCGACGCCACGCCCGTGACGGCTCACCCGCGACTGCCGCTGGAGACGGTCATGGAACTGTTTCGCAAGATAGGGCCTCGAGTCATTCTAATAGAGTACCACGGCAGGCTGACGGGCCTCGTCACGGTCAAGGACTGCCTCAAGTACCAATTCAAGGTGGAGGCAGCTGAGAACCCCAAGGACGACCATCGGATCCGCGAGGGACAGGAGCAGCTCTGGGCGGTGCTCCGCACGGCGGGCTACTGGGTGTCGGACCAGATTTCGAGCGTGTCGAGGGGCAGGATCCGGCTGGGCGGCCACTTTGAGGAGGACGTATCGCGAAACCGAGGCGGGCCCATCCTGGATGGCGACGAGGACGTTGTCGACGAGGGCGTGGAGCTGGAGAGCAGGCGGTAGAGTCTGGCAACAAGGGGAGCACCGGGTGCATTTAGACGTGGCGTCACGCGGAGCGCTCGAATAATCTTTTGTACACTTTTTGTGGTTCTGGGGAGCTGGCCTGGATTCGGCCATGTACGAGAAGCAGTTTTGTTGGGATAAAGGGGGCGCCGAGAGCTCACAAGGTGACGGCAGCATCTTGGTATCGATGCAATCTAAATTCTATCTAAGGGGTTCGCTCGACAGGTATCCCAGATGGGGCGCGTCCTCGTCGACTGAGTTGGCGTACGAAGTCTCGCCGCTCGGGCTGCCGCTCTGCAGCAGGGGTTTCCATTCCCCAGCCTCGGCAGCGCTCTCGGACGAGGCGGCAGAGGCGGCACTCGGGTGCCCACGACGGTCAGGAGGGTTGTCGTCGTCATCGGCGTCGTGGTCGTCGTTGGCGGGCTCGACCTTTGAGCCGATGACGACGTTGCCGGCGACGAGCAGGGCGGCGCCGGCCCACCACAGGGGCGGCAGGGCCTCGGAGAAGATGACGAGACCGAGCAGGGCGGTGAGGACAAAGTTTGTGGACGTGTTCATGATGGAGACTTGGGTGGTGGAGGTGCCCTTGGCGAGGGCGGTGGTGAAGAGCGTCCACATCTGGCGGTGGGAGGTCAGGAGGTTAGCGGCAGCCGGTGAGAGGCGAAGAGGGGCGGGGGGGCTCACGATGCCGTTAAAGGTGAGGTTGAGCGCAAAGAAGATCTGGCGCGCGCTCGGGGCGGCAGGTCAGCCATGGCGGAGGTTGGAGGGAGGTAGGGGGACGACGAACACCGCGGACAGTGAGTTCGACGGCGTTGTTGGCCGAGGGGGAGGAGAGGCCGAAGAGCGCGGCCAGGCTGCGGGCGAGGGTGGATGTGAGGCTGGTCGTAGTCCTGATGGATTGACATGGTGAGATGGCACTTGTCAAGCCGGCTATTCAGGGAAGCAGGACATACAGCTTGGCAAAGGCGCCGTTGACGGCGGCACAGGCGCCGCTGGCAATGGCGAAGAAGATCCAGTGCGACGGGCTGGTCCAGGAGGCGCGGGCACTCTCGGCATCGGCCATGGCCGGGTCCGGGCCCGGGTCCGTCGGTGATGTGTTGCCGTCGGCGACGCGGGGTTGCTCCGAGCCGGGCTCTGCTGCTCTCCTTGTCGCGTCCGCTTTGCCGCCGCCGCCGTGCCGTTGACGGATCATGGGGGGGGGGTTGTTTGCTGGAATGATAGTATGAGTGAAATAAAGAGAAAACGACCGAGGTGCAAAGGTAGGGAGTTTTCCTCCTCCCCGTGACGTACTAACCAGCGTCTCCCAACGGCACGTCACGTTGTCGCCCCCTTTTTAATCATTCTTCTCTTTTAACTTGTCTCCTTTTCATGCGTGCGGCGCGACTGGCGGCTGGAGGGGGGGACGACGCGGCGACGCACGTGGATGTACTTTATACGTGCGTGCGTACGTGCGTACGTGCGCCAAGACGGAGGGAGGAAAGAAATGGGGTGTGGAGCGGCCGGATGCCCACTCTCCGTTAACGAACTAGTGGCATCCATGCCGGATCCGCCCTTCTCTTCGTCTCGGGCCTGGCTGATTGGGGGTTTGGGAAAAGGTAGAGATGGAGCGAGGGGTCCGGGCTTTTCTGGGGAGGAGTGGTGGAGGAGTGGAAGTGGTGGAGGAGTAGGTGAGTGGACATGGCAGAGAGATGCGGCAGGCAGGTTGCTGGGGAGCGAGTGACGAGGGCGAGATGGGATAAACGAGACAGTGCACGGTACTTTGGTCACGCTCTTCTGCACTGGCGGCTGCGGCTTAACCGTGCGCTACGAAGTAACATACTCTGGACGCGCATCACGACTCGTCAGAGCAAGGAGCTGGCTGCCAATGAGACACTGTTGCATGCATGTAATTGATTTTCCTACCAATCTTGCACCTTGGCCCGTCACACGCGGACAAGCCGAGGCGCTGCGTGCGGGCCGTCATTGTTGACTCGTGCTGGCGGCCTGTGCCGGAATCTTGTCCTGCCCTCTATCCATGGCCCCGAAGTCGATACGTCTACTGAAATAAACAAACCGCACTCTCAACTCGAGAGGAACTAACTCCCTCCGAAACGCCGTCCAAAAATGCAAGCTTCCGCATATCTCGTGCCTGAGTCTCGTGCCCGAGTCCGCCCGCTTCCGCCTCATTGGTGACGTCTCTAAGTCTCGCCCGGCTTCTTGGCGTTGCAGCTCACAATCTTGACCTTGTCAGCCTGGACAGACTGGCTCCCGTTGTCCATCTTGAATGTCACGTTCCTTATGAGAAACGTCCAGACTTCGTCGCAGAAGCGGTAGGTATCCAGGCTTCCCTGCAGCTCGTCGTCTCCTCGTCAGCCTCGCCGCGCCCCTGGCTGGCCATGCGTCTGCGACTGACCTTGAACTGTAGACGGCTCTTGACGCTCTTCTGCAGAGTCTCGGTGATGGCCTGGTCGAAGTTGCCCAGAATCTTCATGGCAAGCTGCGGGTTGATGCGATCATCGCTGATGAGGTCGTCGAGTGTGTCAGTCAGAGCGAGCCCGATACTAGAACAGATGAAGAGGTAGCGACCCGGTTAGCCACTGTGTCTATTCTTTCCATGTAGGCGCAGTCGTTGGCACTCGCTCCATACCTGCTCCTACGGTAGAGCTCGTAGAACGACTGCGCACCCGTCGCCATGATGCTCCCGAGGCAGGCGGAGCGCGCTGCGGCTCGGCGTTTGGACGAGGCGCGAAGCAAGGATGATGCTTTGTGTCGTGTCGTACAGAGGCCCGGCCTTTCTGGAGGGAGAGACGGGCAGGGCGAGGGTGGAAGAGGCAAAGGCTTGGACAATGGCGGGGGTGGAGGATAAGTTCCGATAGGCCCCGCTGACTAAGTAAGGTGCCTTGGCGCAGCACCCGGCATGTCATGTGACGTCGCTGCCACCTCTCCGACTTGTCGCGCTCAGAAGAGCTGCGACGAGCAACGCGGAGAGAGCTTGTCGAGGCGGTTGACGTTGAACCCTCGCATCCACCCAGCCAGCGCCCGACCCGTACGCTTCTCCCCTCTCCCCGCCAAGGGCTCTTCTTTGCCCCCAAGCAGCGCGGCAGCGGCAGCGACGGCACAGCAACAGCAGCCATTTCCCCGTCACAATGAGCCTCACGTATGGAGTCGGCGGCGTTGGGTCCTTCTTGACCGTGGTGGGGGCGTGTAGGCGACCCCTGAGCACCCCCGACGTGAACACGGCTGGCTGGGCTGGCTGACAAGGCGCGCAGACATGCTCTTTACCGGCAGCGGCGAGGCCTTCAACGTCGGCGCCTTTCTCGAATCCGTCTCGCCCTACGCATGGGCTGACCTCGGCATCGCCCTCTGCATCGGCCTGTCCGTCGTCGGCGCCGCATGGTGCGCGCCCAAGCCTGTCACTCACTCACCCATGATGCGCAGCGCATGCTGACCTCTTGTCGGCAGGGGCATCTTCATCACCGGATCGTCCATTCTCGGCGCAGGCGTCAAGGCCCCCCGCATCCGCACAAAGAACCTCATCTCCATCATCTTCTGCGAGGTCGTCGCCATCTACGGTGTCATCATGTCCATCGTCTTCTCCTCAAAGGTCAGCTCCGTGCAGGGCCCCGAGGCCTTTTCCGCAGACGCCTACTACACCGGCTTTGCCCTCTTCTGGTCCGGCCTGACCGTTGGGCTCTGCAACCTCGTCTGCGGCGTGGCCGTGGGCATCAACGGCAGCGGTGCCGCCCTCGCTGACGCTGCCGATGGCACGCTGCAAGTGCCCCCAGCGATCCCTGCCCTTCAGAGTTGCTAACAGTGCAGGCAGATTTGTCAAGATTCTCGTCATCGAAATCTTCAGCTCCGTGCTGGGCCTCTTTGGCCTCATCGTTGGTCTCCTTGTCTCTTCAAAGGCAAACGAGTTCGGCAAGGACTAGCACAGCAAGGCAGACGAATGCTTGACGAAACCGCACCTCTCCGCCAGAACAACACAAAAATCTCGATTTGCAACACCCTCATATGCATGGCTCCAGTGATGCTTGGTTTGGCGTTTAGAAGATTGGCTGCGGAGGGCACTTTTTTGTTTCCTCATTCCTGTACCATCAGTCGGCCCCTGGAAACCAGTCATGTACATCAGCCAGGTAGGCGTGGCAAAACTACCTAAATATCAAGCATCAAGATCCAAGTGCTTCATTGCAAGCTTCCCCGCCGCTAGTTGATGGAGTCTCCAATGGCCCCTTTTACTGGCCGTCTCATCAAAGGATCGTCACAGGTCGTTCTTCTCAGATTAACTCGTAACTCGCCAAGAAACGGGAATCCCAGCGAGTCTCACGCTCCTCTTATCGTACTCATCAGCAGAGCGTCGACTCGGGTGCCCTTTTCCAACTTGCCCTTGCCGCTGGGCATGCAGACCAAGGCGTTGGCCGACCTGAGGCTGCCGACTTTGGAGCTGCGCTGCCCGCCGGTGCTGCCCGCCGTCAACTGCCCATCCGCTCCGACCGTCACCACCGCGCGGTGGTACTCTGGACGCGGGTCTATGGGGAATTCGTGGGCCAACACCACGGGCACCCTGGGCAGGCCGGCAGGCGAGATGCCGGACTGCTTGTGCAGGGACGGCAGGACGAAGAGGTGGAACGTCACCAGCGCCGACGCCGGGTTGCCGGGCAGGGAGAAGACGGCCTTTGAGACGCGGCGCCCGGCGTTGTCCTTGACGGGCACTGTTGCAAACGTCGTCGGCTTGCCGGGCTTCATGGCGACCCTGCCAAAGTGAATGGTCCCGCCCAGGGCGCGCTCGACCGTCGGCTTGAGCAGGTCCAGCTCGCCCATGGAGACGCCACCGGTCGTAACGAGCACGTCGGCCTGCCGCAGCCCGCTGCGCAGCGTCTCCTCCAGCGTGCCGGGCGTGTCCTTGGCGATGCCCAGGTCGACCACGTCGAACCCCCATTCCCTGACGGCAGATATGAGGGTGATGCGGTTCGTGTCGCGGACCTCGCCCAGCCTCAGCGGGCCCGGCCTGCTGTGCTCGATGATTTCGTCTCCCGTGGACAGGACACCGATGACGGGCCGTCTGAACACCTTGACTTCTGCCACCCCGACCGCGGCAAGTAGGCCAATCTCGCCGCCCACGCCGGTAATCTGCTCACCCCGGTCAAGGATGACCGAGTCTTTCTGGATGTCGCTCCCGACTTCCCGTACGTTCTCGCCCTCCTTGACACCATCGGCCTGCATCTCAATCTCCCGCTCCTCCGTCCCGTCGTCCGTCATAGCCTTGAGAATCGTGTCCTCGACCATGATGACAGACGCGGCGCCAGGAGGCAAGGGAGCGCCTGTCGTAATCCTCGCAACCTCGCCCTCCTTGAGTGGCTTCACCTGGCCGGGGGTCGCGTGCGAGACGGCCGTCACCGGAAACGCCCCCGTCATGTTGCCGCCCTTGGGGACGACAGCGGCGTAGCCATCCACGATGCTCGCCCTAAAGGCCGGGACATCTTCCTGAGCCCTCACAGCTTCAGCCAGGACCGAGCCTACGAGTTTCTCATCCACGCTTCGTGCAACGACCTCGGGGCCAGGCGTATGCTCGGCAATGAGAGCAAGAGCGTCGTCGACGGATAGCATGGGGTAGGGGGATTCACGATGCCTTCGCGTGGGTCCCAGTTGTGGATCGTTGGAGAGCGCTTGGCTTGTGTGCCTTACAAGCACTCCGTGTCCATGGCCATGGTGGTGGTGGTGGTGATCATGCCCCGAGGCATGCTCGGGGGGCCGCGATCCCCCTTGTATGCCTGCGTCAGCTTCAAGCTTCTTGACGCCTCCAGCATGCAAAGCTCGCGAGTCGGCCCCGCAGACTTGAAGGCATGCGTGTGGGAGCGTCTTGATGATGGCCTGGAGGTTCTCCTTGGCGCCCTTGGGAGAGCCTGGCAACGTCACAATGACGGATCTATGCCGCACCCCGGCAACTGGTCGCGACATCATGGCGACTTTTGGGCGCATGTCAGAATGGAGCAAAACGAGCCAGTATCAAGGGGGATCAGGCTTACACGGCGTCACGGAGAGGGAAGCGGCCAGCATGGCCTGTACCAAGCCCGGGGCCTGCTTATGGAGCAACGGAGCGATGGCCTTGCAAGATGCCATGAGCCATGTGGGCAACGGGCGCACATCAGATGAAATCTAATTTACCTCTGGGGTTCCGTCGGCCGTCGCGAAGCCAGTGCCGCCCGTCGTCACGATGAGATGGGGCGGGTTGGGGTCGGCGGCCCAGGCCAGGACGTGCTTCTGTATCAGCAGCACATCGTCGGGGACAATGGCCTCGTGGGACACTTGCCATTTCCCGCCGCCGTCTTCGCTCAGGACTTGGCGGAGAATCGCACTCGATGCATCTGTCGAGAGGCCTTGAGCCGCAGTCGTCGAGACGACAAGTATGGCTGCCGTGAGAGGGGGAGACGCGTCTCTATCCATGGCCGTCACGCGACGCACTGATGGAGGGTGAAGTGAGTAGAGATGGAAGCCCGTGATGAGCTCAGGTCTCTGTGGCCTTCTTCTCTTTGACGGCTGCAGATGCAAGGCCGAGGCAAGGAAGCTTCCGCCAGTACGAGGTACATGTTGAGGGTATCGACTGGAGCCGGGAGAAGTAGATAGTACCAGTTTAGTATGTGATTGTGCCCCATCATGCGGCCGTGGAACCCCTATAGTGGGCATAAAGCAACTTCAGAACTAAGTTGAATATACATACGGGCTGCCGAGGCTTCAACTCCACTCTCTCATTCTTTGCACTTCATCCACCTTCACCCGGTTCACCACCATCTCGGATGCGCACACACGCCATCTCCAGGCCCCTGGAATAGGTCATATCTGTCACTCTCCAATACCACAGTCATGGTCCGCATCAAGGAGAGATACCTGCTCGTCAACATTCTTTACCCGCCGGATCCCCCAAAGACTACCAAAACCTCTGTGCCCGACTCTGTCGTTCAGCATCAACCTACCGTCGAGAAGCTGACGCCGGCGGCGCTCCTCAAGGCCATCAGAGCAGAGGTCGCAGCCCTGTTTGGCGACTACGGATTGGGGGCCCTCGAAGGCCACCTATCAGGTAAGGCGATGGCTGCGTCCATCCGTCGTGCGGCCTTGCTGACGCGCCCTTGCCCTCAGTCAAATATCTGTCCTTGGCCACCTCAACCTTTATCCTCCGATGCGCCAGGGCACATTATCAGATGCTCTGGGCAGCCCTCTTCCTCATGGATCGCGTCCCCGCTAAGGGCGGGCGACCTTGCATCTTCCGCGTCGTCCGCGTCAGCGGCACCATGCGCAAGGCCGAGGAAGAAGCCATTCGCCAGGCCAGGGGGCTCATTCTGGCTGCCAAGCAAGAAGCTTCGTCGGCCCCGGCTCACCCGACCGCTGCCGACCAAGACGTGAGGGGTTCCTTCGCGCTCGACACCACCGACAGTGCCAGCGACGATGCCGCCATGGACCAAGATGACGGCTGAAATGGGGGTATCACTTTTTCCTCGTCACCTTGACTCCGCTATCTGCTGGTATCGACATGTTCCCAAAGTCCGGGTCCATCTCCATATCCCCATCCTCCGCTGCACTGGGCGCGGCAGGCTGCGACTGCTCAAGCTCCATGGCCTGCTCTCGCGCTACCCTCGCCTGCTCTTCTTCGGCCTCTCGCTCCATCCGATCGTATTCTTCCTTTTGGTCGATCCACCGCTCCTGGATATCGCCCACCTCCAGCATGGACGCCTCGTTCCTCATCGCGACGGCCCATACGGTATCGTTGGCACCCTCGGCGCCCCCAAAGACGTACCCGCCAGCGCGGTCAATGACCCGCAGCAGATGCAACATGCTCTTCTTGTTCTCGACGGCCAGAACCTCGTATCGCACCAGGCCATAGCTCTCAATCATGTTGGCAACGGCTTCGTTGAGTCTACCAAACTTCTCGCTGCGCAATGCCGGGGACTCTGCCTCGAGGTACGGCGTCATGTACGTCAGGTCGTCGACGTCGGTATAGTACTCGAGGTTAAAGGGCAACTCGTCGTACGACGAAACCTTGTCGATCTTGGATAGCACGTTGACATGTGGCATGTCCATCTGGATCATGGCTCGGAGGGACAAGAGGACATTTGAGATGTATAGAGAGGGTTGTGTGACGCAGATGGAGTCGGAGAGGTGCACGCAGACCAACTGCTCATTGTCAGCCGGTATGGTCAGCGATGCGCCCGCGGTGGGAAATGCTCACCCTGAAGCCCAGTTTCTGGAGCTTGTAAAAGATGTTTCTGAGCGAATTGTGATGAGTGTAGAGCTCAACCTGGCCCGGGCAGTCGAACAGAACATATTCGTTCTCAAACTCTGCCAAGCCTTGCTGCAGCCACTCAAAGTTGTGCTCGAGCTCCTCCAAGGCATATAGGATGCCGCCGTTGGGCCCGAGTCTGTCGTCTAGCATAATATCTTCCAACTTGACGAGGTTCCGGATGTCGAGCGCCGCCGGATAGTTGGTGTGGTCGTTGGCCGGATCGAGGTTCACGACGGAGCACGCGCGGCCGATGGCGCCCATGAACTGGTGCACTGCAGAGCGTCCAGCTGTCAGTCTTGGTCCTTGCATGCGGGCCGGCTGCGGTCGACACTCACTGCCATCGCAGTACGTGCTCTTCCCAGAGCCAGGACTGCCTAGAACCAGCTGCGCGAAGGGCATCTGAGCAGAGAGTCGGACAATGTCTGTCCCTCAAGAGCGCATGATTCTGTGTCGAGCTGGCGAGTCTCGCCTTTCGAGCGATGTCGGATAATCTCCAGTCGGGTCGGGTAAATCTCGGAAATAGTGGGGCCGCAAAGGGAGCTCCCCGGAGCTGTCAACAACCGCAACCCACGACTGTGCAAACCTTGATCATTTCCCACCCCCTCGCCCATTTTTTCGTGCTCCCTTTTCTCGCTACACCACCGGCCGTCTCGCGCCGCCACACATGATGCTGGCCCCGCGTGTGCGTTGGAATCCGCAGCCATGGCGTCTGACTTGTCAAATGCCGCGCACGCCCTCGACAGCGTCTCCAGGAGCCTCACGCAGGCCGTGGAGTCGTCGGCCAGGCCACCGTCCGCTCCCTTGAGCACGGCCGGCAGCACAGTGGCAGCCCGGGACGCCTCCGGCTGGGTCGGACTCTTTGCCTGGCTGCTATTGGCCATCATCAACCTCGTCTCGACTCTCTTGTACTGGATCATCCGCATTGCCACCATCAATGTGCCGCGCATCCTCTACACACTCTTCTCCACCAGCTGGACGGTGACCATGAATGCCACGACGCTGTATGTACGCTTGCCCTCCGGCGTGCAACGTTCTAGGCTCACACGCTTCTTAGCATGCTCATCATAGTGGCCGTCGTGTCGGCGGTCAGCTGGGTCGTGAGGTATCGCATCCTCAACATGTACTCGAGGCTTCCTCCTGAGCCTCAGCGCAAGGAGCCCGAGATCGACCTCTTCCCAGACTCGCATGACGAGGGTGCAAAGCTGGGCCTCTCCAGCTACCTCGACGAGTTCTTGAGTGCCATCAAGATCTTTGGCTATCTTGAGCGGTCCGTTTTCCATGAGCTCACGCGCAGCATGCAGACGAGGAAACTCATTGCCGGCGAAACCATCAACCTCGAGGAAGAAAAGGGCTTTTGCATCGTCGTCGATGGCCTGGTTGAAATCTTTGTCAAGCCTGGCCTCGACCCCCGGGCTACCGCGCGATCTCGGCATCATGGCTATGAATCCTCGGGCGACGAGGACCTGGCTCCTGGCCAACAAAGATATCAGCTTCTGACCGAGGTTCGCAATGGTGCACCGATGTCGTCGTTGTTCTCCATCATGTCGCTCTTTACGGAAGATGTCAAGCTGCGACATAATGAGGACGAGTCGCCACGCATTCCACCCTCGGCCAAGAGCGATGACCAGCGGCACGCCTCGTTCAGAGAAGGCGATTCACGAGAGGCGTCCAACGTTCCTATGTCGATGCCAAACACCCCCCAGTTCGATGGAAGCTCGATTCACCCAGCCACCAGGCCCGAGCACGGGCCGCGTGCAAGTGTCGGCAGGGCCACTTCTAGGATTCCTCCCATGTCCCTAGACGCATCGGGCGTCCTGTCCGCACGCTCGGCGCTTCGGCCTGGGCTACCGCATCGGCAAACATCAAGCTCCGCTCACCCGGACATCATCGCCCGAGCTACCGTTGATACGACCATTGCCATCATACCAGCCAGTGCATTCCGCCGTCTCATCAGGGTATATCCCAAGGCCACATCGCATATCGTGCACGTCATTCTCTCCCGGTTCCAGAGAGTGACCCTGTCGCATGCCTTCAACTATCTCGGCCTCACCACCGAGGTGCTGCAGACCGAGAAAAGCATGGTCAAGTACACGGTCTGCCAGCTCCCAAACATGTTGCGAGGCGACGCCTTGACACGGCTCAAGGAGAAATTCAACCGTGAGCGCGAAAAGATTGGCAAAGACGAGGAGACTAAGGGTATCGCCCTGCACAATGCAGCGGCTAATCGTCGCCGCCGATCCAGCAGCTCCACCCTTCGCAAGGAGGCCATGCTACTTTCCATGTCCAACCAGCGGACTCCCTCGATTCTTGCTGGCACGTCTTTTCCACTGCGAGAGCGTTCGTTGCCGCATGATTACCAGTCCAACCCAGGCGACCTGCTGGCCCAAACCCAGCATGCCCGCACCGCAGGCCGCACACCAAGCATTGGACCGTTTACGGGTTCGATATCAGTTCCATCGAGCGATCTGTTGAGTCCCCTGGACTCGAGATCTTTCAACCCTTTCGATTCTCAAAAACACGCACGGATATCCATAGATCCGCGCGAGTCTGCCGATGAGGACAATCTCTTCAGAGCTTCGATTCTGGAATGCATGTTCAAGTCTCTGGGTTTGGACGGCGGGGGCACTGCTTCCGGAGAGCCGGAGTCAATTGAAGGGTCGCCTCGACTTGGTTCGGTCGATCCGAGACGATCTAAAGCGCACTACACAAACAATGCCTTTGGCTTCATGGGTCCCTTTGACAGTTCGGGCGACGCGGACTCGGAGTCTGTAACTTCTAGCGCCGTCGCGGTCCACACACCTCCAAGCGCCCAGGCCCTGTCTCACGAGATGAGGGATGAAGTCGAGATTGTCTTCTTTCCCAAGGGCTCGGTCCTTGTCGAGCAAGGAGAGAGGAATCCCGGCTTATACTACGTGGTGGATGGGTTCCTGGACATTGGGACGAGCAACAATCAAAGCTCGCAGGATATATTCCAGACGTCTGGCTCGGGGCACGTCAAGGCAGACCCTTCCATGTTCAGGCCTGGCAAGTCGGACCACTACGAAGCCGAGACTCGGGCTCCGGAAGGCGAGGCGCAAGCCAGCGCTCGCCGGAGCATCGCACTGGTCAAGCCGGGTGGCCTGGCTGGGTACATCGGCAGCATATCCTCCTACAGGTCCTTCATTGACGTCGTGGCCAAGACCGACGTCTACGTCGGGTTCCTACCACGAGCCTGTCTGGAAAGAATTGTCGACAAATATCCAATCGTGCTGCTCACAATGGCCAAGAGGTTGACGAACATTCTGCCACGTCTCATCCTCCACATCGACTTTGCCCTGGAATGGGTTCAAGTCAATGCAGGCCAAGTTCTCTTCCATGACGGCGATGAAAGCGACGCCATTTACATCGTCCTGAACGGCCGTCTGCGGTTGGTGGAAGACAAAAAGGACGGCGGGATGACGGCCCTCGCAGAGTATGGCCAGGGCCAGAGCGTTGGCGAGCTCGAGGTGCTCACAGAGACCGCTCGCTCAGGGACTTTGCATGCTATCCGCGACACCGAACTGGTCAAGTTTCCACGGACCCTGTTCAACAGCCTGGCTAAGGAGCACCCCAACATCACCATCAAAATCTCCAAGATCATAGCCTCTCGCATGAGGGCCGCGGTCGATGAGCCATCCAGGAACAGCGGGAAACAAGCAGGCTCGGGAGCCATTCATAGCTCGAGGAAGTCGACAATGAATCTCCGGACGGTGGCCATTCTGCCAGTCACCGCTGGCGTCCCCGTCGTCGAGTTTGGCAACCGCCTTATGAATGCGCTTGCCCAGGTCGGCCCTCCCAATGGTGCCACGTCGTTGAATCAAGCCGCCGTTCTCAATCACTTGGGCAAGCATGCTTTCAACAAAATGGGCAAGCTGAGGCTGGCCCAATATTTGGCCGACCTGGAGGAGAAATACGGACTCGTTGTCTACGTGGCCGGTAAGCCATTTCCTGTGTCTTCGTCTTGCTCTCCCTGTCTACCTGATGAGAATTTTTTACCCATAGGTCATGTCCTGTGTTGGCTTTATTAACTCTAATTTTTTCCTGATTGACGTCTCGATGTTTTACGAAAGCTGATCCCTTGTTATTCTTGGTCTTGTGCTAACATGGACGCCTTCGGCTAAGATACCAACGTCAATTCGTTATGGACGCAGACGTGCATCACGCAAGCCGATAGTATTCTACTCGTGGGCCTGGCAGAGGGGTCGCCAGCCATTGGAGAATACGAACGGTTCATGCTTGGGATGAAGTCGACGGCTCGTAAAATGCTGGTTCTCCTACACAGCGAACAATTCTCAAGGCCAGGCTTGACCAGATCTTGGCTGCGGAACCGCATGTGGATCAACGGAGGCCACTATCACATTCAGATGGCTTTTAGGAATAACGCCATCCCCGTCCATACTCCTTACAAGAAGCTGGGGCAGGCTCTGAAGGAACGCGTTCAGGTACTGCAAGCTGAGTTTCAGAAGTACACGTCCAGAAAGGTCCTCCACACGGCGTACTATTCGGCCGAGAGCCCTTATAAAGGCGACTTTCATCGCTTAGCTCGCAGGCTATGCGGCAAATCAATCGGCCTCGTCCTCGGCGGAGGTGGAGCCCGGGGCATCAGCCAGATCGGCATCATTAGAGCAATGGAAGAGGCAGGCATCCCAATTGACCTGGTAGGAGGCACGTCCATGGGGTCCTTTGTCGGTGCGCTGTACGCACGGCACGCTGATGTGGTACCCATGTTCGGCTTCGCCAAGAAGTTTGCGGGTCGCATGGCAAGTCTCTGGCGATTTGCCTTGGACCTGACCTACCCATCGGCGTCGTACACTACGGGGCACGAGTTCAATCGAGGCATCTTCAAGACATTTGGCAACATGCAGATTGAGGACTTCTGGCTCGAGTTTTACTGCAACACGACAAACATCAGTAAAAGTCGAGCTGAATTCCACACGAGCGGATACGCCTGGAGATATATCCGCGCATCAATGTCGCTTGCCGGGCTGCTGCCGCCGCTGTGCGATGAGGGCAGCATGCTTCTAGACGGAGGCTACATCGACAACCTGACAGTGTCGCACATGAAGGGGCTCGGAGTCAACACCATCTTCGCGATTGACGTTGGCGCACTGGACGATGATGCGCCACAAACGTACGGCGACTCACTCTCGGGAATGTGGGCCTTTTTCAACCGGTGGAACCCCCTCTCTTCGCATCCGAATCCGCCGACGCTGGCGGAGATCCAAGGCCGCCTTGCATACGTGTCAAGCGTGGATGCGCTGGAGCGGGCCAAGACGATGCCCGGATGCATCTACATGCGACCACCGGTTGACGAGTACGGGACGCTCGACTTTTACAAGTTTGACGAGCTGTACCAGATGGGATACAGGTACGGGAAAGACTTTTTGCAGGGGCTGCGGGAGAAGGGCGCTCTGACCATGACGGAGGAGACGGAGGCCAAGGAGGCGATGAGACGAACCACGGCGCCCCGACGAGCCAGTATATGACTAGAAAACCCAATAGACTCATGGCACGGGATAAGAGCAATCTAAAGGGTCTGGTAAACGAGTGACAAATTCAGTGATTTGACCTCCCACTTATTTGACAACTTTATGAGCGATGGGAATGTGTCGGTAGCAAGTCGTAAGGGCAGTTGAAAAGCAGAACGTCTGACGTAACAAGGCTATTTGAAATCTGGCATTTCCCATCATTCGCCATCCAAGAGGTGCGCCGCCTTTTCATGCATGGACGCACGCGGTCTAGGCCATTCACGAGCTCAACCCGCTCGTTCTGGACTGCCTCGCACGCCCTGTTCAGACAAAGCTACCAAGGGAAGAAGGAACTCTGAGGAGGCGCCGACCCATCCATGACCAGCCAAAGCCTCCACAACCTTGGGTATACATCTCTTTCCTCTGCTCTGCGCCCCGCGGCTCCTCCTCCTCCTGTCTCGCCGTCGTCTTCGGAACCTCGTCTCGCGGTGCGCGGGCTTATTTATTCCTCGCCGGCCTTGATGATCTTCTCGGCGCCCTCGACGAGCAGGCCAAACAGCTTGTCGACGTGCTCGTCACGCACGGCGGCGACGCTGGTGGACACGCGGATGGCAAACTTTGCGCCGATGACGGTGCTGGTCAGGTAAAAGGCGCCGCCGGCGTTGATGGCGTCGTAGAGCTGCTCGGTGCGGGCGTTGACGGTGGCCTCGTCGCGGGCGCGCACGCGCAGGGTGACGAGGGCGAAGCGGGCCGGGGTGAAGATGGAGAAGAGGTCCGGGCGGGAGCGCAGCTTGGCCTCGAGCGACTCGGCGAGGACGACGCCGCGGCGGACGTGGGCCTGGAGGCCGCTGACGCCGTAGGCGCGCAGGACGAACCACAGCTTGAGGGAGCGGAAGCGGCGGCCGAGGGGGATCTGCCAGTCGCGGTAGTCGGTGACGAGGCCGTCGTCGGACATTTGGTTGCGCAGGTAGGGGGGCTTGATGCTCAGCGAGGAGACGAGGTCGGCGCGGCTGCGGACCCAGAGGGCGGAGCAGTCAAAGGTGGTGAGGAGCCACTTGTGCGGGTTGAAGTTGAAGGAGTGGAAGTGGGCGACGGGGGCGGCGAGCGGCTTGTTCTCGTCGAGGACGAGGGCGGAGCCGGCGTAGGCGGCGTCGACGTGGACCCAGACGTCGGCGGGGGTGCCGACACGGGGCGCGAGGGCGTCGATGATGCCGGGGAAGTCGTCGACGGCGCAGACGTCGGTGGTGCCGAGCGTGGCCGTCAGGTAAAAGGGCTCGAGGCCGCGGGCGGCGAGGTCGTCGAGGGTGCGGGCCAGGTCCGGGCCCTGCATGGCGAAGCCGTGGTCCTCGTCGACGGGGACGGTGGCGAAGCGGACGCCGAGGACCTGGGCGGCCTTCTTGGTGCTCGAGTGGGCGCCGGCGCTGCCGAGGGCGACGAGGCGGCCACGCAGGCGGCACGTCTCGTCCTCCTTCTCGTCGGCGCCGTCGGGCAGATGGGCCGTCTTGGCGGCGAGGAACCTGTCGCGGGCGGCCACCATGACGGTCAGGAGGGCCTCGCTCGCGGAGCCGTGGATGACGCCGCCGCCGAGCGAGGGGGCGCGGGTGAGGAAGCAGGGGGGCAGGGCGACCATCTCGGCGAGCCAGTCCATGACGACGGCCTCGAGCTCGGTGACGGCGGGGCTGCAGATCCAGTTGAAGTGGGCGCCGTTGAAGGCGTTGGACCACATCTCGGCAATGGCGGCCGGGTAGCTGCTGGTGCAGGCGAAAAAGGCCATGAAGCCCGGGCTGGACCAGTGGGTGATGCCGGGCATGATCTTGGCGTGCACGTCGGCGGCGATGGCCTCAAAGGGCTCCGGGTCGAGGGGCGCCGAGGCGGGCAGCAGCGGGCGGAGGTAGCCCGGCTCGACGTCGGCGAGGACGCGGCGCGAGGGGACGGACTCATGGTAGTCGGCGACTCGGGGGCGGGTCAGCCTGGAGCCGGGGTGGTGGTGGTGTTGGTGAAGACGCATGGGTGCGGGGAAGAAGGGGGCTCCTCGGGGGTGCGAGCCACGATGGTTCAAAGGCCGAGAGAAGGCACGGGCCGGAGAGGGAACAAGGAGGAGGAAGAGGAGGAGGAGGAGGAGGAGGAGGAGGAGAGCTCGCTACTCACTTTGGTCAATGGCCGCCTTGGCCGCCTTGCGGAACTCGTCGACATCCATGACCGTGTTTGCGTTGTCTCTCACTCACGCTCTGTCTCTCGCTCTCTCTCTCTCCCACGCTGTGTGTTTCTCTCTCTCGCGCCCGACAAACAAAGCGGCCAGCCAAGGAAAGATGAAATAAAACCAGGGCCGTGCTTCCCCCGGAGATGCAAAAGATGGGGTAATTATAACTACTACAAACCAGGCCTGTCGTCGGTCGCATTTTTATACGCCCGTGGCCGAGGCTGCCCGTCCCGGGGGCCGCTTGCCTCTCTCCGGTAATTCCGCGCCGAGTCTGAGGCGGATCAGGCGGGATGGCCGAAACCGAGCCGAGCCGATGGAGCTACTGTAACCCCCCCCGCGCGTGCTGGCAGATGGCCCCCCCTATCACGCCCTACATGTCTCTGTCGTGTCTCTGCCATGTCTCTCTGTCATGTCTTGCGGCGCCCTGTCGCTGCAATCTTCACTTTTGGCGCGCGCCCTTCGGGTCTCGGAACCGTCAAGTCTTGATTCAAATGGCCCGTAGGTGATCGTCCTCGCTCACACGATTGAAGCCGGCGGCTACGACGCCTTCACAGTAGATGCCCACAAACTCCAAATCGACAACAACAACAAGGTCATCATCATCATGTCAAGGCTCCCTAATCGACCTTGATGGCCCTGGAAAGCAAAGCAGTTAGCCGCGACCCTTCGTCTCCCGAGACAAGGCAAGACTCACCCGTATATGCGCCGCACAAAGGCGTAGGCGCTCAGGAAGCCCACGGTGCCCGTCAGCAGCCCGTACACGCAGCAGGCCATGAAGCTGTAGGTGAAGAACAGCATGCTGCTCACGAAGCCGCTGATGTGCAGCTTGAACAGGTAGTACCACACGCAGTAGCCAAACACCCACACGGCGCTGCCGCCGCCGACGAGAAACGACTGCCACCACCAGTGGTAGTTCTCGGCGCAGAGCTGCACGTAGACCGTCACCACCGTCACCTCGGCAACCGTCACCATCAGGATGGCCAGCACCACCGCCAGGAACCCAAACATGTAGTAGTAGCCGCTCTTGTCCTGCCACACCGACTGGAACACAAACAGCAGCTCGATGAAGATGACGGCAAACGGTATCAGCCCCGCCAGCAGCACCGACTGCAGCGACTGCGTGTACCACGCCTGCCGAGGCACCTGCCGCGCAATCGCCGCCGTCCGAGTCGGGTGCTCCCACGCTCCGGCCCGGAGGAAGCCGTAGAACGACCCGGCCAGCACCAGCGGCACCTGCACGCACAGCCACAGCAGCGCCATGGCCATCAGTGTCCCAAACGGAATCGCCGTGCTCGACGCCTGTGCCCACACAAACAGGTTGAGCATGAAGACGAGCCCAAACGTCAGGCCCGGGAACAGCAGCGCCGTCACCAGCGCGTTGCCCCGGTAGTTGACGCCGTCGAAGCTCTTGAAGACGCGCGCCGAAAAGTAGCCCGAGAAGAGGCCGGCAAAGATGAACAGCCCCACGCCCACGCTGATGAAGCCGCCCCGGAAGCTCGGGTTCAGCACCCCCAGCGCGCTCAGCAGCACCAGCCCCACGGCCATGAAGAGCAGCTGCATTCCCGAGCCCACCATGGGCGCCAGGAGGCTGCCCGCCCGGGGTTTGCGAAACACGTCGGCGTGCAGCAGCTTCCACCCCGTCACGTCTTCGAGCGCCTCGTCGTCGCCGGATACATCGCCCTCGTCATCGCCATCCGTCCCCTGGTCCAGCAGTCCGGGCACCTTGTCCTTGGACGCGCGCCCCTCGGGACGCAGCCTCCTCTTCCTCGTCTTGCCGTCCTCTGCCGCCGCCTCCCTGTAGCCCTTGATGTCTGTGCGAATCGTCTTGGCCAGGATGATCATGACGATGCCCGTCAGCAGGCCGCAGATGATGAGCGAGTTGACCATGGCCAGCCAGTGGATGCGCGATCCCTCCTCTTGGTTCACAAAGTATAGGTCCCAGCGATGCGCCCACTCGATGCTTTCGTCCTCGCGAAAGTAGACCGAGTAAGTGTAGGGAACAGGGAGCGAGCCGCCAGCGCTGTCATCGTCGTCATCCGCCTCCTCCTCCAAGGTCGAAGTGCGAGAGTCGGGGCGTTTGGCGACATGATCCGTCTTGTTGAGAGCCAGTTCCAAGCCGCTCTTCACGTGCTGCAGGTCCACGGGACAGCCCGAGTCGTCTCTCCGGTTCTCGTTGCCGACGCTCTTGGGATACACTTCGAATCCAACAATGACTTTTTCGCCCCTTTCGCCAGCGCGACCGGCAGCCTTGCGGTAGCGGATGACGACGGTGTGGTGATTGTGCAGGAAGTAGCGCAGCTTGCCCGTGGCCGGCACCATTTCCGTGTAGCCCAGTTTGAACCCAGCCGCGTAGTACTTGCTCGTCTTATCCGTCGTCACAAAGCTCGTGGCCCCGGGGAGATTGTCGACAATCCATTCCGTCACGTATCCGTCGCGCACCATTTCCCTCGCCCGCCTGACATCGCTGCGTGACAAGTTCTTGGTGCAGAGCGGCGTGCAGGCCTTGTCTTTGCCCATGTCGAGGGTCAAGTCGGAAGTCACGATGCGGTCGCCGCGCAGGACCTCGCCGAGGTTCAGGGGTATGCTCTGCCCGCTGAGCAGGCCGCCGGATGCCTTGTGCTGCCCGGTGGGGGGGCAGACGAAGGGGAGATCGTAGTAGGCATACTGCAACTGGGTGTTGTCCGAGTAGACCTTGTTCACCAGCAGAGGCACCCGGTCGCCTTGCTTGTAGCTCTTGATGGACCAGCCTGCAGCCAAAGGGTTAGCGAGGCGCGACGAATCAGCGGAGCGGCAACCATACCCGGGATGTAAAAGGCTCCGGCGGGACACAGCAGCGAGAGGGACAGCAAGCCGCCCAGCCCGACCCCTAAAGTCTGAACCATGGCGACCGCCTCTGTGCCGTCTGTGCTCTCCTAAGCCGGCGCGAGTCGTGGACGGCCGGAGAGAAAGACGCGTGTGGCACCTCGGGGGGGTGAAACAGCCCTTTGGCGGGCAGTCGCGCGAGACGTCGGACAGATCCTTGGGAGTATTCGCGACGCAGTGTCGGATGTTCGTCCGGGCGCCCAGGCAGTGAGACAAGGCCTTCGTTATCGATGAGGAAAAGACGCCGACTATGATGGATGAATGAGCGGAATCGGCATCGAGCACCTTGGTGATTGCCAACAAGGCGACGCCCAAAGTCACTTGGCGTGGGGGAGCGTCGTGGTATCACAGGGGCGGAACGGGAGAGGAAAGAAGAAAAAGGGTGACGGTATGGATAAGATTGTTTTGGGCGCGATTGGGTCGACGTCGCGATGGTTGGCAAGGGATGGAAAAGGGGTCCCTGCGAGTGACAAGCGAGCTCTTACATACCTGGAAAGACGGCGCCATCAGCCAGCCCAACGAGGGTCCGGAGAAGCTGTCTCCAGTGAGCGCCCGAGATTCTGCCGGAACGCCCACCCTGCTTCCCCACACACAGATGCACAGTGATCGTGATCGACCGACGGAAGCATATCCGCTTCACTTCTAATCCATGATGCTGCAGCCACCGGCGCCGTCCATCAGACTCTGCTACGTCACAGCGCGCCTTATCCGCTACACCAAGAGAACCGGGCGGGAAACGGATCCGGACAAAAGGGCACGGCATCCAACTTGTTGAAACGTGTATTCATGAGAGCAACGCCGTCTTGCGCGCGCTCGTCGTCTTGCGCGCGCTCATTCACGGGCATGATCCGTCCTTTCACTCGTCATCGTCGTATCGTCGTCCTCGTGCCCATGTCACGCATGCCCGCAGTCGATGTGAATCCGAACAACTCCTCGCTCAAAACAAGTCCAGTTCCGTCGCGCCACTTTTCTCAACCAAATACATGCTAGCTTGGAGCAACATCGCAAGACAAGCCAGTCATATAAAGAACCACTCATCAAGTCTTGCCACAACGCCTGTACATTCTCAATCATGAAAGCGAGCGAGCAACAGGGCAACAGAAGCAACAGGCAAGAAGGAATAGTGCAGAGAAAATGAATCGCTAAATCGCACACATTACAACATTGTTCTCAAACACATTAAACTGGAGTGGTCGTTCTCCTCCTCGCAACAAGGAATGCATGATTGGTTAATGAGGGTAAAGCGCAACAAAAGAATGAAACGTGCAGCCGTTCAAGTTACCGCGATGGCACGGCGGCTAAACTCTTCGTATCCGGGGAGCATGGCGTTGTTTTGCTCGGGCCTGTCTGGGATGCGGAGAAGACGAGGCTGCAAGTGAGCATCAATCTCGGCCTCCTCATCCTCGGCCGTGGCGCTCTCGAAGCTCGGGAGTCCGCCATTGAACTGCGGCTGATGAATCGTCTCGACGCCGATCTGCAGGGGTACCGCCAGCGTAATAGCCGTGTTGCCCGGGCCGACAGACAGGTTGAGGTACAGCGTGTAGGTCCGAGAGATGAGGCAGGAGTGGAAGGTCGGCAGGAAAAGCTTGCGGTTCGTCTTGGGGATGGAGAAGGGAATCTCCAGCAAGGCTGTATGCTGAATGGGACACTTCTTGGAGCCTTTGCTCTTGCCGCCCGCACGACCGCGGCCGTCGCAGTCCGTCTCGGACGCTTCTTCCTCGACACCCAAGCTGGAGTAACCCGAGTCTCTGCGACCAAAAGTGTTGCGCTGCTGCCACGCCATCTTGCCAATCGACTGGGAGAAGAGGACACTGGTGGTTGTGTAGCTCAGGGACGGGTTCGCCGTGTACACGGACCGGCTTCCGAGATTCGGCAGCAAGTCGGTGGGGGCAGCACCGAAAAAGGTGGCCGACGTGAGCTTGCCCGAGACGGACGTGATCTTGGGAGGAGGGTTGTCGACTGAGGATGGCGCAAACTCGAGCGTGACCCTTGCGGTGGCGGTGGACGCGCCGTGTCCGTCGGCCGACAGCATCACTGCGTCGGGCTGGGAGGCCGTGGCCGTCAGTTTGCCCGCCTTTGCCGAGAAGAGGTTCTTGCGAATCGTCTTGGACTTGGACAGGCTGTATCGCTCGTCTCGGAAGGTGATGTCGAGGGGCGCGTCTTCGGGCAGCGCCGGGAGCACCTTGACCATGTGGTAGCCCTCCATGAACTTTGTTGGCGCGTTGGCGGCGCCCGTCTTGCGATAGGCCCTCGCCTTGACCGAGTACTCGATCTGGGCCATCTCCGGGGCCTGATCGTCGGCCTCCCAGAAGCCGACGGTGGGAGGCATGCGCAGATGCTGCTCTCGGACGGCGGGAGAGATGCAGTGATGGGTGCAGGCGCCGAGGGTGAGCTGGTGGGGGACGACAAAGTTGAAGGGAATCATGTACGTCTTGCCTGCCTCAAAGACGTTGGACTCGGGAAGGGCCGATGGCGGAATGGGCATGCGAAGCTTCATGAAGGGACGGAACGAATGCGAAGGGTATTGCTGGACAAAGTCGAGCCGGGTGGCGGCAATGCCAGTGAAGATAATGTCGAAGTCATCGAAAGGCGTGTCCCGCTGGGGACAGACGACGGCACGGCCTGAGATGGTGGCACCGGAGGTGTAGACCTTTGAGTTGAAGTGACGGTCGATGTGAATGTCGATGGTCGGCTTCTGCTGGGCAGCGGGCTTGGATCGAGCTCCTACCCTTGGGATGACGGCTTCTGCGGTGTGCTGAGATACCATTGCCCTGCCTCGTCGCGGCTGAGATGGCCAAATCGGACGTGCGTCTTCTCGGCGGCGGCGTACGCAGCTCGAGGCCCGGGGGGGGAGACTAGGTTCTCGGCGTTGAGGAGTCAAGTTTGAAGGGACGGCTCGAGAGGAGCGTCGGTGCAACTGGTGGCGTCGTCGTCCGAGGAGGAGACAGGCCACCACCCGAGGGGAGGAGACTCTTTCTGGCACGCTTCTCGGGCGGAGAGACGCTCAGGTGACTTTTTGGCTGTGGGAGCTTGAGGCAGACGGAAGAAAGCAAGTAAAGGAGATGCGGTTAGGGATTGACAACTCTGACGCGGTTCAAACGAGGCAGATGCAGAGGCAATGGCAGCTTTGATCCGAGACGTGGGAGGAGAAGATTTCAGTATTAATAATTGTTGGGAGAGACGAGCGAGAAGAAGGGAGGGGGAGCAAGACGAGGGCGGTTGACGACACGGAGGGCAGCGAAGCTCTTAAACCTAATCGGTCACTTGATGCACGCCGTGGTCCATGCAGACAGATAGGTCACCGTGCTGGCCTACTATGCAACCACCTTAGGTACATACAGTATAATAGCGGGCGGCAACGCAAGCAATGGTCTCCACTGAGTGGAGGGGGGGGAGAGAGAGGGGCACCGGGGACCCACGATTCTTTCTAGAGCCACCTCACGATGGATGGATGGTACTCCGTACTAGCTAGTTAGTGGTGGATGAATGAGTGGTGGGAGGGGGAGAGAAAGCCTTTCTTTTTTTCTGGCCTGTCTGGTTCTTTTTTTGGGTTCTGGCTGGTTCAAAGCCGTACCGGTACATGATGGCCAACCCTCCCTCCTCCCGATGGCGAAGGCGGTTTTCATGCATACAGTGCATGCGCTGCCTGGTCATGACGGTGCCAGGCCTTGCTTCTCAGTGGTTAAATAATACAGAACCGCCTTATTAGTACAGAGGTACAGACAGCATTGTAATCGTAGGGTGCGGATAGTCCCATTAGTCGCAGTTTACGGATAGACCCCTCGGTAACCACCCACGGCGTTTCCCTTGGTCGTCGCTCTTCCGCTTGTCGGCGCTGAGGAGACGTCTTGGATGTCTTTGACACCCACGAGGCCACGTCTACAGTTGACAGCTGTACAGCATGATTCGGGAGCCCGTGCGAGCCCGTGCCGGTTGGCTTGCCCTCGAGCAATGCTGATTCTGATGTGCCGGTGCTGGTTGATGCATGCGCGCGGCCACGATCGTACAGTGCCAACAACCGTATCCCGCGAAGCCTCTAGAAAGTCGTGGTGGGGGTTCTCTCTCTCTCTCTCGGGCCAACTCGCTTTTGTGTGGTATTCGACGTCTCCAGCGTCGCAGTTCCCAACCCAACGGCGAGCGTGGCCCTCGCGCACACACCACCGTGCAGGGAGCGATGGCTCTGTGAGGTGAGCCCGAGTTCCCCACGACAAACGCAACCAAAAAACCAGTGTCAGCTGCCAAGCAGCTACTTTGCCCGCAATCTTTGCCTCCCCCCGGCACCATCGCGAGGCATGATGGTGAAAAGGGTCAAGTGTGCGCCTGACACAAGCCGTCACGCCGACGACTAATTTTTCTCGTCGTCTACCCAAGAAACTCCCACTTCTCTCGCCGGTCCGCGACGGCCCATCTCGGCATGGCCCATGGCCTCGACCGTGTAGGACTCGCGCGCGCCCTAGCACGACAGCGGCCCCTCCCTTCTCTTCACCGTTTGTGAGGGCCGCCAAAATACTATTATTAAAGACTCGGCGGCCGAAGGGGCCCTCCGTGACATGATGGCGTGCTCTCTGCCCGCCACCCCGGTGGTCTGGTAAACATTGGTTTCGCGGATACATGGACCTTGTCACAGGGGTGATGTGTGTTTGTGTGTGTGTGTGCGTGAGGGAGAGAGAGAGAGAAGGAGAGAGAGAAAGAGAGAGACAGAGTAATTACGAGGGCGAACAACACGATGCCATTCATTCCCTCGCCGTGGAAACCAAAGCAGCAGCAGCCCCTTGCGCGGACAAGACGTGGCGTTTCAAGGCCCGGAGCAAAGACGAGCTGAGGGAGCGTTGCCGAAGCCTGTCCCGCCAGGTCAGCGGACGCCCGGACGGTCGAGACCGCGGCCTGGAAGCTTGGGAAGTGGGAACATTATGAATCGGAGAGTCTGCTCCCCTTTTTTTCCCTCTCATTCTGCTCGAACCTGTGATGATGCCCCGCCAGGGCCCCATTCTCATCAATGCGTGCTCCAGCAGTCACACAAATGGACCACATGCATGTAGGTGCTGTACGACTCCTACACGCCAACACGCATACAGCCCTGTGCACGTTGGTCGACTCTCCGCGATGCAGCAAGGATGTGTGAGCTGCATTGTGGACATGCGAAACGGCCGTGGCGTGGCAGCCAATGAGGCTCTATTCCACCCCCCACTCCTGCCTAGGGGAGCAGTCTTGCAAAAGAAAAGAGTAACTGACCACCTCATCAACATGTCAGTTTTCGCGGTTTGACCTTGATCAATCATCATATCATGTTGGACAAATGAGGCGATTGTTACAGTACAGAACTGCAGATATAAAGCCGGGATCCACAACGAGACAGGCGTATACATAGGTAAAGTACGTAAGGTAGGTAGGTAGGTATGGTTTACCGTACGATACACCTGCTGCAAAGTCAACGGTGGGCTCATCCATCCTTCCTTCACTGGTGACTCAAGCTTGTAGCCACGTCCGATAACGGCTCCTCCCGGCAAAGGGGGAAAGGTTGCCTCGAGCTACCAGGCATAGCTCCTGCCAATAAACCTCGCCCAGTAACTCTGAATCACCCACACCCGCAAAGGTACCCCGTACCTGGTGCCTCGGCTCCGCTCCGGACCTGATACCTTACACACATGCCGTACCAAGGCAGGTTGCAGGTTGCAAGCTGAGTACCGGTACCCCGAGTCTCTGCGCCCACTCCTCCTGCTCCGACGACCATTGCCGACGAGTCTTTGCTGCTCCAGGCGAGGTGCCGCCACCGGTGGTGCGCACAGTACAGCGCGCGCACAGTGTTTGCTCGCTCGTCAAACATCACCACGGCTCGATGCCGTGCAATGCAGCAGCAGCAGACGCAAGAATGGCGTCAGCAAGTCTTTCTCCCGACTGCTGGACGATGCTTTTCCCTTGCGTCCCAGTGACGCTCCCCCCCCCCCTTCGCTCATCCATCGGCTCTCGCAATCCCTCCATCGCGATTGATGGCTTTATTTGTCCTTTTTTTTTACATCACGATGCTGCCCCTGCTGCACCATGTGCCCGCTCATCTCCGTCTACGGGCTAGCGTCGCCTGGATAGAGGCTGATTGCAGATTCTCACCCCCTCCCGTGTCGGCTCGCGCGGTCGGCCGGATGTGCGGTGTGAACGGTCTCGTTATTACTTCACTCCCTCCCGCGGCTTGCAGGCTTCTCGTCTTTGGAACCGAGTCTTATGCTTTGACCACATCACCCATGGCCTGCGTTGCACGGCGCCGATTCGACCACCGACGGAAAAGACGGTAGGACAAACAATGCCCCTCTTCCACCCGCCGCTTGTTTCCATCCGGATGCTCGGGCCAATCCACTGGCACGCTTCATGTAGAGCCTTGCCGGAGCTAGCCATGGCTTCCCGTTAGCGGCCTCTTTGCCCCCCTCGCGATGCCTTCTCTTCCCCACCCAACGACGCTTTCGAGGGTGGGGGACCATCATTGACACATTTGCCTGTGCGCGCGCGCTTGGAGGCAAAGCAGCAAAGGGGCTCACGGCCAAGGCGGGAGCCATTGGGCTTTGGTGGCTGCCTGGACCGGAACCTCGATTCGTCTTCCATGCACGACGTGCCTGGCGGCTGCTCCAGGGTAGCTTCATTGGCTTCGTCTTACACAACAGAGTTTCCATTGAAAGAGAATACAGCGTGATCGTCACCCTGTCTATTGTCTATAGCCGGCTGTTTTCCGTGGCAAATGCAGACCTGTCAGAGACACGCGCCCGTCTCCATCAACCACCGCAGCGAGCCCATGAGCACAAAGCCCCCGAGACCTCTGCCCTTGCATCGCTGCTTCCTCTTCCCCCTTTAGACCCAAAGCATCGCCATCGACGCCGCGCGCCGTAAACCCACATCTCCTCTCGCGCGCCCGCCCGTTGCATCCCACGCCCTGCTCGCGAGGGCTTCGAAAGCAGCCCCCCAGCCAGGGAGTCCGCATCAGTCGTGCCACGAAATGTACAGCATCACGCCGGCGCCCACGGCCACGGCCGCAAACTGCACCAGCGTCTTGCGCAGCTCCAGCGCCTTGTTGGGGCCCGTCTCCAGCAGCTCCGGGATCACCGCCACGGTGCCCACGTACAGAAACGTGCCCGCCGTGAAGGGCAACAGCATGTCGCCCCAGCTCTGTGTGTCGTCTGTGTCAGCCTTCTTCTCTCCTCTCCGACCGACCACGGCCCTAGAAGAGCCAGGCAGGTCGCGTAGACAGTAGGAAAAAGAGAGAGACCCACCAGACTCGTCCCCCAAATGCCGGCGTTGCGACCCATCTTGGCCTCGCCGTCGCCGCCGCCACCGCCGCCAAGCTCCTGCACCGCGATGCCGATGAGGGTGCCGAGCAGGGCGCCCACGGCCGTGACAAACTGCGACGCCATGGCCGCGCGCTTGGAGAAGCCCGACTGCACCAGCAGCGCAAAGTCGCCCACCTCGTGCGGGATCTCGTGGAAGAAGACGGCCATGGTCGTTGTGGCACCCACCGTCGGCGACGCGTAGAAGCTGGCCGACATGGCCAGCCCGTCGGTGATGTTGTGCGTAAAGTCGGCGCTGCCGGGACGGCGTGGGCCGCAGTCAGTAAGAAGTCGTCAAGTTGAACGTCTTGTCCTCATCCGCTCGCCCCGGGTAGGGAATCCGGGTCTTGCACTGGGTCCCAAGGCCCGAGTCTGTGAGGGAAAGAGAGAAGGCACGTACATGAGGTTGAGGTAGCCGCCCAGCTTCACGCTCGGGTTCACCGCCTCCCTGTCCTCACCCTTGGCGCCGCGGGGCTCGACCGCCTGTCCAGCCTTCTTCTTCCTCGACTTGGCCTGTCCGCTCGCCGTGTCCGCGCCCGTCGCCGCAGCAGCACCCGCTCCCTCCTTCTCCTCTCCCCGCGCATGCGTGTGCGAATGCCCATGGCCGCCGTGATCGTGTCCCGAACCGCCGCCCGTCGCGATCCTCAGCCCCTTGTCCATGGCGACAAAAGTCATGAAGCCGACGAGGATGCCGAGCCCAAGCAGCAGGTTGCGGTTCGGCTCGACGAGCACAAAGCGCGTGCGCTCGTCGTCGTCTTCGCCCAGGAAAATCTCGGGTAGCAGGTGGAAGAGCGTGTCGCCCAGCAGCCCACCCACGGCAAAGGCCACCATGACGCTGAGCGACGACGGGTCGATGTCGGTCGGGCACAGGGCCAGCAAAAAGTTGGGCGGGCCCGAGATGTACAGCGTCGCCAGTAGCGCGTTGACGGCCGGCCGCGAGCTCGGGAAGAGCAGGCCAAAGAGCCGCGCCGTCGGCGACGTGGGCTGCGCCTCGTGGTGCGCCAGCTTGGCCGCGTCGAGCTCTCGGACAATGGGACACGTCTGCCCCAGGCTGTCAGTCAGCCTGCCGCCCAGCGCCCGGCGGCGACTCCCATGCGACGCCACAACAAGGAGAAAAAGAAAGAGAAGCGCACCTGAAGCTGCTCGCCCAGCTCCTCGAGGCTCAGATTCTCCACCATGGCTGCCGTCGTCACGTTCTGCGGCGTCGCCGCGCACGCGACGAGCAGCGACGCTGCCAACAGCAGGAGCGCGACCCGGCTCGCCGGTGCCATTTTTTCTTCGGGGCGGTCGTCGATTAGAGCAAGGCGGAACAATGGCTGCCGCGTGAGAGGATGGGCTGGACGAAGAACGATTATGGAGGAGATGCACGAAAAAAAGGGGACCAAAAGCAAAGGCAGCGAGGAGGCTTGATTACGAGACTGTGTCCTCCCTGCCAGCGCCAAGGCGCAAGCCGAGTTTACTCTCCAGCAACGCTAGCTTTGCACTCCTCAGGAATGATGCAAATGCTGCATGTCTATCAATCGCAAAGCATCCTTTCCAATTGCCTGCCTCAGATTAAGCCAGACACCTCATAATCAACGTCTCCCAAAGGGTACCTTGGGTCTATCTCAGCTTCCCTAATGGCCGCCAAGCAGGGACGTTCACATGGCAGATTACCTCGCACCATCAAGTTTAAACGTCTATTCCATTCATGCCTCGACTTACCGAGCAAATCCAGAAAGCCTTGCCTCGAAATTTACACGATGCCTCCAAGTTAAGATATTTGGCTATCCGGACCAACGCCGGCCATTAAGATAACAATATCACCAGGGTACCGCCAACGGCAGTATCGTGTCAATCTACTCACAGGACAGCAACGGCCAGGACGAGAGCGACAGCGGCAGCGCCCAGCGAGTTCAGCTGGCTACCGCTGGCCCGGGGAACATCTGACGGATTGACGGCGCCACCGGGCTGGTTTCCGGAGCCAGGCTTTAAGCCTCCGGAGGGCTGAGCAGCACCGGCACTGGTGGCATTAACACCGCCGGCGAAGGGAGGGGTAACGTTGCCAGCGGCGGCGCCAGAGCTGGAGCCAGAGCTGGAGCCAGAGCTGGAGCCGGAACTGGAGCCAGAGTAGCCAGAGTGGGAGACAGAGCTAGAGCCCGACTTGGATCCAGATTCAGAACCGGATCCCGAGTTAGAGCCCTCATCAGAGTCAGAGCTGGAGCCCGACGAGGGAACGGCAGTCTTCGAGGCCTTGGAGTGGTCGCTGGACTTGGTCGACGAGGGCGACTTGTGGGCCTTGTCGCACGAGAGATCGTACAATGGCTTACTCTGAAGCTGGCCGCCGACAACGCCGAAGCTGGGGTTGGGCGAGTCGCTGGGGGCGCCGTCCTGGAGAGTGTACCACCAGACGTTCATCTTGCCAAACAGGGAGCAGGCAACCTCGCGATAGTAGGTCTCGGCGTTCTCGATGGAGGCGACGGCCTCACCCGACTTCTTGCCGCTCACGGGCCAGCCCGACTCGGTGACCCAAATTTCCTTGCCGCCAGAAACGTCTTGGATCGTCTTGATGGCCGCGTCGAAGAGAGCCTTGCCCTTCTCGATGGGGTTTGGCTTCTGATACTCGTAGTAGGGGTACTCGTCGGCGCCGATCCAGTCGATGGCCTCGATGACAGGCTTGTTGGCTGCATCAGTGTAGGCGTTCCAGGTGTCGACGTGGCCGACGGGAGCCTTTTCAAGACATGTGCCCTTGACGGCCTCGCGGACTTCACCGATGTAGCCGACGAGGGTCTTGGCATCCAGGCCCGGATCTGCGCCGTTCTTCTTGCCCATGTCCGAGTTACGGTAGAGGTCCTCGCTCCCGACAGCGATGCCGGCCACTATATCATCGAGACCGCTGCGGCAATACTCCTTGGCGGCGTTCCGAAGAGCCTTGATCTCGTTGTTGAAGGTGGCCTTGCCAGCAGAGCACCAGAGACCAAGCAGCAAGCTCGTCTTGGACTCGATGGCAGCGGGAATGGCCTCGATGGGCTTGTCGGTGGTGCCAACTTGCTGTAATGGTGGATAGTTGTCAGCATCGGGTATCAAGGGCCTCGATGAATGAAGCCAGACATACCACCGTGGTGAAGAGACGGGCGCTGGTGTAGCCGCCGTTGGTGCCCTCGAGGCTGGCGGCCACCTTGAATTCGTGGGCAAACTCCTCCTTTGTCTTTCCTCTGCCGCCAACCTTGGCATCGTAGTTGAAGCCCTGGAAGGTGGCGGCGGCCGACGAGGCGGCGGCCACGAGGGTGAGGAGGTGGGCCGAGGAGGGCATGACGGGCGAGGAGGATCAACGATTAGGCAACGATTAGGCAATATAGCGAGAGTGCAAGCGAATGAAGCGGTCTCTAAAGACTCGAAAGGGCGGGTAGAGTGACCCGGCAGAGAAAGGTCGACTCGAGCAAGGAGCGGGCGATGTAAGTGAGTGTATACAGGTGAGGTGAGCAAGGCGGCGAAAAATAAAATAAATTAAAGAAAGAGGATGCCGTAGGGCTTGGAGGAGAGGAGGATGGGGGAGGATGAGAAGGAGGGAGCGGAGAAGGAAATGAATAGCAGAAGGCAGGATGGGGTGTTATTATTGGCGCTCTTGAATGTAGTATCCGCGAATGCCTGCGTCTACTCCGTAGGTACTGTAGGCTGTGTTTGTTTTTCTCGCGGTACGAATTACAGGCTGCTGCAGCGCCAGGGTACAGTACGTGTGTACAGTACGTGTGTACAGTATGTACAGAAGGTACTTACTGTATCCGTGCTTGGGTCGACGAATGAGAGAGGAGAGCGAAATGATTCGTCGATGCGTCCATGCAAGCCATCGAGGTCGATGCAGGGGGAGGAAGCACGGGCGGATCTTACAGGATTCTGGCGCCACCGCCCCGCAGACCAGAACCCTGTCGCACTCCGGCCGCCTCTTTCTCTCTCCCCTGTTTTAGCGCGGCTGCTCACGTTTGGCGTTTGGTGTGGGCGCTCGCCCACCGTTTGCCCGGCATCCCCGGGACCATGACGATCGAAAAGGCTCAAGAAACATTTGTTGCAGCAGTCGCGCTGCGGCCGTTGGGCTTCTCTGCTTCTGCCTGTTGTTTGTGGGTGTACCGAGGTGGTAGTATGTATTCCGTACTCCGAGCCTCGTGCCTCTACAACGGCCAGCGCATGCAAGACGCGCATGCAAGACGCGCATGTACTTCTTGTGCTCCGTACCCAGGGCTGATACCGGGCTGTATCGCCGGTACTGCAGAAATTGCACCACACATCCGGAGCAGCCCGTACGTACTGTCCTGTACTGTATCCGTACCCATGCATGTGCGTCTTTGCACGCACGTTGCCGACGACAAAACTCGATTCCTCGTATCGCCCCATAGTCCCAGTTTCCCTCGGCTCCAGGCTCCTCACCCGTGACATGTACAGTAGGTATACGTACATGCAGTAGACAGATTGAAGCCTCGTGGCGGCCGCTGAACCTGTCTGGGTACCGGACCCGGGCCGTTGTGTCTTGAATAGGTACGTACCTAGCCCATGTCGAATATCCGCCCCATCTCACATGCACGCACGAGGCACTGCCGCGGTCCCCGTCGAACCGGGATGAACAACGGCGGCGCGTTATCCTTGAACCCTCCCACTGTTCAAGTGCCAGCCGGCCTGGGGAGATTATCAAACAAAACGCCTACCTGTATCTTTGACGACCAGAGCGCGACAAGTCCATCTACTAATTATTGCATTGCCGTCTGTACTCGTAGGCGGGCCAGGTCTCTCGGATACCTGGTGGGTACCTAAGTACCTAGGTAATCAGCAGGAATGCAAGCTGGGCCAGTACCAAGGTCCCCTACCCCACCCACCCGTCGGGTACTTTTAGGCACCGCGACGCCCACTGTATCCGTAAGTACTCTGTACCAAGGAACTGTATTTCCCCTGACGGCGCGTTTTCCCCCCAGCCCGGCGGAGCTTCCATTTGTTCCGCGCTCATTAGCCTCAGGTACCGACGGACCAGCTTGGCACAGTGCCACTTTTCTTGGCACATCATGACCTACCGGTGTGGTTGCAGCTGGTCAACGGATGGATCATGGGGAGCGAGCACCATCCGTCAATTGGAGCAGCCAACTGCGAATACACACTGTACAGTACATCCGTGCCCGCCTCTGGAAGACACTGTATGTGAACCCACACAGCCTCCCATCCACACTGCATCACAGAACTCGAGCAAAAAAGGTACAGTGCAGTGCTTCCTGAGATATCTTCAACATCGTCATCTTCTCGGCAAAACCACTTGATCATCATTGTGGAGTATCAACATGCCACGCTCTGCTGTTACGGTAATGCAATGTGCGCGTTCCCTTTCGTTGCTCCACGCAATCTTTCACGCACCATGCGCTCGATCCACCTTTGCCACCCCGTTGCGCAGGCATCCACCCTCATGATGCATTCCACGGCTGCTCACCACACTCTCACTCCCTACTATAATCGCCTACCTAGTATCAATGTACCTACAAATACATACGGTAGGTAGGTAGGTAGTTAGTTACATTACGTACCTTATTTACTCAGTCCCGCTCTCGGGTGCGGCCCCATGATTAGGTACAGCACACCAGAATACTGTGTAAATGCGGCTATAAATAGACCACATTCTTGGTCTGAACAAACAAACAAGCAGCAAATCAAATCCCTCGTCAGAGCCAGCTTCTAGCCGGGCCTCCTCGGCCCATACCGAGACACAAAGATGAACCAGAAACCATTGCCGTCGTAATTTCTCTCCCCACGGTTGACTAACTTCAGTCACTTAAGAATGTGTACCCAGCATGATGCGCCCATTCCCCCTCCCCCCCCAACATCCTTCCTCCCTTATCACCAAGCTCTTTGTATCAACAGCCCGGCATCATATATTGTTCCTTCGCTGCCGCACACGGGCATGTGTGTACCTCCAAATGCGGATCTTAAAGGGGTCCAGCACCGGCATCACCACATGTCGTGGCGAGTCTTTATTTCATGCATTTTGGACAACACATCGCAGGCCGCATAATCCACTAAAGTAGAATCCGTAAATCTCGTCAAGTCGTGCAGTCCATGTCTGCATTCATTCGTCAATGTTCGCAGCCAGACGCGCTATCCATATTTCATCTGCCGAATGCATCGTCATGCGAAGCCTGGCTGGCCTGTGAACAAGAGGTCCAACATCGAACCGCCTTCCCTCGCTTCAATCACACAAATCCCCTGATGCCCCTCAGGCCCGACGACTTCTTTTCCTTCTTTGGCTTGCTCGAGTTAACATTTGCTTCCTCCCTGCCGCCCTTGTCCCGGCCGTCCTTTCGAGCCCGGCTCGGAAACCCACCTGTCAATCAGTCTGTCAGCCATCTGGCCCTGCCTGCAATCCTGTCCTTCGACTTGACTTACTGCCAAAGTGTCGAGCGTCACCGGTGCCGAGGGGCACTGGGCCCGCACCGAATCCCTCTGGAGCGCTCCCCCGTCGCTCAAGCTCTGCCGAAGTAGGTGTGCCCGGGTGCGATGCCAACGGCGGCGTCACGTTGTATGCCGTGCCTTCGGCGTCGGATACGGACAGGTGCGACCGGGCCATCACCACCGCCGGACTGGCGGGAGACATGGACCAGCAGTCGCCGCTCGGCGCCTGCGGTTCCTGCGCCCCGGCGGATTCCGCCAACGTCTCCGATTGCATGTCCAGCAGTGATGACTGCAGGGCCGTATACTTGCGCATGAGCAGGTTGTATTGCCTCTGCAACTCGGCCTGCTTGGCTCGGCTTGCCGCAAAGGCGCTCTCAATCACCAGATTCGAGTTGGACCCCGGCCGTTCCTTTTCCTCCTGGGTGTCTGCGAGCTGTGCTTGGAGCTCTCTCACCTGGGCTTGCAGCAGACTTCTTGTTCGCTCGGCGTCGTGTTCCTGCGCCGCCAGTCCTTTCTTCATCATTTCCACCTGCGCCTCGGCCGCCTGTGCTGAGCTCAGTGCCGCCTTCCACTCCATATCCCGCACCTGATGGTCGTGCTCCGATTTGGTCAGCTCTTGGACTTGGGCCCTCAGCCGGGCCATCTCTGCCCCCTGTATCTCGATTGACTGCATGCTCTGCTTCCAGTTGAGCTCCTTGACCTCGGCTTCGCAGACAAGCTTGCGCAGCTTTTCGCACTCTTGCTTGGACTCCTCCAGCTCTCGCCCGAGGGCGCCTAGCTCAGCAGAGGCCTTCTTCGATTCGTCCCGCAGGTGCTTGAGCTTGCTGGCCAGATCCGATTCCCACTTCTTGGCCAAGGCCCGGCCCTTCTCCGACTCTTTTCGAACCTGCCTCTCGGCCTTTTTGGCTTCCTCGAAGCGGCTCTTGAGGTTGCGATTCATCATGACCAGATTCTGCGTCTCGGCCTCCGTGGCGGCCTCCACCACCTGCCGGCGCCGCAGCTCGCCTATGTGGGCCATGTGCTGTTGCTTGACATACCTTTCGAAACTCAGGTCATTCTCCAACACGAGAACTCGCCGCTGTAGATGCGCCACTTGAGTGCCCAGCGCCGTCGCGCATAGAAGCGAGCTCGCTGATAGCGGCGGCGCCACGACGGATTGAGCAGCAGCCGCAGGTCTGTCGGCCATAGACTCCTGGTGGCTCAGTGATAGAGACGGGACGCTGTCGTTCGCCAGAGACTGATGCAGACCCGACTTGATGACCTTGTTAGAGTTAATCAAATCTTGCAGCTGAGTCTGGGATAGAGACTGTGTCAACTGTGCTGGAATCGTTGGACTGTCTGTGGCCCGCCCCGACGGCGGACCCTGTTCTCCGCCATGCCTGCCAGAAGGCTGGCTCGAATGAGAGGCGCGACGCCTTGTCAACAGCGGCGTGACATTGCTCGTCTCCGAGTCCGTAGTGAGCTGAGAGTTCCGCCAGCTGTCCCGCTTGCTTGTGGTGTCGGCCGGCAGCGTCGACCTAGACACGTCCTTGACGAGCCTGTCATCGACGGCAGCGACATCAGCGCCAGGTATAGGTGGCAATGCCTCTCGACTGGCGCAGTCGAGATGGTCCGCAGCTCGACAGAGCCCCGTGCAATCGACCAAGACCTCGGCCGCCTCGCTTTTGATCCAGCGGCCGAAATCTGTCTTTTCTGAGTCAATAGTCAATGTGTAAAAGTTGGGGTGCAGCAAATGGCAGCGCCTGAAGCGCTCGGACCGATGCCTAATCTCGGTGGGCTGAACCTCGATCTCGTCGGGGCTAGACATGTTTGCGTGGCGCAAGTAACGCTGCGGCTTGCGGATGTAATCCATGAAGTTGATGGGATACAAGCCGTACAGAATAGTATAGTAGTTGGAAAGTTGCGGTACTGAAAAGTCATCGATTTCGGGGTCGTAGGCGCATACGTCCCAGCCCCGAGATTGTTGATCGGCGTCATCCGAGAGGGCGCCGGCGGCCCTCGACCTTTCTCGATCCCAGAACAGTAAGCGGGCATATATGTTAAAAAGCGTCGGCAGATGCGGGACGAGAGAGCTGGGCATGTGAGGGAGGAGCATGATGAGGACAGTCAGAGCCGAGGAGACGACTGTCGTCGATGTGTCATGCTGAAGACACGCGAGCAGGTTGCTGAAGATGGAGGTGTGCAGGACCTGATGCAGATGGGGAGGCTGGTCCTGAATGAAGTCGCAGAAGAACCTCAGAGTCGCATGGCGAAACGACTTCTTGACGAAGCAACCGTTCATGGACGTGAAGAGCGCCTGGGGGTAGCGTCAGCATTGTGCCAGCTCAATGTCCGTGAGTGGGCACAATACCTTTGGCCTCTTCTTGCCAAAACTTTTCAAAGCCTGCCGGACCAATCTTTCATTGTATTCGTGGCTCGTGTTTCCCTCGGCCAGGGAGGGGTAGAGTCGAGTCATCCATATGGACAAGAGTCGATCGATGATGGGGTTTGTGGCCAAGTCTGGAGACGTGGTGTGGCATGTGTCGGTGACGGTAACCACGTCTACCAGGGCGGCAACGGCTTCGTCTACGACGAGTTTGTCGACGCCCGCGCTGTCCAGAAGACCTTTGTAAGTATCGAACCACGGGAGAATCCGATCGGGAGTCTTCAACGCCGGCAAAAGCCGCCGCAGTACGGCTATCCACGGGCCCAACGCGGCGGCATTGCCTTTGACGTGTTTGTCAAATATAGCCAATAGCTCCTCTTGGAGACGGCCTGAGGCGGCGTCATCGTGCTTTTCATGCCGTTGAAGATAGCCGGCGACGACACCGAGTAAGGGGTCGGGCAGGGGCAGCGCCGGCTGCGAGAGAAAGGCATGGATTGCCTTGGAGAGATCCTTCAAAGATCTAGCGGGTGTCGTCTGTCAGCAGGTTGCCGACAGCTGACGGAGGTTGGAGACGGAACTCACGCGGGAGAAAGCATCATGGGCCCCTTGGCGACTGCATCGGAGCCGTCTTAAAGAGGGGCAAGCCAGGAGATGGACAAGGCCGGCAGGGCTGGCGGGCAAGGCTGTCAACAAGGTGATGCAGAGACGATGGCACGGCTGAAGGTCCAAGCTCGGTGGCAAGTGGAGTTTAGGCGAGGGGAAAACTGACCACTAGACGGCTGATGTTGGGCGATCGGCGTGGGGTGCCCCGAAGTCGGGAGTACGGGCACGAATGCGGTCATGGGCGCGGGAGCGGGCGGTAGCCGGTACAAGCATCCCTGATACCGGGGCCCTGTCGGCTATAAACCCCCGCAATCCAGGCCGACCGCATGACCCCGCGAAAATTCCATTTTTGGTCCGAGTGGCCTCACCGTCATCAGCCAACTCTCCGTCTCCAGATGCCCCTGCAGCAGGTACTGATTGACTGGGTAGATACAGTACATGCAGATGCAATGGAGCGCAGCAGCTTCACGGGAGCTTCATGGGAACAGCTGTTGCCGCAGGCAATGGGCATTTGGGGGCCTTTGACCGACTGGCGTGGGGCCACCTTGGGGATAGCTGCTCTTCCTGTCAATCATGGGTGGGGAGACAGAGGTAGCTGAAAGTCCAAACGGATGGCGGCGCCAGAGATGAGGCTCCAGGTTCAATCTAGAGCTACCTCACTGTACATTGATACCCCGACCCTCCCCCTCCTCCCCCTCCCTCTCCCGTGACTCCATGCCCCTCGCTCCCTCCTCTCTTCCTCCTCTCTTCCTCCTCTCTTCCTCCTCTCTTCCTCCTCTCTTCCTCCTCTCTTCCTCCTCCTCCGCCTCTTCTTTCCTCCGCCAACGTGTCTTCAACCTCCCCCGCCAGTCTTCAGTCTCTCAACACTCGCCACGCAGCCCAATTCCATGCTCCAGTCGCCTCACACGGCCTCAATTGCCCATCCCGAATCCACTCTTAAATCCACCACCCACGCACTCGTCGATTGCTCACTCTTAATCCAACCTCACCCCTGTCGGCAAGATGGCTGCAAACAAGTCTTCCGCCGTTGCGGACCAAGAACCCATTGATGTCCTCTTCGCCCTGCACCCCAAGTTCGACTTGCTCGACTTTGCGGGGCCATTGGAGGTCATCACCACCGCTGCTCACGACTTCAAAGACGATTGTACGCCGTGCCCCGCCCCCCTTGCCTGGTTCTGTGCTCGCAAACACTGCTGACGCCTTGTCCGCCGCCCCTGCAGCCACCAAAGCCTTCGAAGCGACCATTGCGAGCAACGAGCCCAAGGTTCTCAGCTCCCAGGGCGTCGTCATCGGCTCCCAGATCTCTTTCAAGGAGGCCCACGACCGCCTCGAAGACTTTGACGTCCTCGTCGTCGTTGGCGGCAATTACCAAGAGATCATCGACAAGGAAGCAGAGCCGTCCGGCCTCATCAACGACTTTGCCGAGCTCCAGAAAAAGGACCCGGCCCGCGAACGAACCATCTTGTCCATCTGCACCGGCTCGCTCTTCCTCGCCAAGGAGGGCATCCTTTCGGGGCTTTCGGCCACGACTCACCCTGACCACATGACCAAGTTTGAGAATCTCTGCAGCGAGGCCGCGACACGAAACTTGACTGAGCGCACCGACGTCATTGAGGACGCCCGATACGTGGTCAACAACCTCCGCTTCGACCTCGGCGATGAGGACGAGAACCCATACATCCGCCGCAAATCTGACTCTGGACGCCGACCCTCGAATGCCCGGTGAGTCCAGCACAACATTCCGTGACTTGCCAAACGCTAATGCTCGTGAATATCTAGCAAGGGAAGCATGTCGTGGAAGGGCTCCAACTCGCGCCGGGAATCGATCGCTCGCCGGGCGGCCATGCGCCTCGGCGGACTCAGGGTCATCACATCAGGGGGAATCAGCTCCGGCATTGACGCGGCCTTGTATCTCGTCAGCGCCCTGGTGGACGATGAGTGTGCAGTCGAGGTGGCTAGGCTTATGCAATGGAATTGGAGCAAGGGCGTTGTCGTTGACGGTCTCGACGTATAAACAAAGGGATGGCCCCATGCTGGCAAAAGGTGCCGGCGAAAGATTTGTGCAGACGATTTCAGCAGAAACGATCACATCGAGACTTGGAACAAACAATATCAAAAGTCGAGTCCAATGGACCATGGGGTATTAGAAACATGCAAATTCTCAGAAGCTTCCTTTAGTCTATCCGTGAGGCAGATGTTGGGTAGGTAATAATAGCAACAAAGCCAAGGGGGTACTGAGGGAGAGTGGCTGGATAATGTTGACGGTAAGGCATGTCATGCAGAAGTGCCTGTTGTCCTGCGGGAGCACGAGGACCTGATGTGCATGCTTCCCTCTGCACCTTGCGCCGTGCTTGTGCAGATATAGCCCGGGAGAAGAACTGGTTCTGGGCTTCTCTGATGTTGCGAAAGATGGCGCGGGCCGGGTGAGGCTGACGATGTGCGCAATGAGGCGTCATTCCTCCGCACCAACTTGCTCGCAGAGCTCAGGCCATCAGCGACGCGGGGCTGCCTTTTGCCTTTCTCAGTACGTTATAACGATAGGGAAGTGCTCTGCTAGCTGATATGCATGTATCCGTGTGGCCTCTCGTGCACTCCCGCCCCGATAAGGTAAGCCAGTTGTACTTGGTAGGTACTTGGCAGCCCAGAAGCCAGATACTTTGGCTTAGCTAATGAAGATGCTTGCCTGATTGAGTCGCAACGCACGCACTGACCCGCTTGGGGCAGGCGCTGCCGTCACTCCCCTTCGTGGGGCTTCTTGCCTTGGTATCCGCGACGCGACTTTTCCGTCTCTCGTGTTTCTTTTGCACCAACCATCTTCCCTCCCTCATACCACGAAAGTCGCACGCATTTCCGCCATCATTCGTTACCAAACAACTGCACCATTATCAAGGACACATGTCCTTTACCCTGACCTTCTTCAACCCCCTGCATCATACAAACAGCCCTCACGCACCAGCTTCCAACTGCTGCCTACCTTGTCGTCGCTGATGCGTTAGGTCTTTCCGCCTTACCACCGTCTGTCATGTCCGACTGGACCAAACTCAAGGTCACCGAGCTCAAGGCGGAGCTAAAGCGTCGTGGACTCGCCCAGGCTGGCCTCAAGGCTGAGCTGGTCGCGCGCCTTGATGCCGACGACGACGAGGCTGCAACTCCCCAGCAGCAGGCCAAGAGCGACCCCCAGTCTACCGGCCAGGACGATGAGACGCACGAGGCGTCGTCAGACAAAACCGTAGAGCCGGACCCTGTCGAACCACTCCAAGGCACGGAACCCGTCGAGCTAAACAGCACCAAGGCCCGCAAGCCGGCCAGCGACGCGCAGGACAAGCCCGTTGAGCCAGAGTCCAAGCTCTCTCCGGCCAGTAATGAAGATGATGCCGTTGCAACGGCCAATGAAGAAACCGAGACTGCTCCCGAGTCGCCTTCTCACGCTGATGGCACTCCTGGACATGCGCATAGTGCGCAGGACGACCGAGGCCAGAGTCACGAGGCGCATGGTCCATCGACCTCCAATTCTGCCACTACCGAGCCTGTTGTCCCTGATGCTGCTCCCAACGGTTCTTTTGTGGCGGATAGCGTCAAAAATGGAGATGCCACAGAAGCCATGGCATCCGAAATCGCCGTCGATGCTTTGAAGCGCAAGCGTCGCTCTGAAAGCCTAACCCCGAAGGAAGAATCGGTCAAACGCAGACGAGCTCAAGAAATTGCTCAAGATGGCGCCAAGGAACCTGCAGCTCAAGCCGGCCGAGTTCAGGATGACCAGGGCCAAGATGTTTCCATGCCCGACAGGGCCGCTTTAGAAACCCGCGCTCCGGAGACTGCGCCTATCGCCGCCACCAAAGAAGCTCATGTCGATGCCGAGCCGTCGGCCGCTGAAGTCGAGCCTGCCTTCCATACGAGCACCTCGGCCATCTACATCAACAACTTGATGCGACCCCTAAGGGAAATCGATCTTCAGACCTTCCTTGTCGAACTTGCGGCTCCATCTGATAGCGCAAGTATTGACGACGTAATCGCGAGATTCTACTTGGACACGATTCGTACGCATGCGTTTGTCGTCTTTGACTCAACTTCGACAGCTGTTCGTGTCCGAAATAACTTGCACGGGCAGGTGTGGCCCAAAGAGAGCAACAGGAAAGCACTCTTTGTCGACTTTATCCCGGTAGACAAGGTCAGGCCCTGGATCGAATTGGAGGAAGAGCACGCCCGCGAGAAGAGGACGGGACTCCGATGGGAGGTTGTGTACCAGCCAAGCGGCGACGGCAACGACGTTGAGGCGCTGCTGCAATCCAACTCTATCACATCTTCATCTTCTGCTGCGCAACTCATGGGGCGGGCTACGACAACGGCTACAGGCATTGAGGGGGCTCCGACCGGTCCGCGCGGTTACCGCCCTTCTGTGGCGCCATCGTCGCGCCATGCCCGTCCTTTGCACTCTGATCCAACCGATCCTACAGATAGTCGATCCGGCCAGCCATTTCCCCGAGAGCAGCCACACCTGAGTGGCGTTGATGGCGCCGGTGAGCGGACAATGACGCAGCCCGTCATTTACTTCGAGGCGGTGTCCGTAACGCTGGCGCGCCGACGACTCCAGGACATGCGGGGCTTTTACACCCGAGACACGATGCGACAAGTGGACCGTGAAATCAACCGATATTCTTTCCAGGACGACGACAGATTTGTGGACCGCGGAAGAGAGGTCTTTGAAGGCATCAGGCCGCCTCACCGCCAGCAAGCTATGGACCGCGAGATGCGCGGTGGCGGCGGGCGAGGTGGCGGGCGAGGCGGAAGACTTCCGCGCCGAGGAGGACCGGCGCCGTACCGCCCCCGCGGAGACCGTTATATACCCGGATCCGGGGGGCCTGTCGACGATCATGTCTCGCGACACGGCGACGATGATGAGCGCCGCTGGTGATACTCTTGAGTATGATTTGGACATCCTACGCGCATTTACGGCCGAAATACCCCTGACGATTTGAGAAATCTAACACGAGTTGAACGCCATTGACCTAGTCAACCACTCACACCTACGAGCGGGCTCGAGACAGATAGTCATAAGCACCGCGAGCGCCATTTCTGTCTTGGGGCATTTTTCTTGAGTCGACCATCGGTGGGCATCTTTGCACGCGCTCTCGCCGGAACAGGGCGGCACCTTCACGGTTGACGCGACTGGTGGCGAGCGCCCGTGCAGACTGCCTCTTGAATCGGGTCGTGAGCATTTGGCGTTGCCCTTGGTCATGGGGAGGCCGTGATGGGGCTGCGGGGTGCGCGGCTTCCCGTCGTAGTCGCAATGAATGCCAAGACATATTCGGCATTAATCCTTGTTCCTAATCATACCTTGTACAATTGCTCGTGTATACAGTGAGAGGACAGTTGGAGAGTTCATTTGGGGTTTGTGATGGAGGCCTGAGCTGCTATGCGGGGGCGGGACGGGGGCTGGACCCCGGACAAGGCTCGGTACAGGCCGCCACCTTACGTTTCAGCATGGCAGGCGGTGGTGGTTTACCAGATGAATGCACACAAGACGCGAAATGACAAACTTGGGGGATTTCAAGGAGCAATCCAATCCGTGAATTCACCAGTTACTTTTCCTCCAAGTTCTTTTTGATTTATCTTCGAAGATCACAGCCCAGCGACAAGACGCCGTGAACAAACAGACCATGTTCCCTCTCAAAAAGCTTCGTCGCCTAAAAAGCTCCTCCAAATCGACCTTCTGCATGTCGTTACGCAGCGCTGGCGAGAGGAGTGGGGTCGACGCCGACTCGCTCCTTGCTCAGAATGTCGAGCAGAAACTGGCTGGGCCGGTTGTCCTTGTAGACCTTCTGGGCGTTCTTGGCGAGCTGGACGTTCTGGAGGTACTTGTCGAAGAGGTACGCGCTGTCCATGGGACCGCCCCTGGCCTCGGGATGGAACTGCGTGGAGAATATGGGGCGGGTCTTGTGGACCATGCCTACAACACGTCAAATAAGCTTCTCTTCTTGAGCACCCGGCGAGAACACCAAGGACTTACCTTCATTGCTGCCATCATTCAGATTGACAAAGAACTCCTTGTAATCGCTGGGCAGGGTGCTGGCGTCGACGGCATAGCCATGATTCTGGCTGGTGATATGGCACTGGCCCGTGGTGAGGTCCAGAGCGGGGATATTGTGGGCCCGGTTGCCGTACTTGAGCTTGATGGTGCGGGCCCCGACGGCCAGAGCCAGGAGCTGGTGGCCGAGGCAGATCCCCATGATGGGAATCGACGACGTCTCCATCAGGCGAGCTAGGTTGTAGACAGTCTCCTGGCAGTGGGTCGGGTCGCCCGGGCCGTTGGAGATGAAGACGCCATCAAAGTGCTGGGCAACCTTGTGGATGGGGTAGTTGTAGGGGAAGACGGTCACGGAGGCACCCCGGCTCACCAGGCTGCGGAGGATGTTCTCCTTGACGCCGCAGTCGAGAAGGGCCACGTGGAAAGAGGCACCGGGCGACTCGACGGCAAAGGGAGCCTTTGTGCTGACACGCTTGACCAGATTGATCTGGCCAGGGTCGATGAAGCTCTCATCCTCGTCGGCGTCGTACTCATCGCCAATGGAGATCCTAGCGAGGGAAGAACCCTGCTCTCGGAGATGGGTGACAATGGCGCGAGTATCGACGCCCGAGATGGCGGGGACACCCTCTCGAGCGCACCACTCGCCCAAGCTCTCGACAGCGGTCCAGTGGCTGTAGTTGAGGGCAACATCGGAGACGACGACGCCGGCACATTGGATGTGGGGGGACTCGAAGTGCCTGAGGAGATTGAAGCTATCTCGCTCGCTCGAGGGGACGCCGTAGTTGCCAATGAGGGGTTGAGTGAAGACGAGGATCTGGCCTCGGTAGGAGGGATCCGTCATGGACTCTGGGTAGCCGACGAGAGAGGTGGTGAAGACGGCCTCACCCGAGATATTGGAGTTGGCACCGAAGGCCTTGCCCTGGAACACGGGCCCATCCTGCGAGGCGACTTGGTCAGCAGGCCTGGCCTAGAGGCACGAGGGCTGCCCGCGTGGGCGGCCACTTACTCGAATGGTGAAGGTGGCAGGCAGCGAAGCCACGGGTGCAGTGGCCCGCAGGCCCTTGAAGGGCATCTTCCTGCCGGTGCTCCCGGCGGCAGCGGCGCGCTGGGAGAGGAGGCGGGCCTGGAGGACAAAGCGGCCGGCGATGGCGGCGGCGGGTTTGGCCGCCGGCCTGGCGAAGGGTATGGCCAGTCGGGAAAGCATGGCGACCAATGACAGGGAGGGATAAAGTAGATGCAAGATAGGGCAGTCGAGGAGATGGGGGAAATTGTCTAGGATGACAGGGACCTCCACAAGTGGTCTAGATGGCGGGCGGTTAGCAGGAACCTCGGTGGCCAAGGAGTCGGATGGCGAGACGACGTACCAGAGAGATAATCCTACGGTGAGGCGCGCATCAGTATGCAAGCCACATGGTCAAGCCGACAAGGGACAGGTGGTTGGGGATGGACGAAGAGAGCAAGATGGGGATGGAGATGGAGGGACCGGGGAGAGAAGGGGGAAAGCGTACCTGAGAGGTGAAGACCGACGAGCGCCCGTTCATAAGGGCGGATTGGTGCCGACGCAGTGCAGCGGAGCGGGTGACGGGGAAGCGTTCGGGAGGAAGAGGAAGGAGAAGAAGGAGGAGACAGGAGAGTCGGTGGAGACGAGCCGGGGCGTCTTTTTTAATTGCTGCTCGGGCCGGGGTCTGTTTCCTTTGCGATGCCGTGGACACGTGGGGGGGATGGCGGGGAAAGACGGCTGGCGGCTTTGTGTGCGACGCGACGTCCAGGGTGCGTGTGGATGGTGCAAGAGAGGTTGCAGCTGACGAGAGAAAGAGAATTGATTGAGAGGCGGGTGTGAGAATGAAGGAGGAGGAAGAGGAGCGGGTGAGAGAGAGGGGGGGAGAAAAAGGTAGCGAAAGCGGAGACGTGGGGAGTCAGACCAACCATTGGGCTGGCGAGCAAAGCTCAGCATGACTGCGCTGCAGCAAGTACCTACTAAAGTATTGAGCCAGAGGTACGGAGTACAGAGTACGCTGAGTCGACGTTTGGGGAACATGCGAGCGCGGGGGGGCGCCCCTGCAAGCTGACAGCAGGCGCCGCAGCGGTAGCGGGTGAGCGGCTAGGCGGCTTTGCTTTGCTACTAGGTAGTACTAGCTCGAGGTACCGTCGAGACGGCCGAGGGTCGCGGGTACCTGGACTCTGGCCTTGGAAGAGTTCTTTTGTTCTTTTTGTCACGACTCTTGCTGTTATTTGATTCCCTTCCTGCCTGGCTGCCTGGCTGCCTGGCTGCCTGGCTCGTATTCCCTAACTCATTAGTACTACTCCGTACTGTCAAAGCTCGTCGGCCGGGGCCTGCAGTGCAGCTCTGAGGCCCCACTCGACCGACTGATGGGAGTCGCTCGCATCGCCTGCCACGGCTCTTAGTAACCGCTACCACCCAACGACGCATCTTCTTTTTTGCCTTGCATTTTGCTGCTCTGGATCCTCACTCTGGATCCTCATACTCATGACTCTCGACAACCACGGGGAGCCATTGTCGAAAATCCACACCGATTTGTGCAGTTACTTGGGCCCCTGCGCATTTTGGTGCCGACTCTCATAAGCTACAGGACCAAAGCCGCGCGAATGCATGCAGAGTGCCGGCCCCAACGGCCGCTTGTACTGCCCAGTCGGCGCCAAGTACCGGATACACGCATGTACCCTGAGCACCTGCAGCCGCAGCAGCAGTTCTTGACGGCGGTCAACAAGCTCGGCACAGCTGCAGCGCATTAAGGATGGCGGATCCAGGCGCTGAGCCGTCTTGCTTGCTTCCTCTCCCTTTTACCACGTAACGGAGTATTATTCCTGCATCGTTTCGATTCATCGCTGTGGCGACGGGGGGGGGGAGTAACCCGGAGAGCCCAGCCAGACAGGGCGCGCTCCAAGTTGGCACCGCGCACGCCCTATTCTCGACAGCCCAAACCTTGCTGACCGGCTGTTTCTTCTTGCACTGTCAACTCCATTAAGCTATATACTGTACATAAAATAATACTCTGCTCTAGGTACAGTATGTACTACATTTTCCATTCTATTCTTTCCCCCTATACCCCCGTACTCCCCGGTTCCGGCCCGGCGCTGGGCCAACCCAAGATGCCCAGCCCGCCTCCTTCTCCCCCCCTCCTCCCATCAACAAACCGGGCTTCAACCACCTCAGCCCAACCAACTGCAATCACAAGCAACCATCCAATGGACAAAAAAAACCTCTCATCCATTCTAAGCCCCCCTAGGATAGGCCGGAGCGCTATGTACACATCCATGCCATACAACCCGACCATTTCGCAGCCCAAAGGCCCACCTCTCCCGCCGTAGCATTCTCGTAGCACCACCCCGTCTTGTCATCTATTTTTCTGGGTGGCTGATTTTACCATCACCATTGGCCGAGCCTCTATAGAGCACCCATCTCCTTGAGCTTGCTCACCAGCCCGTCCACGTCCTCGACCTTGCCACCGCCCTGTCGTGCCGGCGGCTCTGTCTCACCTCGTCAGCCGCTCATCCGGGATAATACCTCTCTGTGGGGAATCTGACGCTTGATCGTGCAAAAGCGCGCAAAGGGGGAGAAATAGGACAAAAGGAGCAAAAAGAAAAAGACGTACCCGTCACCTTGAGCACCTTGAGCCGCTTCTCGTTGGCGAGCCCAAAGTCCTCGAGCGTCATCTTTTCCAGCTTCTTCTTCTTGGCCTTCATAATGTTGGGCAGGCTCGCGTAGCGCGGCTCGTTGAGCCGCAGGTCCGTCGTCACAACCATGGGCAGCTTCGCCCGGATCGTCTCGACGCCCCCGTCCACCTCCTGCGTCACCACGACGCTGTCGCCCTCGCCAAACTCGACCTTGCTCGCCTGCGTCGCCTGCGGCCACCCCAGCAGCCCGGCCAGCATCTGGCCCGTCTGGCCCGCGTCGTCGTCGATGCTCTGCTTGCCCAGCACCACCAGGTTGCTCTTTTGCTGCTCCGCCGCCTTCTTGAGCAGCTTGGCCACCATCAGCGGCTCCAGCTCCTCACCCTCCTTGACCTCGACGTGGATCGCCCGGTCTGCTCCCATGGCCATGGCCGTCCGCAAGATGTCCTGCGCCTTGGCCGGTCCCGCCGAGATGGCGCAAATGTCCTCGACGCCCCCCGGCGCACGCTTCTTCTCGCGGATCCGCACAGACTCCTCGATCGAGAGCTCGTCAAACGGGTTCATCGAGTGCTTGACGCCCGCCGTCTCGACTCCCGTCTGCGCCTTGTTGACCCGCGGCTTGACCTGTGCGTGGAAGACTGCGTTAATTCTGGCTTCTTCTTCTTCTTCTTCTCCTCCTCCTCCTCCTTCCCCCTCGGCGCGCCGTTTAGCTCGGATTCAAAACGTACGGCATAGTCAATAACCCGCTTGACGGGCACGAGGATCCGGAGTGCAGACATGGCGGCGGCGGTTGCGGATCAATGGCTCGTTTTCGCGTGGTGGCTGAGAGAGGCAGCGTCCGGCTCACGACAGTGACGGATCCGACTTGTCCCGGCTAAGGACGGCTCCAACCTCGGACCTCTCCACATCACGTGACGGCAAGCCCCTCGGCAGCCGCTCCAAGCACAGTCTTGGCAGTGCGGTGGCTTTGCCCTCGTCGCCAAAGTAGTCATGCATAGAGACGTCGTAGGGTGACAGGCAACACCGCGAAACCGGCTTCGTAAGAGCCCTCGACTCGTACCAAGTCGGCTCACGGGACAAAAACAGACCTAGAAAAAGCTCACACTCCCATGCCAAACGACAATCCATCCCATCCCATCCCATGCCTACACGCGCCTCGACGCCATCTAACCCAGAAAGCCACCTGCCGCCACCAGCAAAGCCAGTCCCCGCAACCGCACACGCATCCATGCATCTGCTCACCAGTCGTCCCACTCGTCCGACGCCTTGGGCTTTTGCGCCGCGCCGCCCTTCTTGCCCATGCCCATGGCGCTCGTCCCGATGGAGCTGTTCTTGGCGTGCTGCCGCTGCTGCTGCTGGTCCGCCAGGCTCGAGAAGTCGTCCCAAAAGTCCTTGCGGCTCTCGTCCAGCAGCGCGTCCCTGCTGCCGTGCTGGTGGTGGTGGTCGGGGCCCTCGACGAACCGGTTCAGGCCCTGTTGCGCGTTCCGGCCCGCCAACTGCGCCTGCCTGGCCAGTTGACCGGCCGTGAGTTGCGCCTGCTTGGCAAATTCGCCCTCGGCAATCTGTTCCGTAGTCCTCGCTCAGCGATTGTGCGGTCCCGAGGGGGGAGGGAGAGGGGGCTTGAGGGGAAAGGGGAGTAGACGTACGCTTTTGGCAGTGGGCTGAATATATCCATCGTTCACATTCTTGGCCGTCTTGGATACCGTCGACGTGAACCAGCCAAAGCCCTTGGTCAGGGCCGCCATGGGATCCCGCTGCACTTCCTCGAAGTTGGGCAAGCCCCCCTGCCCCCCCGCCGCCGCCGCCGCCGCCGGGCCCGGCGTGTTGCCAAAGCCGCCGTACTTGCCTCCCTGGCTCGGCGGCAGGTCGTCGGGCCGCGACGCATTGTCCGCGCCCAGCCTGGCAAAGTACCTATCGTCCACCTTGACCTTGCCGGCGCCGGGGGGGCTCTGACCCCGACCTGCCATCGAGCCGAGCGGCGTGCCCGTCCGCGGCGTAGCCCGTTGCCCCGGCGGTGGCGTCGCGGACGACGACGGGGGCGGAGACGATGCCGGCTTCTTGGCCCCTGGGACGTATTCGCGGCCCTCGACCTGGCAGGACAGCCTCTCCTTCCACTCCTCGCCCACCTCGCCGCTGTATCGCTCGGCGATGGTTGCGTCGTCCCAGCTGAGGCCCCTCATCTGTGTGTCGTCGTGGTCCTCGAAAAACTTTCTCCAGCCCGCGTTGCCGCCCAGGCGCATGCGCTCAATCTCGCTCGCCTTGAAGGCATCCATCGAGATGCTCCGGACAAAGGAGATGTGGACACCGAGCCCGCGGTGCACGCCGGCGCAGGAAAGGCAGATGAAGATGCCAAACTTGGGCGACGCCCACTGCGGCGAGGGCGCATTGCAGTCGCAGCACACGTTGTTCTTGGACTCTTTTTGCAGGGCGGCCAGCTGTTGGTGGCTCGGGGGTCAGCGACTCGGCGATGCCCCCATCCGTGGCCAGACTCACCTTGGACCGCGTCTCCGGGTCCACCTCCCACATGGCCTTGGAAGCCATTGCGCGTCGTCTTCGTCCGTCCGAGCCGGGAGAGCAAGAGAGGGAGAGATTGGACTCGTGCGAGTGACGGTGGTTGCGGGATGTGCGATCTGACGCCTGCCCCTCGAGGGAATGCAATGCCCTGTCCTGGCCAAGGGAGAGAGACCCCTGCGGCGGGGCGCCGACGGCGGGCACCCTCCCTCCTAAACCTTCAAGGGTACCCACCTCTGTCGGTACCACCTACTTGGTGGCTGCGGGCGCTTTCAGTGCCTCCATGGCCATCAAATGTGCCACCACCAAGATCCCCCATATACATAAGATCGTGATTCAAACATCTACGTGCTCGTGCTACCTTGCCTGGCATGATGATGCTACCTACCTACGTCATGGCCTACCCTCACGGCTGTTATGTATGCGCTTTAGGCTTCTCGGGTCATCTTGGTCTCCCGTGCCAGAGCCACCGGGCAAACAACATTCAGACCCAAGGCTTGATTACGATTACCTGGGGCTGCCTCTCCGTCGCCAGAATCGCCAGAATCGCCAGAATCGGCTGACAACACTGTCGCCAACCCGTTGGCTTCCTCGACTGCCCAGCGCCTCACTCACCGTCCGTCGATGGCCAATCATTCAAGGAAAGAACGCCTCCATTTTTTGTTAAAAAGTATTGCACCAAGCTGTCCCTTTTCCCAGCCATTTTCCCGCTTAAGCTATTCTACAACCCAGCAGAATCGTGATGGAAGAGGAAGAATAAGTACAGATACATTGAAAAAAGGGGACGACTTTTGCTGTCCTCCGGAAGGGTTGGAGAAACATTGCCGGGAAAAATCACAGCCGCGCAGTCGGACAGAGCCTCCCCGAGAGCCCAGGCAGCTGATGCGTGGTCCCCCGAGCCGGTCCTCCAGTCCCCGACACCACGGCCGTTCAGATCGTAGCGAGCATCTACCGTAAGAGATATCATTGAAAATCGCGAGCCATATTGTAAGTATGCTCATCCAGCAGGGACGCATCCCCAATCGTCAATGGCGCCACTGCCTGCCATTTAGGCGGTGGTTGCGGCAGGGGCCTCGGCAGCAGCCTCGGCGTTGTTGGTGCCCTCCTCGCCATGAGCAGCGTCGACCTCTTCGTCAGTCTTGTCAGGGCTGTCAATGGCCACCTTGACGGCAATCTCACGGCCCTCAATCTCCTTGCCATTCATCTCAGCCACAGCCTTGAGCTGCTGCTCCTCCGAGGCCAGCGTGACGAAGCCGAAGCCACGGCCCTTGCGGGCCTCGCCACGGGCCTGGAGCTTCTTGATCATGAATCGGGGGATGGGTCGAAGGGCGATCTTGGCCGAGGAAGGCTCGTATGCCTCAAAAAGCTCAATGAGCTGGTGCCACTGTTAGCCTCGTGTCCCAAGCCGCCAAAGCCCCGTCGACTCTCGCCTGATGATGCTCACCTTATCCTCGGTCAGGTCGTACGGGAGATTGGCCACCATAACCTTGGTCTTGGAAGGAATGCCGTCCGCAGGGGGGCCGCGCTCACGGCGCTCACGCTGGGGGCGAGGCTGGAATTTGGAGTTCTTGGCGTTGCCGTCAGCCTTGTCCTTGTTCGTGATGTCCTGCAATGGCTGCACCTCAGTGGTGCCCTCGGCTGCGTCCGGGGCGGCCGCGGCGTCAGTGGCGGCCGTCTCGTTGGTCTCGCCCTCCTTCTTGTCTTCACCGGTTTCCTAGAGTCCCATTTAGTCATTTTGAAGCAGTCTTCCGGGCATGCATGGGCAAACATACGCCAAAGCGACCGCCGCGAGCAGCGCGTCCACCACGGCCGCGACCTCGGCCACGACCACGGCCAGAGGCGCGGCGGCGGGAACCCTCTGGGCCGTAACCATCCCCGTTGGCGCCCTCGGCCTTGTCGCCGGCAGCCTCTGGCTTGCGGGCCAGCTGGACGGAGACCTTGCGCTCTAGGATCTCCTTGCCCGAGAGCTCTGAGATGGCACGGTCGGCCTCGGTAGGGGTGGAAAGATCCACGAAGGCATAGCCAACGGGACGGTCGGTGCGAGGGTTCTTTGGGATCGAAACAGACTCACTGTGGTAAGGCATGGTCAGCGTAGAGTTCAGCAACGGAGGGCACGAGGCTAGGCTGCAGGTGGGAAGCCGATGGGCTCGCCGGCGAGCTGGACCGGGGATTCTTCGAGCGGGGCATGGTATGGAGAGGAGCGGGAAAACAGAAGGAAAATACAGCGAGTGCTTTGATGCTTATCGGTGGCGATCGTGGTGGTGTAGTGACAGCAAGGATGTCGCCCGCGGGCAGAGAGGCGGTCAGAGGAACGCGGCGGGGGAAAATAGCATATCGCAGCACAGCCAGCGACTTGCTGAAGGGAGTGGCGGGCGTGACAAGCCCGGGGAAAGAAGGCTCGTTGGCAGGAGACGAGGCAGGTTGAGGGCTACAAGAATAGAGGAGCAGAGCGTGCACCTACACAAGATAGCTCTTGAAGAAGTCCTTCAACTCCCCCTCAGTTGTCGCATAGGCCAGGTTGCCAATGTACAGGCGGCGGCCCTCAGCAGCGCTGGCCGAGGCAGCCTCGTTGGCGGCGGCCTTGTCGTCGGCGGGCTGAGTGATTGAGGTGTTGCTCAGAGCGGTTGTAATGTCGTTGACGGCGGCGTCGTTGACCTTCTCCACGTTGGTAGTAGCAGACATGGTGATGGATGGAGGTGGTGTTGACTGGGAGTATGACGGTCGCAAGCACACGGTCGAGGGAGAAACTCGGGGGGTTGAACTCTGGTGCAATGAGGGGGGAGATGGGTCAGGGTAGCTTGGTGCCCTAGATCAAAGTTGAGGTTGACAGACGGCGATGCGTTGCGCGGAGACACTCGAGTTTTGACTTGGTGATATGTGAGAGGGGAGGAGAAGAGAAAGGGGGGGGACGAGGCGGTGCCTGAGCTCGAGTCGCGAACAACTGAAATAATTTTTCTGGGCCTCGTCGCGCAGGTAGGCCGGGCCGCTGCTGCCAGCTGCTACTGGAAGACGGGTTGTTACTGCTGCTGCAGCAGCTGCTAGTCGAGAGCGAGAGGTACCTTTGTCCAGGGCTATACCGCCGCTCCGCCAGCAAACAATGCGGGCTGGCGAGTACCGCCGCTTTGCTGGAGGTACACCGCCCGCCAAAGAGACATGTCTACCTATCGAGGTATGTACCTCGTCAGCGCCTCTGGTGGGGCGGTCGGTACAGCGGCAGCAGCAACAAGGCGCCTGCACTGCACCAGCACCTGCAGAGGGGCGGTACAGCACGGGCGCATTGTTGTGTGTACATCAGTACGTACGGCAGGCACTCGGCGACAGCACGCCTCAGGTACAGTACTTGCAAGGGCAGATTAGGTACCTAGCGCCAGACGCCTCGAGGCAGGCGGGCAGGTACGACGCGGAGCTGCTGCTGCTGAGTCACGGCGGGAAGACGAGGATGCAAGGCTCCTGCTTGGTCGCCTCGTATTGTACCTTGCATGCTCGTCCTACTCGGGGCACACAGTGGGCAGAGGAATGGCTGTTGAGGCAAGAAAGAGCCGCAGTCAACTGCAAGTAGCATCAGAGCCTCAAGCAGAAGGAGAGCCCAAGCACGCAGCCAACAGCGAGAGCAGGAACCAGCACGCGCTCTCTCTACGCTCTCCCTACGCTCTCTCTCCAAAGGTGCGGCCATGTCCCGGAACACAACGAGGCGGCTGGGGATGGTCCCAAAGGCGGCCCCGTCATTCTTGAGACGGCGCTGCAGAAGAGTCCCAGCTCCGTAAACACATGCCCGCAATACCCATGCATTTTGCTGTCTCTCGCTATCCCTGCCTTGGATTTGTATGGTTCAAGTATCCGTATTACCCGACACCTTCCTTTGCACCGTATCCGTACAGCACTATAGCCTGCCTTGCTGCAGCGCGGATTTGTCGAAGAGCAGACTGCGCCTCTGCAGAGTGCATCGAAAAATGAGACGGCGAAGAAATTTCGCGATTGGCTCCAGGCACTATCGCCCCGAACTCTGGTCGTCTATTCCGACGGGTCCCGTTCTACCGAAGGCCACGCCGGATATGGCTATGTTGTTCATCGGGACGGATCCACCGTCTTGCGCGACAAGGGCCGTCTCAGGCCCGCCGAGATTTTCGACGCTGAGGCGAAAGGTGCGTTGGAGGGGTTGAAGGCTGCGGTGAGCCTTCCAGAAACTGACCGCATCTTTGTCTGCCTCGACAACCTCGCGACCGCAACATGCTTACGGGGCACGCCGAGCGACTCCTCGCAAGAGGTCTTCCTTGAGTTTCAATCTTTGGCGCGAAAATACGGAGCTGTGGAGGTCCATTGGATCCCCGGCCATGCTGACATCCCAGGCAACGAGGAGGCTGATGCTCTGGCAAAGGCGGGAGCATCACTGCCAGAACCCGCTGATAACGTCCCGACGCTAGCGCACCTGCGAAAGATTGCCCGACAGCAGCCGGAAGAGGCTTTCAAGGCCTGGTGGGAAGCCTCTGCGCCGGAGCGATACAGAGACCTGAGGCTTAAAGCCACAACCAGCTGCCCGTCAGAATTGGCGCTCTCTCGGCCCCTGCTTCGTAACTTGCAGCAAGAACCCACCATGGGGATTTTGCTGACTACCACGAAAGGTTTGGTCACGACAATGCGCGACTGACGTGCTCGTGCGGAAGACGAAAAGAGCCAGCACACATCTTTTACTGCAGAAAGGTTGCGCCACGGCATCGTATGCGGCTTGCACCTTGGCCGGCTGCAGCCATCAACCGCGCAATCGGCAAGGACTTTGACAAATTCGTCAGGCTGGCGAAAGCGAGCTCCTTCTTCGGAGGATCTGCCCACGCCACTAGACGGTCATCATTCTCCTCTCTCCCTACCTTTTCCTCTCAATCCTTTCTGTTACCTGCTCCGATCTCGGGCGGCGTCAAGGTCTCGCGACCATGCGATCGCCGAGGTCATCAAGGGCTGCAAGGCCCCAGAAGCAAATTGGCTGATCTGACCACGGGACAGCTTTCTCTTCATGCCTGGACGTCCCGCTGACGGGCAACAGGTTTGTCATGAGCGCCGTTGAGCCGATGAAATGCTGGATAGTGGGTGAAGTGTACGATATGTAGCATGTAGACACCTGCTAGCTCAGCACGTCCTGTGCTCCCCTGCGGAGACCTGAGCGACCAAAAGTTGCTGGACGGAAAATACACTAAACTAAACTAAACTAAACGTACAGCACTATAAGGTACCTAGGTACCTCCCTAGCTAGAGTGCCAGGCGCGGGCAGAAAAACATGGCAGCGCTACAAAGTACTTGATACAAAGTACAATCGGCCCGGCCCTGATTGATAAGATCTCGGCCGCTACGTCCATCCGGCCCCGGCATCGGACTTGGAAAAGTCGACGACGTTTCCTCTTTTCCCACCACGCTTCCCCCTGCTCCTCCATTAACTTCTCCAGACACCTCGGCACCCCCAGCATCTCGCTCGACGCCTACCGCTGTCTGTCGAAATGGCCGTCTCGGACCGGACCGTCCTGGTCCTCTACGGCTCCGAGACGGGCAACGCACAGGACATGGCCGAGGAGCTGGGCAGCCTGTTCCGGCGCCTGCGCTTCCGGGCCGTCGTTCACGAGCTCGACGCCGCCGACCTCACGGCGCTGCTCGACCACCGCCTCGTCGTCTTCGTCGTCTCCACCACCGGCCAGGGGGATATGCCGCACAACTCGCTCATCTTCTGGCGCAAGCTGCTGCGCAAGAAGCTGCCGCCCGGATGCCTCGCCTCCCTGCGCTACACGTGCCTCGGTCTTGGGGACAGTACCTATCTCAAGTACGTCCGTCGTCTAATCCGGCTTTCATCGCCCCGCCTGACCTCTTCTTCGTCTTCTTCAAGGTTCAACTGGGCGGCGCGCAAGCTGATCCGCCGCCTAGAGCAGCTCGGCGCCACCACCTTCATGGACCCCTGTGAGGCGGATGAGCAGTTTCCCGACGGGTACGACGCTCCTCCCCAGGCGCCTCAATTTATGCGTGCTGATGCGCCGTCTTGTCTCTCCCAGCATTGATGGCACGTTTGTTCGCTGGGCGGATGAGCTGAAGAGCCATCTCCTCGAGCACCACCCTCACCCTGGCGGTCTACAGCCCATCCCAGACCAAGTCAACCTGCCGCCCCGCTGGTCACTCGAGCCCGCCCTGCTCAGAGCCCAGACCGACGCTTCCCAAGACGTCGGTCCGGCCGCCCTCGTCGGCCACCAATCCGACTCGCCACCTCCGGACCTCCTCCCCATCCCGGACGCATGGACTGCCACCATTGTCGAAAACAAGCGGATGACGCCCGACACGCACTGGCAAGACGTCCGCCTCGTGTCGCTCGACGTGAGCCCGCGCGGCCCCGTACCCGGCGACATCCTGAGCTGCAACCCGGGCGACTGCCTGACCGTGTACCCCAAGAACTTCCCCGACGACGCCCAGCGCCTCATCGCCCTCATGGGCTGGGAAGCTGTCGCCGACCAGCCCCTCGACCTCTCCTTGTGCGATGCCTTGCCGCCCGCCCTCTACGCGGCCCCCCGGCCATGCACACTGCGCGGCCTGCTGCTCCACAACGTCGATTTCACCGCCGTGCCCCGCCGCTCGTTCCTCCGGAGCATCTCCTACTTCGCCTCGGACTGCGACCAGCGCGAGCGCCTCGTCGAGTTCACCACGGCCGAGTTCCTCGACGAGTACTTTGACTACGCGACCCGCTCCCGCCGCACCATCATCGAGGTCCTCGACGAGTTCTCCTCGGTCCGCGTGCCCCCCGGGCGCCTGCTCGACGTCTTCCCCCTGATCCGCGGCCGCGACTTCAGCATCGCAAACGGCGGCGCCACCCTCCGCCACCCCACGGACCCGCGCGCCGCCCGCGTCGAGCTCCTCGTCGCCCTCGTCAAGTACCGCACCATCCTGCGCAAGCCCCGCCAAGGCCTCTGCTCCCGCTACCTCGCCGACCTGGCCCCCGGCGCCACCCTCCACCTCTCCCACAAGCCCGTCCTCTCCCCCGTCCACGGCCCGGCCAACGCCCGCCGGCCCCTCGTGGCCATGGCCACCGGCACCGGCATCGCCCCGGTCCGCAGCCTCATCCACGAGCGCCTCACCCACCCGGCCCCGGCCCCCGTCCTTGTCTTCTTTGGCAACCGCAACCGCGCCGCCGACTTCTTCTTCGCTGCCGAGTGGCAGCACGCTCTCGACCACCGGGACATCTCCCTCTTCGCCGCCTTCTCGCGCGACCAGCGCGAAAAGGTCTACGTCCAGGACCTGGTCCGCCGCGAGGCTCCGGTCCTTGCCCGCCTGATTCCCCAGCAGCCCATCTTTGCCGTCTGCGGCGGCTCCTCCAAGATGGCCGACGCATGCAAGAGTGCCGTCTTTGAACCCTTTATCCAAGCGGGCGACGAGCAAGAGCAAAAGAAGATTCTCGACGCCGCAACTTGGTGGCAGGAGATTTGGTAGACAGGGCATTCACACTTATCCTACAACATCAAGATCCGCGAAAAGAATAGAAGTGCGGGCGTTGCATCTAACCGGTCGTCACATATACGAAGAGGGACCAGAAGGGTCAATCAGGGAAGCCGGCACAACGGCGGTCAGGAGAATCGATTTAGAGGGTGATTTGATTAGAGCATGAGTGGCTTTGCCCATCCCAGGTTCCAGAAGAAGAAAGAAATCATGCGTGAATGCGAGTATTTGCCAGCTCGCCGCGAGCCGGCCCTTCTGACCTTGCTCTCTTATTCTATAGTGCTACGCAAGGAGGGGCGCGGCATTGATGCTCGTCATGACCCCTTCCCTGGCACGGAATGTCTGTTCCCATCACATACCAGCCCGAGTCTCCAGAAGTATCCATCGTCGATGAGACTCGACATCATAAGCGCATCAAATCAAATGGCAAGAGAGTGCCCTTGCGTCAACCAAGTCTGACCAACTCCTGAGCCCCAGTATCAAAAAACAACAGACCCGTCAGAACCCAGTAGACAAACGACAAGAAAAACCAGTGTTTCGGACGTTGGGCTGTCGTAGAGCAAATCGATTGAAGGGCCCAAGTGATTGCTTACCCTACCTCACGCTGCCAGAACTCCTTCGCTATTGTTGTTTCCAAATCTTCCCCAAAGCAGAGTTGTAAAAAGAGAAATAGGAAAAGAAGTGGTCGAAAAGGGTGGATATATCAAAGGTGCAACTCAGAGCTCGGGGATATTATGCGCTCCCGCTGCGCGTGTCGGCCGTCATTGATCTTCCCAGCTATAGCGCTTGTCCGCCAGCTGAGGAACATGAATTAAATCTCTGCCCGGGTCGAGGCGTACCTTGCCGTACGTTGATTCCGAGTCCAGCCCTTGACACTTCTTGGCCGATCCTTTGTCTTCGAATGGCAGTGGAGGGAGGTATGGGCCACTCTTGTTCGTTGAAACTCGATAATAATCAGTGGGGTTGGCTTGCGACAGGCTGGCCTGACGTGTCAATTCTTCTGCAATCATCTCCTCCTCTTCAGTGAAGTTACTGCCTAAGCTGCCCTCGGAAGCACGCGACGTGGGATTGAACAGCGACCTGGATACGCCGCGACCATCAGGACCCGTGACACGCTTGATCAAGGTGTCGCGTTGACTCTGCTGGAGAGCATCGGGTAATGGCCCGAGACAGACAACTTTGGAGTACTCCATGGTTGTCCGTTGAAAGGAAGCAGGGGGGGTAGCGACAAAGTCCGTGGAACGTTCGGGATTAGATCGACTCGTCTCCGCAGGTCGGTCTAGTGGATCGCCCCAGCTCCTGGCCGCGCCCGGGAACCTCGAGGGCAAAGACCCTGCAACGGGGGATGGCAACAAGGTGGAATGTGTGTGCCAATCTGCCCGGGGCGAAACAGGGGAGAGCTCTGGCGTCGGGGAGTTGTTCAAGTGTGAGCTTCCCCCAGCTGACCGCATGGGCGATGTAGGGAAAGGTTGAAGGGTTGCTTGGCTCGTGTCTAGGAGCCGGGGGTTCGGCATGGCTTTTTCCGGCTGCAGAATGGTTCCATCCGTCGGTGGCGAGTAGGCAGGAACAGGACCTCGAAGCTGCATCTCCATCCTTCTCCGTGCGACTTCGTAGGCGCTCAGGTCCTGCGGATTCTCGGTAGCCAACTCCATCTCTCCGATAGAGTGGCGATCACTTCCTGCGTCAAGCTCAATCGGAGCCGCCGAAGCTGACAGTTCGTAGATCTGGCAGTCTGGCGCTTCCAAGGGGGCCTGATTTCCGACAACGCCGGCATCGTTCATATTTCCCGCTTTGTCCGTGTCAGCAGCGCCTCGTCGTGATTGAGAGTGCTTGCGGCAGACTATCTTGGAGAAGATCTTCGAGACTGGAGTATTGGGGGAATCAGGGGCGAGAGTGGACGCTGAGTCGTTGTGATTGTCAACATCATCCTTGCTCTTGCCTTTCCGTGATTGCCGTCTTCGCCGGCGGAAGTAGCAGCAGCCGACGACGATGACCGTGCACAGCAACACGGCTCCGACCGCAATGCCGGCCATCTGTGCCGTCGTGAGCTCCTCGTCCTGGTGAGGCCGCGGGGGCGGAGGATAGGGGCTATTGCTGGGCTGTCTAATGGGGACGAGCTTGGCATCGCGCTCAGGGTTCGCAGGGAAAAGCGCCTGATGGACTGAGTAAAGAGATTCGTCAAACTTGGTGATAAGGTACGACTCTTGCAGGAATGTCCTGCCAATGACAAAGGTATCGTTCTTGGACTTTCGTAGAGTGAAGTATGGCACCGCTGGATCGCCATACTTGATGGCTCCCCGAGCGAAAGGGTATTCGAGCAAGCTAACAAAAGCCTGCAAGGGCAGGGTGATGTTGACGAGTCCAGGGACTTCAAGGGGCATGCCAAAGTTGTCGTGGTTGTCGTAGCTCGTCAGGCTGAAAGTGAAGGTGAGTGAATTGTTGGAGGTGTAGTCACGGTATAGTTCGTTACTAAGGGTGTATAGCTCGTAGGTGCTGTTGTAGGTTAGGTTTAGCGCCTCGGCGAAACGAGTGCAGACGGGCTCGGGAAGCCACAGATAAGGTGTGGAGCTGTCAATCATGGCGGTAAAGGAGCTGTTCCAATCCGACAGAATCTCAACCGGGGAGCTCCAGATATCCGGCTGGTCCCCAGAGTTGTTGGCAGCCACCTGGATACCCCGGACGAGGGTATGGGGGATGCTCTCGCCTTGCTCCAACGTGAAGGCGGTGTCGTGCGGGACGAACCTAGCCGAGTCGTAGCCGCCCAGGGTGGCCGACACAACCGTGTTGCCTGTACTAGGTCAGCATGCGGACGCCCGGGGCCGAGGGCCCGACTGCATGGGTGGACATACGGTAATGAGCACCTGCGGTGTAGCCGTAACTGTAGCTCGGAGTCCAACCGAAGGATTTGACCGCCTGCGTTATGGGAGAATCGGCCACGATGTCCCCAAACCTGCCCTGTTGGATGCCTAGGCCGAAGAAGCCAAGAAAGGGGTTGGATGTGTTCATGGCAGCCATGAGGACGTTTGACATGCCGAAGGCGATGTTGGTGATGGGGCTGTAGGCGTTGACAGTGTCGAGGCCATATTCCCCGTTGTCGTTGTAGCCAAAAGTCTGAAGTCCCAACTGCCATAGGCCCATGGTAGACCAATGCTTGGACTTATTCGGGTTGTAGATGCCTCCGCGAGCATTGTTGCAATGAGCGTCCTCTGCGCGCCAAAAGTCAGTCTCCATCCATCAGGCACGACGAGAGCAGCCGTATCGGCAAGGACAGCAACTCTCAAGCAGCGAGAACGAAAGACACGTACTGCCGGCACATCCCCCGGCGCCTACGGCCCAAAACTCGGAGAGAGTCGTGCTAATGAGAACATTGACGAGGTCGGAGTTGGATCCCAGGAGAAAGGATACAGTTGACCAGTTGCCGTCGATGCCAAGCCTACAAGGGTGACGCCCATCAGTCAAAAACACCAGGCCCACGGCAGAGAGAGCTGCGGGTCAACGAACCAGTCGCTGGCCTGCAAAGCAACGGGCGCAGGATCCAAGGCGGAAGCGGCACCGGCGGCGGCGATGGCGGCGGCGGCGGCGGTGGCCGGAAATCGCATTGTATCGCTCGGGCGCCAGCAACGCCGGTGGCTTCGACGCGTTCGTTTCACCGAGTCGAGGCGATGGCCCGCGGGTTCATGAGGCGGGAAGCTCGGTGCTCAGGGGCCATATGCGCATGGGGCGTCGTCAATGCTGGCGCTGTAGCTGCGGCAAGCAGCGCATAATCCGAGACGGGCAATGCCGCGGTCGTCGATATAGGGGCCGGCGGGCGAGCAGGGGGGCGGCCGTCGAGGAGGAGATCCGAAGGAGTAAAGGTATAGGAAGAGGAAGAGGAAGAAAGGAGGAGAGGAGGGCTAGTAGATAGATGGGTACAGGGCTTGGGCGACGAAGTCGAGCGACGGCTGCTAGCGGCAGTCTGGACTGCTAGGAGAAACGGGAGAGTGGCAGAACGGGGGCGGCAGCTGAGATGAGATGGGGAAAATGTCAAGCCAAGTTGGGCCTAGTATGTGCCCTCCTTCCCCCCCCCCCTCCCTCCATCTGGAGCGGGCTGGTACTTGTCTCCGGAACGTCCAGGCAAGGGTGACAACAGACACAGACGGACGCTAAAACACGCTCAGGATGGCTAGCCGTTAGTACCAGCCAAGTTGCCAAGTACCTCGATAGCGTGATTTGGCGGGGTGTGGATGGGTGTTTGTGGCCACTATCAGTACTAGTACTACTAGGAAGTAGTACCTACAGTACCGTGGAAGATTGTTGGTGCTGCTGCTGCTGCTGCTGCTGCTGCTGCTGCTGCTGCTGCTGCTGCTCTAGGTACAGTACTCAAAAGTATTAGCAGCTGATGCCGCCCCAGCACCGGGTGTCGCGTCCAGCTGTGAAGCCCCCCGGGCAGCTGTAGTACAGTAGCCGCGCAGTCATGTACTGTCCCGGACTGTCAGTCAATTAGGTAAAGTAATGCGGCATCGTACGAGTGAACCATTTACTGTGTACTCAAAGGGATACCATAGCTTTGGTGATTGGCCCGCCAGCGACTGAACACAACAGCACCGCTTTTTTCCCTTTCCGACAAGGGCGGCACAGGCTGGACTCAGCACTGCAGTGCAGCTACGAACTGTGCCTTAGCAAGGGACATTGGCATGTAGCCGGATCTCCGCCCCGAGTCAAAACGTAGACCTAATTCCCTGCTGCTCAATTTCCTCAGTCTCAGCTCCGTCTTTGGCCCTCGGCCTCTCCTCTCAATAACAAGCATGGCTCTGCCCTCTGCCAATTAATTCGACTCCAGGGTTGGGAAGCAACAGGTCTGCAAGTACCAAGGGCAGCCGGCTGCGATCCATGGTTGAGAAGCGAACCCTGAGCCCTGAAAGCGTAACGAGATTGGGTATGGGGGGTGGATGAGGAGGAGGGGAGGAAACGCCCGGCTGATCATGGCAGGGCGGCGACAACACGGATGTCACCGAAACGGGAACCAACGTCATTTCTCCGAAACCATCCACACATGGGGTTGGACGACTCTCCGGACGAACGTGCGGAGCCTTCACAGCATCACCACGCATGCTTCTTTTGGGGCTAGACGTGGCTTGTCATGGAGAATGCAAAACGCGACAATAGAGCCGACCTTGACTCACCATGAACATGTGCGGTAACGCGCTGCAGTCTAACCTTTCCCCCCCTTCCTTTTCTTATTTTGCATCTTGTCGTCGAGCCGAGGGCGTAGCGTTAAAGTTGAGACCACGGCCATGATCGTCGGGCCCGATGAGGCAGCTTCTCCTCCAGCCAGGGTGCGTCGCCTTGCAACACAACAAACCCCGCGACGGAGGTGATAGTGTCGGTATGAGGCGTGCGCGTGACGACGAGGCAGCTGGCCGGCCGGCCGCTGCAAACGGCGGCTAAGCCAGAGGCAGCAGAGAGCCAAGCGGAGGCGGTTGAGCCGGCGACCATGATAGGCGGGCTTGCGCGTCGTCGAAGAGGTACAAGGTAATTACGGACACATGCAAAGAGGTAGGTACCTAGGTAATTACCTAACTACCTACCTATCTCTCGACTCAAACGGACAGAAATGTGACTGCCGCGCAAGATGGCGACGACGGTATTCGCACTTCAGGCCGCATCCGGTACTCTGTTGGTACCCTCGTGTTATCGACGTAGGCGTCTTGCTCTGCCGATCGGCCCCTCCAACGGCTTAGCAGGGGAGAAGAACGAGGTACCCGTTGCGAACTTACAGTATTTGCTTACCCCGCGTTATCCCAGGGAGGGGCGGGTGATGTGCCAGGTTAGATGTACCTCTAGTGTACAAATGCGGATACTTTAGGGGGGCGCATTTTCGAGTAGCCCCTCCCTCTTCCTAGCGCAGATCATCGTCGACTGCGGCATCCCTTGCCCTCCTAGACAACATCGGCCCGTCCGAGGAATTCTCGAGCATTGAGCGAACGCGCAACCGCAAGGCGATCGCGGCAACGACCCCTCCCGGCCAGCGGTGTGAAAGGACGGCCGACGGGTGTGGCCCACCATGGATCTGCCCCAGTTGCCCAGGACCGAGGGCCCGCCATCTCACGGTGACGATTCTTGGCTTCGACGGGCCCCGGCTACCCTCTCAAAAGGCGGAAAAGCAACGACGGCAATGGCAGCTATATTTCTTGGCGTATCCATATTCGAGGCCAGGCCATGGCCCAAAGTCATTATTCCATTCCCCCTTTCTTGCAAAAAAAATCTGGCCCAGACTGTGTGTTGGCGATGTCTCGGATCTGGCGATATGCCGCCACGGACACGCGGCGGGAGTTGAGCGAAGGGAGGGACGGGGGGCCACACAGGCTAATCAGCGTTTGAGCAGAGTTCTGAGCCATCCATGAGCCACGCAAATTAGAAGCTCGACAGGATGAGCTCGGGGGCCAACGTCGCGGGCTTTACGGGGCTAGCATTTGCACTTGCCTAGTCCGTCTCGAAGGCACTCAAGATCCGGTCTAGCCACCGGGGACCAAGGTATCTGTGGGTTGTGGGGTGACGAGCTACTGACGTGCAAGGAAGGCGACTCGAGGAATTCCCTCGGAAAGCATGCGCGTGTTCCATCTCCTCCGATCCATTTGTCAAAGGATGCTACCCTATCGCCTTTGCAACCTTGACACGATGGCGAACATGTGGGAGGCATCGCAGAGGTCAGGACATCTAAACCTCCCCACAGCCCAGTACTGCTAGGTACACAATTTGCCCAGCGTCGATCCACTGTTGCCACCTGCACGCCCGCTGACTGGGGGGTGGCCGAGGGGGGGGAAGGCTGGACATGGGGTAGACGAATCTCCGGGAGTCGCAGTGGCTGGGCGGAAGCATCCGGAATGACGCTTTCCAGTCCCACAGTCAGGCAGAGAGGCCAGAACGATGAATCCGAAAACAAAGACGCGGTTAGCAGCTCCCTGCCAATTCCGAAGCTCCCTCGGACGAGGAGGCAGCCAAGTGTCCAAATGTGTCGGTCACGGTAATTTACCGCCCATCTCACTCAATTGTGTTTTTTTCCTTTTCGCCTCCAGGTCCCGACGGGCCCAGACAAAAGACGGGAGACACGCTGGGGGTTGGGGAAAAAGCAAGGAACGGCCTCGAAGGGGTTTAGCACGTACGCGTCCCTTTCGACCTTGTTGCCTCTTCTTTTGTCTCCTGCTCGTTTCCGGTCTCTTTTCCTTAGACGGACAATCATGGGCGCACCTGGAAAGTTGGCTCAAGGGCGCCCATTGCCATGACGGCGGGCCGATTCGTAGGCGATGTTTACCTCTACACCAGGCGGGTTGAGTGGTTTCTCCTTAGCAGCGCCGTGGACATCTCTGAGTCAGCGCGGTATGCCTCGCAAGGTGCCTTGGGTGCATGCACCTCATCACTGACCCATGCATCGTACCGCTCAGTGCCTCGATTGCTGCATCGAGCGGCCAAGCCTCAGCTTCCTCGTCAGACTGCAGAGAGGGGGGGCGGCCTCGTGGCCAGACACCCTCCTTTTCCCGACGACGGTCGATCCCCTTCGGCAGATCCTAGGCCGGGATCCATGCAGCTGACAGCAGGGGATGCCGAAAAGCGGCACGAGGTGAAAAATGAAACCCTCCTTTTCCCCAAACCAAGCACAGCATCTGCGGGAGGGCGCCGACTCTCGTCACGTGTGTTTCCTGCACCCCAACATCCCTGCCCCTCGCGTGCAGCAAGGCAAGGTAGCGGAGGTATATATCCACCATCGTGCCCCGGAACTCCAGTCAAAGTTTTTGCACTCGATAACAGCAAAAAGAATTGGTCCAACATACAGCAGCCGGTGTTCGCTGGTCGTCACCGACCCAACTACTAATCTGCCCCTTGCCTGGTTTATTTACCGAGATCGGACGGGATCGGATGCTTTCAAGCAGGTATGGCCGTATGTGAAAGACAGAGCCGCAATTCCAGCTGATGGATTCGATGGCCTGATCTTCGAGGATTTTGCCCCGTGGCCTCCGGTTAGCCTGCCACGTCATTGGCAGCTTTACTGCCTCTGACAGCACTGCTCATCCTACACTTGTAATTCCAAGCAAATAGGGGCAGAGGCTGCGTGTCAGCCTGTCGCCCGTCGGATGGCAACTGAAATCCGTCCACGCCATGTATCATGCAGCCTGTTGCAGGGTACCTTGCAGCGCCTCTGACCAGTCGTACGGCCTGGATGTCTGCACAGCGCGGGCGCAGCAGGCATCGCAGCCAATGAGCGGCGTCGCTGCTCCGTGGCTGACGGGGCCTCGAATGACCTCGCCGTGGTACCCCAAACCGATGGTCAGCAAGCCCTCAGCTTTCTTGGCGGCGCTCCGTACGAGGGCAGCAGCAGGCATTTTGCCCGTCTCGTCGTGGGCACGAGACCGGAAATTTTGCGCTGCACGCAAAGCCACCTAGACGGCCAGACGGATGCGGCTACGACATCGCTAACGGTGGCTCTGACGCCCTTTGTCCTTTTCCAAGGGTCCTGGTCTAGATCTCTGGCGGATGCACTACTGTATTGTACTACAATATGATTTCCACCCAAGTACGGATACGTGGAAGAAAGAAAAAGGAAGAGAAACGAGGCGGCCTGAGCTGCACTTGACCGACCTCGGGACTCGCACGAGAGGCTCACACGCACTGCGAATAACAATGCGAATAAGTCGGTGCCCTTGTTTTTTGGGTTTTTTTTGGGTTGTTGCTTCTTCGGGGGGAAGGGAAAGGGGGGGTCCCTCTCTTCATGTTTCTCCATGAGAGGGGGATGAAATTCTACGGCTGATCTGTGTGCCCATGCCACTGCACCAACAAGTCAGGCGGTGCTGTCAACCCGACGAGCCGTCATGGGCCGTGCCGTCCTGTCCCTCGCCCCCCTTTCTCGGGCCAGAAAAGCGCCTGTGCTCGGCTCGGATGACGAGGGACGGTTCCGGCGCACCGAGGCGGCCTTGCAGGCCTCGGACGCTGTGACGCCGGGGCAAGTGTGTATACACGCAAGGCTGGAGACTCTCCATTGCTCCTCGTCATATTGACGTGTGAGGATCATGCTGGTGGTGCATGTACGGACGGTCCCGACGGGAGAGCACAGCCGTCGCATCCATCCACGACGGCAAACGGGCGCCCCGGACGCACAGCCGGCCCGCGACCCTGCAAGCCACAGCGGTCTCGGGCAACCAGAACGGGAGAGGAGAGGGGAGCGAGACATTCTCGGACATTGGCGGCACGTCAGTGGTCCGTCACATGCTTGGGTCCTCTCAATCTCTCCCGTGCCCTGCTGGAGCCTTCTTTTTTCTTCTCGCGGGCTTCCACCGATGACAAAGGCTGAGACAAACTGGCCCTTCGCCGGAATGGAGGCTAGTTTTTTTCAGCAGCGTGAGATGGCCGACAATTCCAGCATTCCAGTCGAAGCCAACCGCCGGTGCGTACCGAGTACACAGTGCAAGCGATGATGGGTTGGGGCCGTGCCCTTCTGGGCCGCCGGCCGATACACCCGAGTATCCATCCGCTTGGTGATTGTGTGCGACAGGGAGTACAGTACTCATGCACGGCCATGTTGTGCAAATCTCCAATATCTCACCTACATACTGTGACAGCCGGAGTCTTTGTTGGTCGGTAGCGTGCATATGCTCGGTGACCTGTAACTCACATGCGGCTGCTGTCCGCTGGGTCTGCTTGTGCCCCTTGCCTCTTTTCTGCTGCAAAATGATGCCAGTTGATTAGCTACCGCCCACTGGCGTCGTGCATTCTGATGCATATGTATAGTACAGTACATAGGGTTGACGTCCGTGTTCGAGTGCTGTGCTGTGCGTATACAATGGGTGGTTCTGGCGTGGCGTTTCCAGGTCTGCGTGGGTTCGTCGCCGGAGATGGCTTCTGCTGGGCTTCAATGTGGTAGACATGGCTCTAGGGTAGGGAGACGACGATGCTCAGAACAGCACCTGGCGACGGGTTTGTTTCGAGTACTCTGACTCTGGCAAGGTCGCATGTTCGCATGTTGCACTCTCGACCTCGACGATATAATAAGCTATGCCTCGGCGCGTTGAATGGCAGTCTTCGGGAAAGCAAAGTGCCCGTCGCAAGTCATGACCCGCCGTGGTTCATTCGGATATGCCGTTGTGCGCCTCGCGTGGCTGCACCGGGGAGTGTGTACCCACCAGTACGTGCACTGTACAAGGTACAAGGGGGGCAAGACCCCGGGTCGAAGCCGGATTCGGGCCGGGGGCAGAGACTCCACCGTCACGCGAGGCGCTCAGTGGAGAAGGGAGAAGGCACGGAGCTAGCGGACTTTGATATAAACAGCCTTGATTACCCCGGGCATCGTCATGGCGAGACACAGAGGGAGAGCGCCGTTTCATGATTACCTGGGTCGAGTCGAGGGACTTTGTAGGTCGCAACTGCATCGGGTCTGCACAGTAGGTGCTCGACCATCATAAGTGGGTACTAGCCGACAGTTTGTATCCTATTCCTAGTGTATATACCGGTACCTTGTAAGTTGCAGTACATACATGGGCAATCCTTGGACACCACCTGCCCCTGGCAACAGGGCCGAACCGGCGCCGGGCTCCAATTTGCTCGTCAGCCGCTCGTGGCGGGGCACATGCTGTACCTGGCAGGTACCCTAGCCGCCACCGGCACTTCTGCCTTGTTCAAGGTACTGCACGGGTCGTTGCACCGCGCGCTGGGCTCCACCGTGACCAAAGAATATTGCCTGATCAGCAGTCACCAGTCACCAGAGAGGAAGGAAGCGAGGCCATCTCTTGCCTGGTCAGCCTTGTCCTGTTGGACGACTCCGTTCTCCACAGCCTTTTCAATCCTTCACCTTTTTTCTTTCTTTTCTTTTCTTGTCTTTCCACGGCCCACCTCGCGCGTGTCTGCTCACGATCCACATCACCGCCAACATACATGAGATGGACCGCGACTAGAGTGAGTGAGTGAGTGAGTGAGCGAGAGCCAGCGAGAGAGGAACAGAGAGTGGGAAGAAGCGAAGCAGCCTCGCTGTTCTATTCTTACTGTCAAAGCTGCGCCAGAGGCCCCCTTCCCCAGCTTTTGTCTCGCAACCGACCCCCTTTTCCTCTGCTCTGCCACGCTCGGCACGCGCCTCGTTGATTCATATACCTCCTTTACATCATCCATCTTCACCTACCCGAGGTATACATCCTCTCTTCGCCGCTTCAGAATCCTCCATCAAGGGCATCCGGTCATGTCGTCTTCGCATCGGAGACTCCCGCGGCCGCTCTACGGCTGACGCTGCCTCGTCCTCGCTCACCCCGTCTCATCGCTCAGTTGTCGCCTGCCCCTGACGAGGGCCTCCAAACCATGAGAGCTGATACGGCTTTGCTGCTCTGCGCAGCTCTGTCGGCCCAGTCCGCATCTGTAGCCGCCAGACGCGGTGCGCTTGCATCGCCGACACCCTCGTCTTCTCTTTGCTAACAAGAGACCGCCTTGCAGGAGCTTTGGGCCGCCGCAGCCAGCAATTCTATCCAAAAAACAGCACTCTTACACCCTCGCCGCCGCCGTCGGCTCTCGCCTTGTCTTCAGATGATACCTGGCCGAGTTCCCCCACGCCAGCCTCCTCTTCACCCCTAACAGTGGCTGTGCTCGCGGTCGAACCGTCCAGCCACGAGCCCCCAAGCAGTGATTCGTCAAGCGCCTCGTCAGCTACATATCTACCTTCAACCTTGCATGGGAACTCGACACAGCTCCTGTCTGCGGTCTCGCGACCCTCGATAACACCAGACAGCTTCTCTATACCAGGCCCTCTGTCGACTGAGCCACCCTCGCTGTCGCCCGAGGCCACCGTCACAGTCACCATCAACTGTCTGTCCGGAACCGACGGCTCGGACTGCACGGCACCAGTTACGATAAACAGGGCCGGCAATTACTCCGAGGCCGTCCCGACTTCCATGGACGACTGCACCAGCATCCCCGAGGACCGGCCCATCACGCACTTCTCCGTTGTCTACACCTCGACCGTGACCTTCTTCGGCAATAGGAGCGACTACACCCCTCCTTACGAGCCGCTGGCCACGCCCAACTTTTGCACGCCAACCTCGGCTCGGGCCTTCGCTCCGGCACACGGGCCGAGTCTCGAGCCCTTGGTCCATTATACTGCCGCTGGCATTAAACCCACCGCTAGGAAAGGCATGGCACATGCCTTCCGTCCCTCATTCACCTTCATCACGACCGACAAGAACCCCTCGGTCGCCTTTCCGTCTGATCCCCCACCTCGCTTTACTCCAACCCGAGGTCAGCTGGTAGAAGATCACGGAAACGCCGACCACAAACCGGCTGCTGGCGATGGTGGTTCCGGCGACGGGGATATCGGTAGCGTCATGCACATGACGGCTGCCGGCGGCGGCGATCACGGCAGTGGTGACCAAAAAAAGCCTGACGACGATGATCATCCTCGCATCGTTAATCACGGCAGCGGCAATCACAAGCCGGCTGGCGGTGCTGGTGATGGCGTCGGCGTCGACGTGAAACCCGCGGGACATGGGTTACCAACCCCCGATGCCGCGAGCGTGAAGCAAGGTAGACTTCCCAGCTTCAAGATCACAGCCCGGGGCAACCAAGTCACCATCAACGACAAGACATTTTCCGACCTGGAACCGGAAAAGACGTCTGTCGTGACTGCTAATGGTGCCCTGTTCACGATACTCCCCAACGCCATCGTGGGCGCGGGAGCAACGATTCAAAAGCCTGTACCAGCCGGGACCGTCGTCTCGGTAGCGACGCCCACGGGCGATGTGGTGGGCGGCTTACCCGTGACACTGAAGGGTTCCGAGGCCGTGGTCGGTGACGCAACATTGACAATGGTAGAAGAGGGCACCGCCACCGTCGTGGACGGCCAGCAAGTATCCCTCAAGCCGGGGACGCTGGTCGTCGGGATGCAGACTCTCTCTTTCGAGCCCGTGATGCCGTCGCGCGAGAAGGAGATGTTGGTCAAGGGCGGAGAACTGCTCACTGCCATTGGCCGGAGCGTTGTCGTCATACACTCGACGACATTCACCTACGGCCCCGCAGTCGCGGAGACAACCCAGGTTGTCAATGGCGACACCATCACCATTGGGCCCTCGGGCGTCTTTGTTCACGGCATCTTCATTGGCGGGCCATCGGCCAATGCCACAGAGACCAGGTTTGAGGTCGTGGGAGGCGCGACCATTACGAGAATCGCTCCCTCGCTGGCGGTCATCAATAGCGCAACCTTTACAATTGGGCCCGGAACCCACTGGACGACCACGGTCATCGCCGGGGAGACATTAACAATTGGGCCTACGGGGGTCGTCATGTCGACGGTGACGCTCAAGTATCCCTTTGGATTGGCCGTTACCTCGACAGTCAGGCCTACCGGGACATATTCCAGCGACGTGCCCGTTGAGACGGCAGGCAAGGGCGACGAAGGCGATGGCAGCGACAAAGGAGGCGACGACAGCGACAATGGCAGCGACGACGACAGCATGGGCAGCCTAGTAAGCCCCGAATTCCACGTGGGCTGGGTAGCTCTCAGCATAGCGATTGGCATTGTTCTATGGGTGTAAACAAGGAACACAGGCGGTGCATCATGATCTCGGCGCAACAAGTTCTGGCTAGAGGCTTGAAGTCCCAGCATTGCGGTAATAAGACTGGGTGGATGACGATGTCGATGTTGTGGGCCGCATAGTCCATGACCGCCTCGAATTTATTCTGGCGGCTTCTTTCTTCACTTGACCTAGTATCTGTTCCTTGTTATCTTGCCTTTTGCGATGTCGCAGTACATTTGGTTGGTCGGAGCATGCAGGTCATGGAGCTGTCTTTCTCTGCCGGGACTTTGGGCGGCAGAGGCTCTGCTCATCTAGGCTCCCACTTCTTGCTCGGCTTGTGTCATATTAGACGACGAGGACATTGGCTGGCGAGCGGCGTGTACTATGATGTGTATTCTTAATCCTGCATGGTCCAGAATCAGGGCCGGCAGTTCAACGGGAGCCACTCTTCCTTTTCAGTCGCCAAGCTCTGCCGAGCCCGTGACCTCATAAACCCTTGAGTGAATAACTGATTAGGTACGCAGCGGGGGCCCTGCTTGACCTGGGCACTTAACGTTGCAAGACCCCCCCCCCCCTTCAAAGGTTGTCCACATCGGCGAGGGGGAAGTCATCATGATAACATGCTATAGCAATGATAACACGAGCCACTGTGTTGAACAGACGGCAAGACGGGCTCCGCTGTTAAAGCTAAAGTTGAACCAACTAGCTACTATTGAGCGCACACGCACACAGGCAACCAAGTTGCCAAGCCGCCCAACGACTCCTTCAGCCAACTAATAACCCCATATCTCCCTCCAGATCCAATCCGCCACCCTCGTGTCCTCATCGGGTCACAGCTCCCGATGCCCAGAGAGCAAAGCAAGGGCCCGCCGCGCCGTCCACGAAGGCCCATTTCAAGCAGCCGCCCCTCCACTGGGCTGGGAGTTTCGTTATGGCGGTACCAGGGGGAGGGGGGTTAGGGGGTAGGAGTTGCTACATCCCTCCCTATCGCCAGCGTTGGCCCTTGCCCTTGCCGAAGCCGTCACTATCGAGCGGCGGAAAGTCGTCCTGTTGCACGCCGAGCCCGGCATTCGCTGGCGCCGGCGATGATGCCCTCTGCCGCCGCTGTTCCAGCTCCTGCATGCTTAGGCTCAGGGCAAGCGCCAGGTCCTCGTCCTCGTCCTGCGCCGCGGCGAACAAAGACGGCCCGCTCTCGGCGCCGTTCATGGGCGTGTGGTTCGCCGAGGGCGAGGGCGACGCCGAACCGGACCGCTTGCTCCTCCTGCCGCCCTGGGTCTTGTACTTGATGGAGAACTCAAACTCGCCCGGGCTGTTTCCTCGCGGTGACTGAACCGCGCCGTTGACTCCTTCTAGAAGCGACAGGCGGATCGCCTGCTGAATCTGCTGCTCCAGCTCGCTCTCGTCCTCCATCGCGGCGTGGGGTTGCGGGCTCACGGCGGCGACGCTGGGCTCCGGCGTGACTGTGTCGGCCGTCGTCTCGCTGAAGGACGACGCAGTGTCCACGCTTGCGTCGGCCGCCGAGTCGCTCGCTCGTCGCTGCTCGTCCTGCAGGAAAGCCTCTTCCGAAACCATCTGAGCGTAGCGCAAGGCCTCCTGTTCTGTCAAGTCCCCGAGAGCCCCCACTCCAAACCGCTTGTGAAGGCGTGCCTGCTCCCGCGCTCGCTGTTCGTTCTCCCGCCGAATCTCAGCTTCTTCGGCGGCGATGTACCCGGACACGGCACCGCCCAGTCGGCGGCTGGCGAGGCGGCCGTGGATGTCAGAGTGTCGAAGTCGACGCTTGCGACCCGTGGGATGGCTGGCCGAGCTGTAGGACCAGTAGCGCAAGAAGGCGCCAAAGGACACGACGCCTCGCAGCACAGTAGGGTCAGAATCAAGGTAGATGGCCCCGGCGGCCGAGTAGTTGGCACCGCGTAGGGCGGGATTCATGGCCAGCATGTGATGGGGGACGCGACCATTGGACCTAGCGTTGAGGGTTCTGAGGGGATCTCGTGTCGACGCCAGGGGGTCCCATGCCTGGACCAGACCGTCACTACCTCCATGGACGAGGTACAGGGCGGAGGCAGCCAGGCACGTAATGGCAGGAGAGTCGGTCTGGATGATTCGCAGAGGCAGAATATCCTTCAGGCCGTCGCTGTGCCGGGCATTCCAGGCGATGATGGCACCGCCCTTTGTGCCCACTGCAAGGAGCCGTGCTCTGCGTCCAGGTATCTCCCCTGTCACAAGGTCTTCCTTGCTCGCTGAATTTGGGGTCACGCCTGTCTCCTTGGCAACGTGAAGAGGGTCTTCGCCCAATGTGAGCAGGGAATGCGAAGAGCAATCCATGCCGCTGGCAGAAATGACGGCGTGGCTGTGACCTGTGAGCTCCAAGATCGAGCGGCGCCAATCGTGGAGAGCCGCTGATGGCTGGGACATCCGCCTCGAAGTTGGCGCCGAGAGAGGTGGTGATTGCGACCCGGCCACAGTTGGATTGGTCTCTTCCGACCCGAATATAGACGGCGCAGTCCGCACCGGGGATGTTGCGAGCTCAGCAGGTTTGATGTCCTGAGTCTGCATCATCGACATGACCGACCGAGCTAATCGACAGATGCGAGCTGGCCGGCCCTCTGCCAGTCCGCAGTCAATCACGAATATGCCTTCTCCAGCGCCGTGGCAGTCGTCTGCCGCAAAATCCACTTCCAGGCGGCGCTGCATGTCCCAGCCCACGTACTGTTCGCGAAAGTGAGCAGGCGTCTGGCGCATACAATGTTCAATCCCTCGAGCCTCGGCAATGAGCTGCTCCTGGCTGGGCTCCGTGGCATGGGACGGGAAGTGCGATGGGCAGGCGTCACGTACGGCACCCCTGTCCACCTCGTTGGAACGCGCGACCCGACGAGTGTCCTCGATGAGGCGCCAGCGCGCTGATCGACCGGCGGACCAAGCGTGCCGTAAGAGATCATCATCATTCGCCCGATTAACCGTGGTGGCGAGCGCCTCCGTCAGGTAGTAAACCTCTCCCAATGCAGTCAGAGCGACAGCCCAGACCCTCGACGACGACTTGCGCTTTACGCTGTAGCCATCGTCGATCTTGAGAGATATGATGGGAACACCGGGGCTGACAACCCAGCGGGCAGTCATGTCGCCGGCGGCATACCGTGGTCCACTATGATCCCAGCCCAGTGAATAGGCCGTCACCACTCCCAGGCTGGAGCCGGTGAACATGCCACACATGGACTGCGTGTTGGCTGGTACTGCCGAGGACTTGGCGATCCAAACGCTGCAAACGGCTTCCAATGTTTCAGGAATCCTAGGTATCTCGGGGTATGCGTCCACGGCACCACCCTCGGCGCCGAGGTAACGGCCAGACATGTCACTGACTCCTCGAAAGTACGCACGGCCACCCGGGAAGCCTTCGCCTAGGAGGACCCCGTGCGGCTGGCTTACGTCCATGACATTGGGCGCAGCGGCTGCGCCCTCCCCCAAGCCGTAGGGGACAATGTTTGGCATCGCCTCCTGAAGGTGGGTAGCCATGTAGGGATCTTCGAGGCCCCATTTCTCAATCTTTCCGCTCGTGGGGTCGCTGAGGGTTGCGACGCCGAGATCGCCGGCTCCGTGGATGACCCGCGGCGACTTCTTTCCATTAGAGAGGACGGCATGGATGTTTGTCACGAGCCAAGGAAGCTTCGAGTTGTACGTCAGGACCGCACTGTTCTTTTTCCCGGACAGGATGGTGCGGCCCGACGAGCCGATACTTCCGGAGCTGGTACCCGGCTTCCCTCGCGCCAGGCTTCGAATAAGACGCGTCCTGAAGATATACTCGCTTCTCCACGTGGCCAGGCAGGTGAGGCGGCCAAAGTAGCGAGTCTCCAGCCGCACACGATCAAACGCCTCGGCCCCTGCCTCGGCATCCGCCTCGGTCGGCCCGCTTTGGAGGGTGATATGGCCTGAGAAGTAGCGCATAAAAGCCATTCGCCAAGCGTGCGGAGTCGTCACGAGCGCGTAGAAGCGCTTCGACACCAGAGCGACGGAGGCGTGCGAGTCGGGGTGGAGATGCGACAATATGTGCGTCAGGATCTCTATTGACCAGCAGTTAGACATTGCGCTAGATTTCGGAAGCCGATGGGCACTTACCGTTAGGAAAGTCTGCGAGCTGCGTGCCGCTGGATGAGCCGGAGCGCCTGACGACTTTGAAGCCTATGGACTGTTTCGGCGTGGCGGGAGTCAGGGCATTTTCGTAATCCAAAATCCTTTGGCCCACAGCAGGGCGAGAACTGCCATCGCTGGTCCCGTCGGCGGGCTTCAATCCACGCAGTTGCTCCCTGAGCTGGCGGGCGTCGAGTGCATCCAGAGAGCCGCGTCGGCCGTTGAGGACTGAGCGCGGCGAGGGGCTGCCAGAGCCAGGAGGGTCGACGGGGCGAAGGAGGTGAAGATGGCTCGGTCCATGTTTAAGGGCTTGAACAGGGTTTGACAAAGGGGGGTTGCTGGACTGAGGACGTTGTTCTGGACTCTCAGAAGGCACTCGTTGCATATAGCTTGACGCGGATTTACGGCAGGTGGCTTGGCTGTCGACTGTGCCCGAGATGTCTGCACAGTCCGGGAGACGAGCGAGTCAAGGTCGTTGATCAGGGATACGAGTGCGTTTGTAGAGTCGAACGATGCGTGAGCTCAGGGAGACGAGAGGATGGTGGTGATTGATCGAGGTGGCCTTGAGCGCGTTTCGTCGCGCCCCAAACCAGACGAGGTTTGGCTGGCCGCCCCTGAGTGGATTTGCCGGAGATGAGCCGGGCGAAATGACAGTACATAACTACAAGTCATGGAGCAACCCAGATTATCAGGTATGTATCTATTGAGATACCTATTTTCTCATAGATTCACTCATCGATGGACGAAACCACCTTGTCTCACCATGATACGACCCGTGCCTCTTCTCTTGGACTCTGCGGTGCGGCAAGAGGGGAAGAGGGAGAGCGAGGGCGGTGAAGAGCCAGCAGACGGCGACCAGCCCCCGCCACTCGTCTTGCTTCACGGCAGACCAGTCTCCTTTATTCACTCGATTCAGTCTGCATGGCGGGCTTGGCCCAGCGGGGATTGGATAACGGACAATCAAAAAGAGGCGGCTTCGATAGTGCAAGGACAGGTTACACTACCTAGGTAAAGGACAGCGGTGAGGCGGGCGACGAGATCTCCCCTCGAGGGTTCACGATACACACCAGTGGCCTCCAAGCGGACTAGCAATATCCGCCGGCATGTTCCGATGCTCCCTAGGCCTTCCTCATTCGACGCGGCGTCTCGAGCGGCATTGGCTGTGCACAGCTTCCCAATGAGTCTGCCGTCTCCTACAAGCAACGCAGGCCAGGGGGATCCCCATGACGAAAAGATGCCCACCATGTGCGAACATGATCCGCTGGCTCGGGAAGCAAAAGTCCCCGGCAGCAGCAGAGACGACAGTATATACACACTCGCTCACGCAGAGACGAGGGTATATATATATATATATATGAATATTTCCACACGCACGTACAGATCATATATGTATGTGCAGTACGCGGCTTGGGCGCACGGCAGAAGCATCCAGTTCCGTCAGACCACGATACCATGGCCGTCATGTCCGCACGAGACATAGGACAGCGTCCAATCCGCGCATGCTCTCCACGGCCACCAGTCGGCTCTATTTCTGCAAGGAATTCCCGATGCAACCTAATAATGCGACTTCGCACCCAAGGTGCAAACAGTGACCCATCCACCAGGCATGCAAATCTTCTGTCGAGATGACGAGGCGAGCGGCACAGAAGTCTCGTGCGACAGTCGAGGTCCGGAGATGAGGCGTCAAGGGAAATGGGAAGTTGGCAAACTTTTCTCCCCGCGCGCATTTATTCGCTGCCGTATAACGAGCCAGCTTGTCCACGTGTGGGCCAAGATGGTTCGATGAACGATGCCAAGAACTCATTTCGCCTACTCAAAGGTCCCTTGTGTGCTGCATGTGTGTTATCGACGGCCACGGCAGCCTGCATCCACCCCGTCGGGGTCGAAGGCAATCCACTTTGTCGCAAAGGATGCTCGCATCGGAGCTGTCCGAACGGCTAGCTCGTCCATCATTCCCCAACCATCGGTACGAAGTTCCAGCGTATCAATGGCCCTCCTTCGACGAGGCAATGCGCCCAGCCGTGAACTCGAGTCGCCCCGTGTTGGATTCTAATGATCTGCACGGCAGTTTCAAGTAGCTTCCTCGGTGGCCCGTCATAAGGGATAGGTGCCCGGGCCGTCTGCACAATCTCACGGGAGCCCTGCAAATGGTGCTATACCCAGGCTGATTGTTCCGTCTAGACTCCCAGCGTTTAAGCGGGCGAGTGCAGCTCACATGCATGGATGTTGATGCGTGCGCGGCAGGTACTGTACTTGAAGGCCATCCATTCCTTTCCGGACCTCACGAGAGCGGAGGACGTGCAGTCCGCACATCGCGAGGCCAACAGGGTTGCCGGTACTGGGTAGTAGGCTCCTGTGTGAGCCATCACGGGGTTCTGAGGAATGAAGCCTTGTACAGTAGATGATGCAGCACAGCCGGAGAGGCATGTGTTGTGGGCGTGGTGCTACCATCAAATCACGGCACTGGTTCGGGATCGTGATCGAGCGTGAAGGGGAGGTCTGCCGAAGAATAGCTTGCTGCCACCGCCTTCGTCAGCGAGTCGCGGGATCCTGCCGGATGAGCCAGAAAGGCCTCTGTTGGCTCACGGCGGAAACGCCACCAACGGTCCGAAACAAGAGCCAGCTCAAACCATGTAGCCTTACCGGCTGACAGGATATGTGCCCTTCAGCGCTTCCGGAATGCCTAGCAGGAGATACGTGCTCGGGCCACGAGTTTGGGGTCGGGCAGAGTGGACAATAGGCCGGGCTGGATCGCGAGGCGTCGTTCAGCTGTTGAGTTGTTGGATCATTCAAGGAAGCAGTGTAGGCTTCCATGCCTCCGTCGTCCCGGTGGCAAAGTCACACAGGCTGATGCTGAAGATGCCTCTTGGTGTGACCTAATGCTCGATTGGGATATGACGGTGAGATGGAGGAGATATGCCGGGCGCGAGCTATATGACATTGATGTGCGTAGGAAGACTGGGCAAGACCTCAACAGGCGCCTTCACTCGTGAATTCACGCCAGCATAGGCGCAGCGCCTTGGGTTGTGCACAAAGGCGGGAGCAGTAAATAATGTTGGCACCAATGCTGGCCACAACCATGCTGCCGGGTCAGAGAATGTCAGCCGAAGCCGCCAAACCGGTCGATGAAGTGGGCACCTTCAGCCTGTGGCCCAGTTGGCAAGATGCCACGATCAGCGGGGACACGATCGCCGCGGCTCGGCACCGGGATTTGGACACAGCCAGCCTTTGCGCATCCAGACGGCGGTGACGGAACTACACGCCCAGGGTCAGCGCTTGCACCGACAGTCCGGTGCCCATCAGACAAGCTGCAGGATGAGTGCACGCCATGTTGCCAGGTCCGGAGACAAGAGTGGGACCGCCATGACGAGGGTTCCTCTGCGGCGGATGCACTGAGCGGCGTGACGGCAAGGTTGCATCGAGTTGCCTCTGTCCTGCGGCGGGGGGGGGATCCCAAGCAGGGAACAGAGCCAGGCCGGTCGTTTCGTTTCGTTTCGTACCAAAGGAGGCTCGTCCGCATGCATGCACGCTTGCAGACATGCTGCACAGAGCGGAGAGGACACCCACACTTCTGTTACAGTACACGGGCGTAATTACCGTGGTAGAGCACTGTATGCCGCCCGAGCGACTACCGCTGTGGGCGTGCCCCGGATCGAGGCACTCGGGAAGCAAGTCGAGCGTCCTGGCCCGGGGGCGCATGTAATCCCGCGGTTCGGCGGCAGAGGCTCGCTCTCCTTCCGAGATGCGCTGTTGTTGCTTGGATTCAAGGAGTCGATGCCACGCAGACGGATAGGGCCAGCGTGCCAAGGGGACACGGCCGACTTGACAATTGAGACATGTTTGATTCTCGAGGGTTGTGGCGTCAAGCCATGACCTGCTGACACCGAGTCTGACGGCTCAACGCACGCTAGGGCGAAGACATGCAGGACACATGCCGCGTCGCCCAGCGCTCCGGGATGCTGCACCAGCCCCCGGTGTTCCGTACACTTCCCGCTTGGATGGCAGGATGGGGAGACAGCCTCCACGCTCTTCCTGCTGTCCGTGTCCAAGGCAAAGCATTAGGGGCGTGGGAGCTTCATTGGCCGAATGTCCGGCGGGAATCTCGAATAGTCCAAGATGATATATCAGCCTGAGCAACTGCAAGGCTAGCAGGCGGCGCCCACCGTTTCTGTCCAGCAAGCCTGGGTGGCACGAGGGCGTCGACCAGAAGCCCGGCAAGTGGGAGGACGTCAAAGATGTGACAGGCATACTATGGCTGAAACGCGATTTTGAGCAGAAAAGGGAATCCAATCCCGGCAGTGAGCTGCGTGTATGTAGTACGTACGGCACCCCCCTTGTGTCGGTGTCGGTGAATCGTCGTTCGCCCGCCCATTAGAGTCGACGGAGCAGCGACGAGCATATGGTACAACAAGCTACAGTGCGCACGTGCTGTTAGGACAGGCAACAAGTGGGCATCCAGCCTCGATACCGAGTAGACAAACACCCCTCGGCCCCCGGTCTGGTGTTGCTCGCAAAGGAGTGACACGTCACATAATCGACAACAAAGACACAAGGGGTCAAGCTCGCCCCGTCCAGTCAGGGCGCCCGTTGAGGTGGGTGCGGGGAGCGAGACCCGTGGCTGGAATCGAGTGGAGGCAGCGGTCCGCATGCCCTACTGGACCAGTAGGTAGAGAGGGAGATGGGCGAGGGATGGTGTCGAGTCTATTTCCACGGCAAGGCCTGTCAGCAAGGTCAAGGGGTGCATTGGAGGCGCGGCATGCGTACCACGCTGTCGGAACGACGCAACCCAGGTCGCCTGACGATGCACGAAGGAGGGGGGTTGTCTCTTGTTGCCACGCGGGCGGCAAAACGGGCAGTCGCCGAACGGGTGAGCACAGACTTGTCGTTGTTTGCAAGGCGTTGGGCCGGAGGAATGTGACTGCTGGTGTGGTGATGATCAACAAGCCGTGCACGTGTGCGGGCGGCGCGCTTAGGGCACTTGATTGACTACTGCTGCTGTACTAGGGAGTCGTTACGCCGTACAGTACAGTGGTAAGTGGCTGACTGTCCGTCTTTTTCAGGTCAGAGAAGTTACTAAGTCGGTACATACATAAAAGCGACTACCTATAGGTACTAGGGTAAGGTAGGTAGGTAGGTAGCCTAGCAGTAGGTAGGTAATGAAGCGGCATTAGCGAGACTGAAGAGCATCGGCTACCTCAGTATTAGGTAGGTTAAGGTACTTACTTAAATATACATACATACCTAGAGAGGAAGGTCTGCCATGCACGAACGGAGTAATCAAACATACACTCCAGATTTTCAAACATACACTCCCGACCTAAGCCCCATTTGGAAGAAGACCCCGCCACCAAAATTTGGCGCGCGCTTTCCCAACGCCGCTGCCGC